GTCTACTTCATTTGCAACATCTTCTGGCTCATAACGACCTTCACCCTCCAGCTCTCGTCGACGTTTATCTCCATCAGGGTGCCGAAGATCGACAACAACCTGCAGTTCACAGGGGAGTTCTTGTACATCGAGCCGCTGGGCTTCATGTTCATCCTGGCCTTCGCCCTCCTGGTTTTCATCCAGTTCTTAGCCATGCTGTACCACAGGTAGCCAATCAGATCTTTTATTTTTATTTTTATATAACAGTTAATGTTCTGGATAGATCAGCTGTTATTTTTTTTAACTTTTTGTCGTTCTGTGGTTTTTTTCCAGAATCTACACCCTGATCCATTATGTGGCCTTTCTGGACACAGAGGTCAAGTCTGGACAACAAAAACAGCAAATCGATGAGGTACACACACACACGGGCGCACACACACACACACACACACACTGCTATGCCACTACTACTGCTACTACTAACATTTCTGCCACTGCCACAGTTACTGTAGCAGTGAATCTACTGCTATCACTACTGCTGCTACTGTTGCTGGTATTGTTGAGTCAGACTGTGCGGGATGGCTGGGGAGTAAATATGGGTTGCAATAAGTACATTATAGATTCTATATTGAGGGTCAGACTGTTGAAAAGATGAAAAGATTTCACTACGTTTCTTATATATATTATTAATAAAAAAAATACATATCAGGGATAGAACAATTGAGTCTTGGATCTATGTCAAGATGCTTATATCAGGATGGCAAAACACCCGTTAACTTTAGCCTGAGCTTTTGGTTTGTGCTGTCCCATGACATATCATAGGAGCTGTCAGCCATAACCAAATTAACTGCTAAGTAAAAACAGAATTGAAGAGCACAGCAAAGTAAAACAGAAAAACCTCCTGTTTCTCTTCAACAGAAAAACTGTTGCAACTCTTGTCTTTTTGAGAGTAATCAAGCACAATTATTTTACAATACTCTCGAACATACAAGGATGGTATTTGCAGATCGTTTTCACCTGACTACTGCTGCTGATACTGATAACAATTCATTTACATTTACATGTGCTCATTTGTCAGACGCTTTTGTCCAAAGTGACTTACAAGAGAGAGACGTTACTAAAGTGCAGTAGGAAACCTTGAAGTAAATACTAAAGTACTAAATCTACTAAGTACTAATCTTACTAAATCTAATCCATCTATAAATCCAATAGAACTAATCAAATTTACATATCAGCTCTCAGATAAGTTTAGCACAGAGATTCGGTCTGAGTATAAATGTTCTGAACACACCTCCCCTTCATTGGAAATATTTACCGGGTGACACACTCAGTATTTGCAAGTTTGGCGAGTTGTTGTTGGACTGAACACACAATGAGTGGCAGCAGAGTTTGGCAGAACAAAGGTATTGTCCCAGGTGTGGTGGTATGTGATTGGTATGTACTAATTATCTGAGTTCCCTGCAGGTCAAGGATGATTATGATGATCATGAAGATGATGTTGACGACAGTTACAAGTTCTTCTCCCCAAGTATGTTCTACAGAAACCACGACTGCGGAACTCTGGTTTAAACAAACCAGTTTTTAGCACTTTGAAACAAACATGCACTGTATGTAATATTTAAAGTAATCTAACTTAGTCTTATTTAAATTATTTCAGTGGGTTTTTTTTTTAAAACCTTAACAACCCAGTTTGTCTCACAAAACACAGACTCCACTGAAGCTGAAGAGCTGGAAATACGAGCACAACACAACTTGTTTGTTCACATGTTTGTTTGTGTGCATCACATGGCAGTAAATCAAGCTTAGGCTCACAACTCTCAACTGTTAATGAAAACACCATTAGTGCAGCAGAAAACTGCAACAGTCTTTCAAATGTGGATATAAGCACCTGTATGTTCCCTTTGGGGCCATTAATTGTGAAAATTCCCATTTGCCACTTGAAATTTCAAAATTTTAAGATGGCTGAAGATGGCAGATTTTTACCCATGAGACAGATTTCAGTGATCTTGTAATGTAATCCTATGTTTTAGACTATGATGATGTTTTAGACTATGATGATGTCAAATTCACAACTCTTACATTTCCTCAGATCTTTATTTATGCAATTTCTAATATGTAATGTGAAAAAATCTACTTAAAATACAATGTATTTGCAAACCATTTATTATCAATGATATACCAAAACTTCTGTAAGAGTCTACTTGTTTACTTGTTAACGTTAACATTAGATTTCTAGGCTAACTTGCTAGTGCTAGGCAAGTTAGCAAGCTTTTTAGTGAATAATTTTTTTTTCTGTGGGTAATATTTTTGCTGAAATATACTTTCTTTACAGTGTACTAGATTTACCTTGTATGTACGATTTGACACCTAGATTATTCATGTGAGAAAATAGTGGATGCATTTATTGCAAAAATAAATCTTGAAATTTTAGTACTTCTGTCCACATTTGAAAGAGTTCCCTGAAATATGCAGTTATCTGCTGAGCTACATCTGGGAAATGATTTGCACTTAATTTGAATTTTGAAAATCAGGTCACATATGGATGAATATTAAGAGCTTTTAATCTCAGGTGTCTTTTACTGTGACAATTTGAAGATCAAATTACAGGTTTATGAAAGTCAATGTGAAGAGAATAAACAAATGTAGTCTTTTGTAATCATTTTTATAATAATAACAAAATCTGACATTGTGCCATTTCTGAATTTAATCACTTGAATCCTGATTTTTATAAATTGTTGTTACTGTGAGATTGTTACATCTGTGCCTCAATGACAAGTGTCTCACCTATTCTCTTACCTGTTTTTGTAATCACAATCCTTCACATGTCTGTTGTTCTCTAGTATAGCTTCATTTATTTATTGTCTTTTATCCTTGCATAACACAGCTGTATGGTTTTACTTCCTGTTGTGTGAAACGATGACCTGTAGCATTATATGATTATTACTCTACAGCTGTACGAATTGTCTCACTGCTATATGTCACAACTGCTATCGTTACTGTGAAATTTTAATAGTTGCATGTTGAAGGATATACTGATGTAAGCATTCCTCGGCGCTGCTGGTGCAGTCTGCGCAGTGTGTTACTGTTAATGATGATAAGTACAACTCTGTAGATTGGATCTTGAGTTCTTGATCCTCCCCTCTATCCGGATCCCTCAAATTGGTTCAGTACTGATAAACACACTGGTGAAAACATGACCTCTGTGGTTGAGGTAATGGAAGTCATTTTGTCCCCTTCCAATCACTGCTCATTGATTTGATTGATGATCCCAATTAGTTTTTAGCCAATCATGGTTTGAACAAGTGTGAAGTGGAACTTTTAAACAATAAATAAATAAAATTGCATATTCACTGAATCGTTTTCTTTCTTATGTAAGTTTAAGTAGATGTGATTTTTAGAATGATTAGGTGGTCACTTGAGGTTTTATTTGTGGAAAAAACTATATCAGACATGAATTAATAATCAAACCGAAGTGTTCTTATATGTCATGAAACATACCTGGAGATGTTCTTTGAGCAAAGATAATAATAATAATAATAATAATAATAATGATGATACATTTTTATAAAGGACGCCTTACAAAACACAGTAAAAAGATAAAATAGCAATTGAAGGCATGACATACAAAATAAATAAGAATATATATGATTGCATTAAATAAATACAATAGCATATGATTGCAATGAAGCCGAGTGTTGGAGTCAAACAGAAGAGGCAACTAAACACCACGTAAAACAGATCTTCCTTGAACCCTGGCAGCCTGATACTGTATATCCTTTCCTATGTACTTTGCTCCATTCTTGACCTTTAATTACTGGAATAAAAAGGTACCGGTTTAAACACGCATGGCAGTCTGTCTCTGTCTGTGATTACAGTTCTGCAGGCACAAAGACAATCGACATCACAGACACGATGTCGATGTGGAATTCTTTTGTTCTTTCTCTGTTATCTCAGTAGTGTGCCTGTGCCTGCCATGTTGTTAGTTGAGAACTTTTAAACAGATTTAAATGTGATGTGTATGATAACACCTTATGTTGTCATGCAAACAACAACAACAACAACAACAAAAAAAGGAACCCAGAACAGTCCACTGTACCAAAGCGAGGGCTCTGTCCTCCACCACAGAGGCTGAGAGGAAGAGAGTAGTTTGGAAATGTGCCCAATGTCTGAGATATTAATATGACGGTTTCACAACCTTTTGATGTGCCTAGTTGCAATGTCACATCCTCTTTTCCCTTTTCATCTTTCTGTTAAGATTTCAGCTTTTCAGAGGAGGAACTAAGTTTCATCAGAGTTTAGCCACTGATACCATAATGATAAGTTTGTGGTCAGAATGTTCTTGATTAAAAAAATCTACTGTATCAGCATATTTTCAAGTATTTCATCTAGTCAAAATAAACACGTTTTAAAGGCTGAGCTTGGTTACATGTTCATAGCGACCTCAGACACAATGTGTTTATTTACATTTAATCAAAACCACCATCCTTCCCCTATAATCTTAATCATATGTTCAAGTGTTTTTACCACCAGTTTGGAAATGTAGCACTTCATTCATTCATTCATTCAAAACATGGAATCACCTCCTCGTGGCCGTCTGCCTCCTCCACTCAGACTTTCAGGTTACATCCCAGTTCACTTTGACCATGAGGAGTTCTCCAGATATCTTGTTCACAAGGCCAAAACAGGCATTTTGTGAGGTCACCAAAACCTTGACCTTTGGCCTTTGTCCACCAAAATCTAATCAGCTCATTCTTGAGTCCCAGTGAACGTTTGCGCCAAGTTTGAAGAAATTCCATGAAGGTGTTACTGAGATATCGTGTCCACGAGAACGGGACGGACAACCTGAAAACAATATGCCTCTGGCTCTGGCTGCTGCCGCTGCAGAGGCATCAAATATATGTCAGCCAGCGATTACATTTGCTTTCACAGTATAATTGAGAGTTAACCGTTAATTAATATATAAGGATGATGTGTAGGAGACACGGTTGGTGTGGAACAGACATCTAAGAATTAAAAGACACTACAACTGATAAAACTTTTATTATTTTGTCTTAACACTGATAAATCTGATGCAGCTTTTGTGCATCTCTGTCGACACCTTGATGCACAGTTAAACAGTTTAAACACAACTGTAAATCCCCACATCTGTAAAAGCTTTCATTTTCATATTACAGGCAGTGTCTACAAAGTAAGGTCACATTACTCAGAAGCTTATAATCTGTCATTGCTGTGAATTATAAATCAGAGTGTAGCATTGTGTGAGCTAAAATCAGTGCTATTCACTGTGTTGCAGCTGCTGCTGAACACAGCAGAGCAGAAAGGCCATAAAACCTGAAGAAACAGCAAGTGCAAGATAAACTGATTGTACAGATGTGTATTCTAGTGACGTGTGAGTAACTTGCAGAGCAAGCACAGCTGTGGTTTATGCGCTGGTTGCTAAGGATTAGACTTGGTCCACATGCATGTGTCCCGTAGAGGCCATAAATGCTGTGCCCAGATCTCTGCTGAGGTTACAGGCACACTCACAGCCGATGAAACCTGTCTGTTGAAGTCTGAGCGCTGCTGATGCTAGGAATTGAAAAATATACACAGAAAGTGGCCAGTTATTTACATGCAATGAAATTATTATTCAGTTTCAGTTTAACCTTCAGTGTGGCCTCTGTACACAAAACAGTGTCATGACTAAAGTTATCACTGTGTTTCCTTCTTCTAGTCTCACTTCCTCCCCTCGGCCTTCCTTCCTTTCCCTTCAAACTCAACACAGTTTCACTTTTCATCTGACACTTCAATCACATGCATCCAAACACAATTCAGACATGTTTTGCAGGGAAAATCTGACCTGCGTATATGAACATTTAAAGATCATTTATCCAGTCAGTCTCTTCACCATAAGGTCAGCAGTCCAAAGCAGTTACGACGAACGAAATTCAATGTTAATTTAGACATTTATATCAAAGAGGAGTGTTTTAAATACAGCAATGAGTATTTACTACTGTATGGAAGGAAATAAAACTTACAGTCAATAGAAAAAAGGATAGTCTCAGGATTTAAAGCACCATACCCGTGGTTTTATATCTTTGCTCATTATGAACAAATGTGTGAGTTTCTGTACTTGGGAGCAGAGGCTTCGGTCAAAACTCTTGAAAGTCCTTGAATTTGCCTTTAGAGAACGATTGTATTGAGGATTTTTCGTGCAAATTGCATGAAAAAAATCTGATCCAGAAGACAAAGTGTAAAGCACTTGTTGAAAAGGTGCTGTACTAATAAACTTGCCTCATTCGGGATGTGGGTGTCAAAGAGTTAAATGCTTCCATGCTTCAGAGGACATTCAGCAGTGGTTATTGTTAGACAGTTCACAGCATCGTCGTCCTGTGACACAAAAATAAAGAACATGCCGTCTTCATGTTGCTGTCCTCACCATCGAGTTTCACATCTCTAAACTTTCGTATCTTCCTGAAATAAAGAAATCAGCAGATGCCTGGAAGGAGGAACTTTCGTTTAACCTTTTACCTCACCCATGGCACATTCACAGTCTGCCTATTAGTCGTACTAGTACACACTGTCATACTGTCATACTAAAACAAAAGGTTTTCTAACTATGAACATGATATGTAGAGAATGAATCAATAGATTGGACTTGTTTCTTTGCAGCTAGTTGTGCTATTTGGTATTTGAGTATTTTTATATCAAAATCCTTCTCTTTTACATCCCTGTAAAATATTATAAGCATAAATAGATCCAATCACTTCTGGTTTTGAGTGACTAGCTAACCCTAGCAATCATATAAAAATACATTAGCTGACATATTAGGTCTGTATTTAGATTTCAGATGCTAAAACTTTAAACTCATTTCCAGAGAGTAGAGGGTCTAACCTAATCTCACTCTTGTTCCTAAACTAACTAAAAAAAACAACAACTTCTGAGCATCAAATCCTATCTGAAGGATCTGATTTTAATCCCTTAGATAATTATACCCCGTCCACTGATTCTGTTTCTCTCTTAAATACATTACTTCCACCCAAAGGAAGTTAAAGACAATCTAACTCTGACTGTAATCAGCTAAAACATCATTCCCTGTCATACATTTTTTTTTAAATAACCCAGGTATGATGTAGGTAAAGACTGCACACAACCGACACCTTAAATCTTAAGGATTGTTGGTTTTCAAAAAGTTAAATAATGAATTAAATGCATTTAAAATCCATTTCCCAAGCTCTAATGTTGTGTCTGCACTAACTGTTTCATTCTTCTTGGTATATGCCAAATATATGTTGATATATGTAATTTTTGAAAATACTCTTTTCCCCAGCCTTCCACTCTTTTCGTGACATATCTGGGGCACTTAAAAACATACATTCACCTAGTGATTATACCCTGTACACTTTGGTTTCCCTCTGAAACATGTTTGATCCTGTACGATGCTTTAACTTCCACTAAAACATGAAAAACCACGTGTATGATCCTCTGAGCTTGGCGACCACTGGGAGAGACTCAGACATTGGCTACATCCACTGACGTCTGGCTCCTCCCTGCCACCACAACATTGGTGTGTCTCGACGCGCTGCTGTCGTCCAAAGAGCGCTCGTTGGACTGAGTTGTCTGTCCTTCCACGTCGTCCGCCAGAGCCCTCTTGTACACCCCCGACAGACTCTGCTTGAACCGCCCTCTCACATCCAGCCCCATGCAGAAGTACAACAGCGGGTTCACACAGCTGTTGAAGTAGGCGACGCCCTTCGCCAAAGGGTGCCAGATCTTCACCACTTTGTTCTTGCTGTCCACCATCTTGACCAGCAGGAGGCAGTGGTACGGCGCCCAGCACAGGAAGAACGCGATGACTAGTGATGCCAATATACGTAGAGGGCGGGATTTCCCCGACAGACGGGTACGTCGGATGCCCACGCCGGCCAGGATGTAACAGATGAGGATGACCATGAAAGGCAACATGAAGCCACACATGAAGCGGATGGAGTAGAGAGCCAGTTTGGTGCTGTTGTCCCCCTCCGTTGCCTCCTTCACTTCCAGAGAACATTTACTCTTGTTGTTCTTCCCCAGGTAGACTTGGCGGTAGACGAAGTACGGAGTGCTGAAGACCGCTGCCATGGTCCAGACGCAGAAGGCCACCACCCTCGCCACCAACAGGGTGCGCCGTCGTTTGGCGAAGACGGGCTGCCAGACGCAGAGCGCTCGGTCCAAACTGATGACAGCCAGAAGAAAGACGGAGCAGAACATGTTGCCATATTTGAAGAAGCCGTTGAACTTGCAGAGGAAAACACCGAAGGGCCAGTAGTCAAAGAAGAGCTTCTTCGTGAGGGAGAAGACTCGTGTGCAGCAGAAGATCAGGTCGGCTATTGCCAGATTCACCAGCCAGACGTTGGTGACCTTCGGCTGAACAGAGGGGGGAAGAGAGAAAACATAAAGAAAAAGGAAAAGAGAAGAAAGGAAGAGAAATGTTAGGTACCACATCTATAAAAAAATTGGAAAGTTACCCCCAAGCAGCTATTGTCTAATCATGCCTTAGCAGTAGGCTCAGCACATGGCGAAACGCTTGCTGTTTCTAAATTTGCGTACTTCCATCCTCACACTTCATATTTTGAGAACAAATGCGTTCACAATGACAAGTTTGGCAACATGCAGTGCTATGTGCTATATGCACCCGGATGGTGCACTCAAAACTGTGAAAAAACTGAGTCTGATACGATGGACACTTCTCACCCTCGACAAGCGCCAAACTATTTTCAAACAGCGACGTCGACGTCGATGCTGATGGCAGACTAATTTCCATGTCCATTTCCAAGTGAGTAAAGCAGCCAACAGGCGATAATCAAATGCACAATGGCAGTGTTTGATTTGGGACAACACCGCCCTGTCAGACTTCATGCACTACACCACTGAGTATACTGTGTACAGTGTTTTTTCTTTCATAGTAACCATCCAAAACATTCAAAAGTTGCATAGTAACAAATAACATTTCAATTGCATATTTATAATTCATAATACTGTGCTATAGGATAAGGGCTAATTGGCTTCAGTACACAAACATGGCTGCTTATTTCCATATCCATCATGAAATGCGTGTTACGCTAGCTTTAGCCTCAGCCTGATAGCATAGTATCATGTACAGTATGTAGCCCTGTGGTGAAGGAAGTATTCAGATCCTTTATTCAAGTGAAAGTACTAAGACCACACTGTAAAGATACTCTCATAAAAGTAAAAATCCAGCATTGAAAATGTAATTTACGTAAAAGTACATATGTTTCAGGAAAATTTCCTAGAGCACCAACACCAATAGTAAAAGACAAATGACCCCTGTGAGTCAATGTATGTAATGATATATTACGTATATTTTTCAACTAGTGTGGACAGACTTTCTTTCACGTCTATCTTAAATCCACCTTGAGCTTGAATCCAGCCACCCAGATCACCATAGAGTTCCCTGTGATGCCCAGAACCACAGTCAGAGTGTAGAGGACGATGGTGACGTTGTCCATGATGGCGTCGATGTCCACTGTCGTTGCCTTGTCATTGTTGGAGGACTTGAGGGCGACAGAGCCATTGAGAGACATAGTGTGGCTGCAAACAGAGAAAAAATGAAACCTAATGTAACCCATCATAGTAACTGCTGTTTCTAACAGACAGTGAGCAAAAGATGAGAGTTTTAAGGGGATAACAAACAAAATACTCAAGTTCAGTATATTTTTTACACAATAGCTTCATAGAAAATTCATGGTACACCCATAGGTGTGAGAATATCACTGCAGCTGCTGCTGACGTTAATGGGGGCATCGTTGCTGCTATAGCACCTGCTCCTGCAGCGAACGCGGTCCAATCGCATCTATTGATTTTCCAACTCAGTTTATGTGAAACCACGCCCACTTCCGTATGAAGACAGCCTTGACGTGACAAAAGAAGCCCCAGCGCTAAAACTAACCAATTCGGAAGTGGGCATGGTTTAATCTGAACTCGGTTTGGAAAGGTATGCATGTGGTCCAGTCAGTCCTGGAAACACCTGGAAACACCTGGAACTCGTTAGGTCTTCATCTCTGTTAAAAGCTGGGATCTGGTTGACTGTTGGGTTTTGCGGTTTGTTCGGTTTCTCATGATATTTCATCACTCATCAAACATATTAGTCAGGATATGAAAATGCACCTGCTGGTAACCTGACCATTAATTTTCATGTAAACAAAGCATCTGTTGTACACATTACATTTCCTCTATATTTTTTTTTGTGAACCCCCAACCTTAAAGTTCAAACTGTGCCTATAGTTTCACCTCAGAAATGGGTTCACTTATACTGGAGGTATATATATATATATATATATATATGGAGCTGGAGGCAGGAAGGGTTTTACTTGTGTTATCTGTATCAGCTGAAACACAGAGTGACAACCACAAATCCTCATTCAACACCAGCTAACACAACAATGTAAGTCAGTTTGCCTTCCTCTGTCTGACAGGCAGTCAACCATCATTCAGATCATTATATTCACAATAGAGAAAAACACACTCGATTCCTTATGAAGGAGTAAATGAAATGAATGGTTTACAAAGAGAGTTTGTAGCTGTGTTCCCTTCCTGTTTTATTTTTCAGTGATGAGGCTAAATGCAGGTTCATGCTCTAGCAAGGAGCCGATCTATTTCAGAAGCTGATGTTTGAGGTCATGAATGCAGTGTGGGTTTGGGGCACTTCCTCTTTCTACTTTCATGCAAAAAACACTGCCCAAGAGTTACGATGAAGGAAAATAAGATTAGAGTCACAAGCTTCAAAAAAAAAAAAAAAGGACACAATGTCTCTTCAACAAGTCAAATTTTCTGATCACAAGCTTTAGTCTTCAAATGATGCTCTGAAAATAGACAGTAGTAGACCGAATGAATCAACACAGGTTTGTGATGTTGACGAGTCAGATGTGCCCAGCTGAGTCACTGAGCTTCAGTGTCTGAGAATGTGCCAAGGTGTGTGTGTGTGTGTGCTGACTTCTAATACAACTATGTGTGTGTGTGTGTGTGTGTGTGTGTGTGTGTGTGTGTGTGTGAGAGAGATGTCGGTCACATATCTTATCTTCTTCTCTATGGTGATGACTCCTGTGACCTCCATTGCAACGGAGACAGCTGAGGGACTTTTTGTTTTATTGTTAACCATCACAAACTCCCACAACCTTAACCCTATATATACCGTGTGTGTGTGTGTGTGTGTGTGTGTGTGTGTGTGTGTGTGTGTCTGTGTGTGTGTGTGTGTGTGTGTGTGTGTGTGTGTTACGCATCACAGGTCTTCTGTTTGCTGACTGGGTTAGAAAATCATCATCTACTGTAAAGCAGCTTACATCATTGTGATTTTTTGTCTTTAACTAAAGCAGTGTAGATTTTTATTATAGTTTTATTATATTTCAATGATAATATAAAGTATTTGGGACATATTTGAGTATTTTAATGGACCTTGAAGTGAGATCACTTTGTCCAGAGATGTTTCCAAGGTCAGAAATGAAGTTTAAAAGTCAGGTTTTAAGCCAAGGCAACAGGTTCTTCTGTTGATTATGTGATACGATCTAAAAGCTCCACATCAGCTACTGAACAGATCACATGGTGACACAGTTTCCTCAGCACTAATCATTGGTCAACATCAGGTAGAACCTGTGTGTGTGTCTGTGTGAACCTCCAGAGCTGTAGAGTCTGGACCTGCAACTGCAAACCACCTACTGCCCCATGATCCTGTCTAACACCTGCTGCTAAACCTGCTCAAATTTGCTACAATTAACAATGATTATTATTAATGTTATTAGCCGTCATTTGTCCTTTTATCAGTAGCAGCACTACAGTTGCTACTACATTACTATTGCTGTCACTGCCGCTACTATCATTATTATTAATATTGCAATCACTGCAGGTTCTTGTTCTTTTCCTCTGTGCTCTTGCACGCTCTTTCTCTCTCTCTCTCTCGCTCTCTCTCTATCTCTCACTCCCAACCCAACCGGCCGTAGAAGATGGCCACCCACCCTGAGTTCAGTTCTGCTAAGGGCTTCTGCCTCTTAAAAGGAAGTCTGCTCTTGGTGGGAATTGCTGGGTCTCTGTAAATATTACTATAAATAGAAAGTCTAGACCTGCTCTATTTGGAAATTGTATTGAGATTACTTATGTTGTGAATTGGCGCCATACAACTTGAACCTGAAATCCATTCTAACAACTTAATGATAACTATTAACTTAATTACCTGCGTGACAGCATCGCTGGTATTGTTTTCACCGTGTGTGTCTCATCATGGCAAAATGTGTTCCTGACCTGGAGACATGTTGTAGCAGGAAATGACACAGAGGAGGTTTAAGTTTCGTACATTTGTTGATAGTGTCACAACTGCGCAAGATACAGCCACGAAACTTTTCAACTACGTAGTTGAGATCAAAACGAAGTTCAAAGATGGGTGTGCTGAGTACTCATGAGTCATGTACATACATGTATATTTAAGACATGCAGGAATAAAATGCACAAAAAACAAGCCATTAGCCGGGTTTCCATTGTGGTTTTGTACAAAACAGAAGGGATTTTTTTTTAGAAAAGTTGACAAAAAAAAACATTTGCCAATGGTCGGTGTTCTGCAATAAAGCTGGGATTTCTCTTCTCTCGATATCATTTCAATTAAACGTGGCGAAAGATTTCCGGCAGTCGCCGAAATCTGACCTGAAAACTTCAAACTTTTCAGCCAAAATAAATTGCTAAAGGAGATGAAGAAATTCATTTCAATAGGCTGAGGACGACAAGGTGAAGGTATTTTAAATTTAAAACAACCTTAACAGTGGTAACAAATGTCATTGACCTTCAAAGGAAAAGAAAAAGAGTTGGCTGCTGATGGTGTTGTTTAGGACAGACATAATCTCAATAATCTGATGAACCCAAGAGATCATGTGACCGACAAAAACTGAGAGTATCGGGGCGTCGTGTGGCATAGTGGTCTAAGCAGGCGTCTCATGTGTAGAGGCTATAGTCCTCGCTGCAGTTGGCCCCGGTTCGAGTCCCGCATTGGACGGCCTTTGCTGCATCTATCTATCCATCAAAAGATAGATGCATCTATCAGTTGTGTGAGTGTGTTCACATTTGGTTTGGTTTCCAGCAAACATTTCTGCCATTGGTATCACTCTATTCCTCTGATCTTAAGATGCTGTAATGCACCAGGAAATACAGGGAAGAACAAGACTGCCAGCAAGTAAACATGGATGTAAACAATGCCAGTTTCATAATATAACAAAAAGGAAGGAAGTGTTTGTAAGACCTCAAGTACACCGACTGTGTTTTGTTGAGAAACACTGAATGCAAAGAGAAACTGATTTTTAACTGTAAAACTCCACAAAAAAAACACACATATACAAATACTGCATTTCAAGTGACACTTGTATGAGAATATTTCACTTACTTAAGTGTTATTAACAAGTATGAAAGTATCAAAAGTTAAAGTTCTCATTATGCAAATTGGCCCCTATCAATGTTATAGATCATCATCATTGTAGACGTTACAATTTACAAATGTCCCCTAAATGCCTCACATGCAGACTATTGGTAGATGCTACAATTTACAAATGTCCCCTAAACGCCTCAAATGCAGGCAATGGGTAAATTGGTACAGCTCTCATCGTCAGGGGCCCCACTTAGAGGGGTTTGGGGCAGCAGCACTGTATAGTGTCTTTAACGGAGGTTTAAGGGGGCTTATTGTTGTCATTGCAAAATGTGCCAATATAAGGGGCCATCAGGGGCCCCTTTTCCCCTTAGGGTCCCAAGCATTTGCCTGGTTGCCTGCCGGATGCGCCTCTGCTCAGAAATTGTGGCCATAAAAAACATTTCACTCAGAGTACACATCATCTAGCGTCAGAAAGAGCTGAAACACAAGACAAATTTGATGCTGCCAAAGAGTCTGGAATTACAACAAGAGGAATTTCAAACCTTAAAGCTTATTTAGGGGAAAAATAAAGTTGAGAAACATGTATGTAAACATCTTCCAGGAAAGACTGTCTGTTCATTATCCTTTTATTTCATCTTTATGAAAAAAGATTGTGTGGAAAAAGAAAGTTAACTGCAGCTATGTGCATCTGGAAGACACTAAAAAGGAACTTATATATACCCACAATTAACATGTAATGTGGTCGTGGACACTTCTCAAGGAAATTAGTGAGAAGTTTGTGAGAAGCTGGTGTTTCCTTTACCTGTAACTAACCTCAAGTGTTTCCCATCACAGTCACGTGTGCACGAGAAAGATCGGCTTCGCATCTTTTCGCTGTTTTGGCCACCAGATCTAAGAACTAAGCGCAGTGATCACACAGGTTGTTGCCTAAACAAAACTCTCATTACACTTTCCAAACCACATGAAACTGATCACACCCATCAGGTTATTTATAATCGTCCACTGCATCAAATAATTGCGCTCAGCTGCAGGAAGTAGATCGAAAAAATAAATCCATGATGACATTTACATATTAAAGACTTTTGGCCATCCAATGGAAGTTTTAGTAATCTGTATTGAAAAAATGAAAAACCTCAGACACACAGAGACAAAGTCAAGCATCTGTAAACACCATTGAACAGGGCATGTTGAGAGGAAATTCAACACAATACAACAGAAGAAAAACATTTCACAGTTTCAGCTCTGAATCTTGCTCCATCTGACCCAACCACAGACTTCCACCTGTGGTGTGAAGTACATTTGCCCAACCTCTCATGTGTGACTGCACTTTGGTGGGAACTAATATTTTTTTTTTAAAAAAAGCACATTATTTCAAAGTGGCAATAGACAACTTTCCACCTGAGTTTCCAAGTGGTATCAATGTTGATGCCACTGTCTCTAAGAAGAAATGAGTTTGTTTCACAACTGCTCATTTCAGAGAGGTCACCACCAGGACACATGTCATTTGTTTAGATTCTCAATGAATCGTTAGTTTCTAGCCAGCTTTAGCGCTGCTTTGGCTCATGTCCAAAGCAAGAAACAACTAAAAGTATCCCACTTTGAATGAGAAACCCTGATCTCAGTGCTCAGCACAGGGCTTGTTATTGTCTGATCTTGTAGAAGAAGGGTCAACTGCATGGTGGTTTTGAACCCTGTCAAGTCTCTGAGTTCTCTGCGTTGTCAGATGGGTCATAGGGACCGGGACAAAGACTGGTGACCCGCTGCATTTCTGTGCTTGTGGACATTAAGTCCAGAGCTGAATTTCTGTCCCAGTCTGGCCATGGCTCTCTCCATCTCCATTTCTCATATATTTTCTTATACTTCATACTGTGAACTGTTGCACATTGTACATATTTGTAATATTTTTTTATATTTCTATAGTATTTTTTCAAATTTTATTGTAAATATTATAATAGGAAAATGTTTCTATTTACATTTCAGCCACCCGGCTTGCAGTACTGGTGGAGTGCAGTACTGCGTTATCTCAATATTTTTATATTTTTTCTTCTTACTATGTTTATTGTTATGCACCGAAACACTAAATCAAACTGCTCATATGTGAAAAGGTACTTGGCAATAAACCTGATTCGAGAATGTCTGTCTGAGGTTCACCCTTGTTTCAGCTCGCTTTTTATCTCTCTCTCTCTCTCTCTCTTCGCTGTCTTTGGTTCCTGCAACTGCCATTTCTGCTATCTGGAACAACAAAGCGATCCTCTTTCTGTGTTGGTGCCAGTTGCACTTCCTTTGTGCCATAAATTGAGCCTTCATTTTTTGCAAAGTGAAAGTGATGCTTACAGGGAACCAATCTTAACTCAGATCGAAACATGTCATTTTTGTGCAATCAACATTACCTCATAATGATAAGTTTAAAAAATGTGTCTAATGTCACATTAAAGTTGTCAAACTTCCTCACAAGACAACTGTGTAAAAACAAAACAAATTGGCTGCAAAAATGTTTTAAAGAATTTCAAGTAAAATTTTGAAGGATGGTTTGTATCAAAAAAAAAGAGGTACAAAATTTTTCTGTCCACAAAATTTGAGATAATGACATAATGATCATCTTTAGACGCACTCACCCGACAGCAGCAGAGAGCAGCTTCCGTTTTTGTGGTGGTAGAAAGACAAAAACACCACTCACTGGTGATAAACAGGTCAGAGGATGTTGAGGCTTCAGATTCAAACTGGTTGAAGAGTGAAATATTTTTAAATGTCTTGGTCACATATAACTGTTGTGTTTTTTTCCCATATCATTGACTTAACTTTATTATGAAGGAGGTACTAACGACATGTTAAATCTAATATCTAAATGCTGTTGAAAAAGTTACATGTAACAAACACTATATGTTGTATATATATGTATATTTGACCTCAGAATCATATTAGACAATAGTCATGACTACAAAAGATCATGACCACTCTCATCCTGACTGATGTTGTTTCATGTAATCTGGATATTTCACTGAATGCAATAAATTAGTGGTTCACAACCTGAGGGTCAGGACCCCTCAAAGGGTCACAAGATAAATCTGATATTTTAAGAAAGAAGTTGGGTTTATTTTTTTATTTTCAGACTTTTTTTCAAATCTTTGCTTTTTTTCTTTTCTTAAACGAGGAGAAGGGTTTTACCTTTTCAGGTCATTGAAAGCTTAATCAAATTAAAATTAAAGGGGCACTTTGTTGGGGTTGCGAGGTGAAAATGTTGTTTGTTTAAATGTTTAAATCAATTCAGGAAATTATTAGAAGCAATATGAGCCAATATAAGAATTTTGTTACTTTTTTTTCAAGAAAAACCCAACATTAAACTTGTACATCCTGTTTTTGTTTTGTTTTTTCAGCATCTGTGGGTGAAAATGACGTTTTTTGCAAAAACCAAAGACCAAAAAGATGACCACAATTACCAGTTTGATGTGAGGAAACATAACATGGGGCTGAAAATAAGTTTAAATCACTTTTACTTCCAAAAAAATGTACATTATGTTTGGTGGAAATCAGTAAACTCCAAAAAGGATGAGACTTCTTGTAAAACTCAAAGTCCAGCGTCAACCGTGATGCATCACTTGGACAAGTTTTGCTTGTGGAATAATGAAAATTATCTCAAGTTCTCTGCTGTATTAACAGTGATGTTTAGGAACTAATTTATTCATTCACACGAGTCCCAACATCACTGAAGTTTTACCAAAAGTGTTTTTGTTGCCTAAATCCTCTACTATAAATTCCAACCACCTCACTACGACTTCCATACTACAGCTCTTTACTCTCCCTAAACCCTGCCAGTGAATATAATCCAGCCAGTGTTTCTGTTTCAAATATAATGTATTTGGTAAAAACACATCATGCAACAAGTGTGTTTACTGTGTAATGTGTAACAAAGATCATCTGTGAAATCAGAAATGTCCTGACTTACCTGTAGATGTCCAGCTGATATCACAGCGCTGAGGTCTGCTGCTTCAGTCTTAGTGGTCAGAGGCAGAAGTGAAGACGCATCTTCATGAGCTGTGTGTGTGTGTGTGTGTGTGTGTGTGTGTGTGTGTTTATGTACACTGAAGTTCCCCAGTGTCACTATTACTTCTAGTGGTTTTATTGCGAGAAGCTGAACTCACAAACACACATGCACACGCACACACAAACACACATGCACACGCACACACACAAACATGCACACACAGACCCTTCCTCTTTCACCCTCCCTTTTAATGTCATGCGCGTCTGACTTTGTCTTCCTCTTTTTCTCACACAGTCACACTCACTTTGTCTCCCTCTCCTTGGCACACGCACGCATGCACGCACACATTCACACACACACACACACACACACACACACACACACACACACACACACACACACACACACACACACACAGATGTATAAACACACAAATCAAATGACCGACTTGTGTTAATCAGAGTCTAGAGTTATTTCTTTCCTCCTCAGTCTCCTCAACCAATCAGATCTCTCTGAACAGGGCCGATGACCTTGTGTTATTACAGCAGAGAACTTTATATAATCTCCATTATTCCACAAGGAAAACTTGTCCAAGTGATGCATCATGGTCAATGCTGGACTTTGAGTTTTTCTGATTACCGCCAAACATAACGTTCATTTTTTCTTCCCTTTGCTGCTGTTTCCGGTAAACGTGGTCATCTTTGTCTCAGAACAGGCTTCCAGTAATAGAGAGACAAACAAATAAAGAGACCACAAAAGAGCAAAAGATCAACTGAGTTGCTGGTGCTGATGCATTTCAGTAAGTGGTTCTCAAACTTTTTCAAGTCAAGGACCCTAAAGTGACACAAATTAGACCACAGACCCTTATCTGAGAAGGTCTTGTCAAATGGGCCCCATCTGATAAGATTTTTGCTTTTAGATGTTTTATTATAGAAAGCGTTTGAACCCTATGGCCAAAATAGTCACACATTCTGTCATTGTGTTACTTATGGATGGAATTATTGATGGAAAGATTGCTGGGGACCCCCATGAGCCCCCTCAAGGACCACTTTCAGAACCACTAATAAAAAAAGACACAAGTACATTGTTAAAAGTTTTTGCTAATGTTGTTAATGTATCATTTATAAAGGCTTAATGCTGTAACTGTTAATAAATCTTTTACTTATGCTTCATAAATCAGTCATTGCCAGGTTATGGAAAATGCTCCTCCAGTGAGCACTCATTACGGAGTCTGCAGTTATAAATGTGAGTATGACATTATTAAGGGTCATGGGTCGTTCAATTTGTAATCAACCATCAGCAAAGGTTGGTAAAAGGAAAAATATGGTAAAAGGTTCTACAATCCATCAAGTCTGGAGTCATAAATATTATTAATAAGCAGTTTATACATGGATTTGGGACCAGATGCCTTGTGCCCTTTTTCCAGGGGGGGAGACTGTCCACTGGAAGAGTACCTTTCCACTGCAGGAACTTTCCAAGAGAAACAGGAAGCTTTTGAGGGACTCATTTCCCCAACCCGAGTTTAGACCAGGGTCTAAATTAAGTTCTGGGGGGGATAGTTTTAACCACCAAAAAGTCCTAGCTCGGGGGGTAGTGGATTCTGAAGGTTCAGTAACTTTCAGGGTGGAGTCTGCGGCACTGAACTGAATGTTCTGGTACACTAGCACTGCAGTACACCTGACCCATCCTGGGATTTGTGGGAATTACAATGTGCTGGAGGAACTGTTACTGTTGGGAAAGATTTTACATGTCTTATAACTGATCTATAAAGCATTAGTAATTCATTTATTTACCAGTAATAAAGCCATATTAATTACAGCCTATAAACCCTTTATAAATAGTGTATTCAACATAAAGTAAGTGCAGATAAATTATTGGATGAAAGTAAAACTTTTAAAAAGAAGCCCAACCTTCAACTAGTTTGAAACAAAATGAGTGCGTCCTGCAGGAAGTGAGTAACTCTTCTTTGGCTCCACTCTTTCCCCTTTAATTCACCACTTTCTTCTTTCTTTTCTCCTGCCACTGAAAAATGTTTCAATTTCATTCTTTCACCGCTCCCCTCACCTCGGCCAATCACATCACTGCACACAGGGCGCATGACCGTATGTTGCAAAAGGTCATGACAGCAATATCCTGAGCACACAGAGGGAAGTCATTAAACAAAAAGTGATACACACTTCAACAAAAGCAACAGACATTGTTTCTGACAGCTGACTGAACATTCAGATTTGGTTTAATTCAGGATTAATTACAGTTTAGATTGAGATTATGATCAGGGCTGGTGTTAGCTGTGTAACTGAAGGTTAAAGTTTAGTGTTGCCTTCACGTGTTAGGGATTCTCTTGTGTCTGCTGCCCTCTAGTGGCACAAAGTGAAGTTGTTTCACTGTGATTCCTCAGATTTCGAACATGTTGCTCTAGATCAGATTTGATTCAGTTTTAGGGATAAATGTCCACCCATCTTCCTGCACAGAGTCTGGTTTCAGTCCACCACTTTGGTCCAGACCAGTGACACCGGTCCAGACTGCAACATCTCAAAAACTAGAGGATGGACTCTAATTCCGAGCCACTGACTTTTTCCTCTAGCAGGTCAATTTCTTCATTTATCCTCTCAAATATCTCATCATCATCAGCTTTTATCTATTTTGTAAACACCCTTATTGTTTCAAGAGGATGTAGGTCTGACTTTGCCACGATGAGGTCAAAACTTCACTATGTCCAGTACCTGCAAAACTCATGAATCAGGTCCCAATAAAACAGACTACTACTTCCTGCTGGTATTTAAATGTGGGTGCGTTGGAAGGAAACAAGAAGTATAGTGATTGGACATTTTAGAGAAAAGGAGAAATGTGCTGCTGTGGCGAAGGAGGTAGAGGGGATTGTCCACACATCAGAAGATCAGTGGTTCGATTCCCGTTCGATTCCCGTCTCCTCCAGTACACATGCCAAAGTGTCATTGGGCAAGATACTGAACCCCCATATTGCCACTTTGAATGGTCGATAAGACTTTAGAGCTAAGGCCAGTCATATTTTAGTTACCATAAATTATACCCTAAGCGTTTTTGTAAAGACTGCGTACCTACAGGTTATAACACTGAAAAATTGAAATTCAACATTTTTCTTATTGTGTAATTACAAAGTAAAAAGGGGAAAACGGTTGATACTTGATGTAATGTATAAGTAATTATTATAATAAAACATTAAATTGTTTAAAATAAAACCAAGTTTTTAAAAATAATCAAAATTTAAAAAAAGCTTTTTTTTGTGAAAGCTTGGTTCCTAATTGGACTTCCTCCTCCTGACCCTCAGCAGTGAGACACTTTGTTAAACTTACAGTTGTCATGGTCTCAGCCTGGAGGCTCCAGGGTTTTGGTTTTTTGGACTTTTTTGATTTAGTTTTCTGTGTTTTGGGTATTTCTAGTGTCTAGTTTAGTCTTCCCTGTCTTGTGCTCTGTTTCCCCATGCACTTCCTGTTTTATTTTGTAATTTGGTTCCTTGTGTGTCTTAGTGTTTTTGCTTCCTGTCTTGGTCCTGTTTTCTGTGTGGTGATTGTCTGACTCGCCCTAATTTGTCTCACCTGTGTTCAACCACCCTCGCCTCCCTTGTCTATATAGTCTTTGTGCTTCCCTTTGTCTGTGTCGGTTCGTCTGTTGTCTCTCTGTTGTTCTCTGGCTTTTCCTCGATCTGTTCATGTCTGTCTAATCATCATCAATCTGTTCACGTGGCCTGTTCATGTCTGGGATGTCCCCGAGCTGTCCATGTCTGGTTTGTCCTTAGTTTGTTCATGTCTGGTTTCGTTTTCGGTCTGTTCATGTTACCTGTTCATGTTCTCCTGTTGTCATACCCTGTGGTTCCCTGTGCTGTTGTACAAGTTCCTTTTGTTAGTTTAATAATCTGCACCGTCTCCCATGCGTTGGCTGCATTTGGGTCCAGCCTTACCCCTCTAACCCTGACAGTCGTGACAACAGTAAATGAACTAAGCCTAATTCCTCTAACATGTTATTCAGAGTCAAGAACAAAAACTTGCATATTTCACAGGTTTTTACTGTTATTACACAAGCAGACACTCAGTGAAGTCCCTGATTCCCACACTTCCTGTTTTGAATATTCATTCCTCATTCAAAGCGTATCCACAAACACACAGAGGTCTGTTCTGGACGAACTGCTCATCATCATTTGACAGGTAAAGACAATATATGAATGTGTGTGGTGTTGAAGATCACAGAACTGTTTTGTTGACTGATTTAATCAAGATGTTGTATTTAGAAAGCAACATAACGGATGTCTCTCGTGGGGAATTAGTTGCTTAGGGCTTCAGTTCCTTATTTTAAGTGTTACTGTTATAAATTTCATTAGACAGTAGCAGCTACAAAATGATATTTGTTTTGTTTTTATTTGCTTTTATTTGTCTGAGTAAATCAGCTGTGATTTTTGGCTTAAGAGCAGAAACAATATTTTTTCAGTTGCAAATTGTGTCATATTATTTTTTCTTGTCTCACTCCTTTATTTGTTTGTTTTTTGTGTTTGTTTTGATTTGTTTAAATGTCTGACACGGTTCATCTGGGATTTAAATGCTTGATCTTCATCCAGCTGAGATGGGTGTTGGTCTGATGCTTGTCGCTTTGCTCATCGCAGTGATGCAAGGTTGGTAGCTCTCGGATTTCACACATCACGGATATTTCTTCATGTGGAAGTATAAGGTTTTCTTCAGGGTGTTTTTCTATATATTTCAGTCAGATCAACAGACGTGAAGGAAGTGCTCAAATCCTTTAGATAAAAGTGCTAAAATTATACTATGAAAATACTCTGTTACAAGTCAAAGTCCTACAGTCAAAATGTTACTCAAGTACAATCAAGTAAATGTAATTCAAGTACAAAAAGTAAAAGTCCTCTGTGAATGCTTTACTATCATATATTATATCATTAGATCATCATTATTAAAGCAGGATTTTATTTTTGTAGATGGTTGAAGGGTGCAACTATTGATTATTGTCATTATGGTTTAATCTGCTAATTATTTTCTTGATTAACTGATTGATTTATCGGTTTGTAAACATCGGAAAATAGGAAGAAATGCTTTTATAATCAAAACTCAAAGTGAAACTTTCTCTGTATTTGTTTTAGTCCAACCAACAGTCTAAACCTCAACAAACTTTAACTTTAATACTAATAAATTGAAATACGGAAAAGGAAAAGCAGCAAATCCTCACATTGTTTGGTATTTTAATCAACTGACTGTTTCAGCTGTACTTCTGAATATTGTTGGTTTTTTTTTCATTTATAACAATGCATCATATTTTATAAATGTTTCATATATTTTGTTTGCAGAAATCTTAAATATTTAAAGCTGAGAAACATTAGGTGGGATAAAAATGCAATATTTCCCTTTGAAATGTAGTGAAACAGAAGTAAAAAAAGACTACTGTTGAGTACTTGAGTAAATGTACTTAGTTCTATTCCACCATGGGGCTGGAGATTAAAGTGAATGAACGTGCAGATACGCCGCTCTAAATGCAGCTGAGGTCTTGCATTGTGCCTCTCCAGGTGTCTTCAGTAAAACCTGGGATGTGACGCTGCCTCAGAGCATCACGAGCATGACTAACTCCTGCGTCACAGTTCCGTGTCACTTCGAGGTCCCGGACGATCAGGAAGCAAACCTCCTGAACTGCTCAGACAGGGGTCTTTGGAGGAAAGGGACACTCGCTGGTCCCATCGTGTTAGATTCACAAAATCCTTTCAATAACCAAGTACAAGTAGGTTCTGTCTTTCTTCGTTTTTTTCTTTGTTTCACTTGGTGACACACAACTCATGAGCAGATATGTAGAGGAAACCAGTGGTAATGAACTTTACCCCTTACAGTAAAATTACAGTTTTTCTCAATCGCTTTGAAACAATTCGACCATTAGAAACATCATTCTCACGACTCTGAATGCAGTTCTCTAAACATGCAAAGTCAGTCAGTCACTTCAACACTGCCACCAGTGAATTAAACCTTTTCACTTAGACGCCAAATGTTTGGGTGTTTTGATAAAAACCTGACTGACTTTAAAAAAAGAGAACTGCAAAACAACACTGTATTGAATTGTATATAGTACAAGCCTATGGAAAACAAGAGCTTTAGATTTAGAACGACAGTGTGTAAGTACATGGTGTATCCAAAAATTTACTATAATGAAAAAAGTGTTTGGCGTTTGATTCAAATACTGTTTTTTTTTTTTTTACATGTTTTTACTGTATGATGTTTCCGATGCAGATTTTGTGGCACTTTGCATTTTGTGTGTAGTTTTTGGATTTGTGTGAAGAGTTTTGAAGAAATGAGACCTAGTTTAGAAAATGTGTGAAAGCAGTTGAAAAAAATTGTATCTGTAAATTCACAGAATATAACAGCTGTAACTGAGGAAAGCAGAACGATACACATGGAACTATGTATCAGAAAATAGGAAACATGCAATCAAACTTAGAACATAGCATCAGTTACAGTTAATTCACACTACATACAGTATATATATGTGAACGTGAGAACTGCATTAAGAGCTGTGAGAATGATGTTGATGTGTTAATTGCGTCACAGCGATTGAGAAAAACTGTGAGCAAAGTTGTGTTCTTGCTTTTGAGAGGTCAGACGTTGAGAGAACTTCAACCAAAAAGTGATTTTCCCTCATCAGATTGTTTCATTTGAAAGATTTGAATCATTTTTCAGTCAAAAACAAAACAAAATGATAGGGGTTATTTCTTTCTTATCCCATCAATCCCAATCAATCCCGTGTTTGTGATCCTGTAGCTTTATCTCAAAATAAAGTTTTGTTTACTCTCAAAACACTTGTAGGGGCAAGTAGTTGGGGACTTAACAAAGAAGAACTGCACCACAGTGTTCTCGAGCTTCCCAAAGGACTACAGCGACATGTACTTCTTCAGGCTGGAATGTCTGAACACCATCAAATACACGTTCAGTGTTGGAGTCATGATCACCTTTCAGCCAGGTAAGCTAAGACAAGATAAGATGTACCTTTATTGATCCCCCGAAGAGGAGATTCAAATTGACACAGCAGCACAAAAGAATAGGGGCTGTCCAGAATGGTTTTCAGCTTTCCCTTCATCCTCTTCTCCGTCACTGCCTCCACACTGTCCAGTTCCATCCCCGCCACAGAGCTGGCCTTCTTCACCAGCTTGTTCGGTTTCTTAGCGCCGCTAAGGTATGAATGAAGTGATCAGAGGTTGTCAAATATGGTCACTTGTGCTTCTTTCACCCAAAGTTTGTAATTTTGTCTCTAGATTTTTAGGTTTGGAGTTTATTGTTTGAGTGTTTGGTGACAGAAAAAAAGGTTTTGTTGTCTGTTTGTCTTTAGCCTCTGTTGGTTGGTCAGTCCACCAGACTGAAAAATCTCAACAACTATTGGACGGATTGTCATGAAATTTTGTTCATACGTTCATGGCTCTTAGAGGATGAATTCTACTGACTTTGGTGACACTCTGACTTTTCTTCTAGCGCCACCTTGAGGTTGACGTTTGTTCACTGAAATATCTCAACAATTATGAAATGGATTGACCATTCAATTTACTTCACATATTCACATTCCCCTCAGGATGAACTGTAATCACTTTGGTGATACTTTTCAAACTAGCGCCACCATCAGGTTAAAATGTTTATTTGCACGAAACTTCGGTTTATGACTAAATACCTGCAAAACCGACATTCCCATTGGCCTCAAGTGCACTTTGTGTCAATTAGCAAATATTAGCATGCTAGTAAGCTGCACTAATGTGGCAAACATGGTAAACCTTACACCTGTTTAACAGTAGCGTTCAGCTCACAGAGCAGCTATGGCTGACTGTTACTGATATACTGAGACTGAGACTGGGACTGAGGAAGAAATTGATGAAAGTGAACGGTCACACTGAAAAAATGAAGCAAACTTTTAAAAATGCAAAATTAAGACTAGTTTAGAGTTTCGATTCAGACACATTCTTATGCTTCTGATCAGCTGATGTTCTCATAGCTTCACATTTCATTTTCTGTGTGAGAGCTGCTGTAGCACAGAAGGTCCTGGTAGCTCAGTTTGGTAGGAAACAGGTTTACTTACCACCTGACTTGGACTAACTTTCTTCAGGTGGCCAGACACACGACTCAAAGTGTTTTGCTAAATGTTGCTCCCTGTCTGCTGGACATGGACAAAAAACTGTATCTCTAACTACATCTTTGTTATATGGTGTCTGCGTCCTCCACAACAGCCCCGCCTCCTCCCACGCTCACCTTTGTGAGTCAAGTGTCAGAGGGAGCCCAGGTGAGGCTGCAGTGTTCGGTCCCAGTGCCGTGCTCCATCCTGCCCCCCTCCCTCACCTGGCTCCCCCGGGACACCTCCAGACAGGAGGACACTCAAATGCTGCAGGTGATGGATCACTCATTCATTCATCATTCATTCAGTCACTCATTTACAGTGTTGTTTACAGTAACAAGACGAGGCTGATGTTATTCTATATTTTCACCAAATCCCATGAAAAGACTAAAACCAACAATGTGTGAGTCGGTCTCTCAACATTTTCTGTCCGCCCTGCCCTGTGTGTAGCTGTCAAGCCCCAGCCCAAGGCGTACATCTTTAAAAACAAAGTCACAAATATATCATTTCATCTTATCATTTAAAATTTCCTAAAACAGCAGCGCATTGTTGTGCAAAATGGAATAAATGTTACATTTGTAGGGAACTACTTTTAGTGGTGGATTAATCCACATTTGGTGTTCCGAGTATTTCCAGCAGTAGGACGGTGTATGTTGGACTAAACTATAGTTTTTATTCATTTTTGTGAGACAGCCCTCTATAGTAATATGTATGCCATATATTTTCTAATTTAACAGGTTAAATTTTTTTTTAGTTTTTAGTCTTTTTTCAGGATTTATTGACAACAGGACAAATGTAGACTAACACCTGCCTTATTTTTAAAGTATATTTTTCAGGTATTTGTAGTTTACTTGAGTATGTTTCTGTTTTAATACTTGAAAATGTTGCACTTCTTACTTCATTACGTTTATTTCACAGCTGCAGTTACAATTAATTTACAGATTAAATACTTACACATGAAACATATGATCTTATTATGAAGTCTGACACATTGTTATAAATGAAACTACAAAACCTCAGATAAAGTAGTTGAAATTAGCTCCAAATATATCTCAAATTAGTTATATCATTAGGCCTATAATAATATTCATAGGTTCAGATTTATTTTGATTGTTTCTTTCGTCACTGTATAATTGAACAAATAATAACAATTCAAAAGGCGATAAACTGTGTTCTGTTACATGAGAACACACTCCATGAAAATGTCAGTGATTCGGGTATTTCCCTCTTTATTTTGTAAGAGCAGACTGCAGATGGGCACATGATGATGACATCCACACTGACCTTCGTGGCCACAGCCGACCATCAGAACCAGAGCATCGTCTGCTCAGTGTCCTACCCGCTGTCAAAAGGGGGCAGCACTGAACCGTCTGCAGCAACTCAGAGACTCAACATCCTGTGTGAGAGACTCAGTGTTTGTCTGTATTAAAACGCACCATGCAGAGCACCACAGTGACCTCTGCTGACACAGATACACATACACACATATAGGATGCTTCATTCGTGCAAATAAAAGCCTTGATAACTTAATCTTCTGAAGTAAAAGTGGCCAGTAGATTTAGTGAAGTTGAAGACAGGATTTTACTGATTTTTTTTTTGAGACAAAATTTAAGAGGTATATGAGTTATATACATTACAGTACAGTACTTAGACAACACCTTATACCAATGGCTGGCAAGGAACCAAAGGGGTTAAGGCTGAACACCAAATCTGAGATGCTTAATCATTAATTTACTAGTTAGCGCACCACTCAGATTAAGATGCTACATTACAAAGATATGAGGAGCCATAAAAATACAATAGATCATCCACTTACAGTAAAGCAGTGTCTGGTTGGGAAAACTTGCCACGTTCCAGTTGTTTTATGAATTGTTGGCAGTTTGAATTCAATGACTTTCCCTCTTAACTTCTCAGATGGTTTCCTCTAAATGACAAAAATACCCAAGATTTCACAAGACATTTCACAAGAAAAGATTCAATTGCAAAGATTAAACACAAATTTATGTCAAATGTTTTTTTCTCCCATTAATCATCATTTACCATAATCTACTAATATCATACAGCATATAATAATATATTAATACCTTTTTTGACAATATTTATGCACTTCTATGTAAGTATAAGGTTATGAATGCAGGACTTGTACCTGTAATTAAGCATTTGTACTTTTGCTTAAGTTAAATCTTCCACCACTGAGTCGCTGTTAGATGTTTAATGAAATATCAAAGAACCAAAAACATCCTGCCACACAAAACCATATAGTCATTGTTACTTTCTTGCAAAATACTGAGTAAGTTTATTCCCTTCTTCAGCCTTCTAATAATGATCCATCCGTTTTCTCCCGCTTATCCTCTAGTAGGGTCGCGGGGGGGCTGGAGCCTATCCCAGCATCTTTTTGGGCGAGAGGCGGGGTACACCCTGGACAGGTCGCCAGTCCATCGCAGGGCAAACACACAGAGACAGACAACCATTCACTCTCACAGTCACACCTATGGTCAATTTAGAGTATTCAATCAGCCTAAGCCCCATTGGCATGTTTTTTGCCTGTGGGAGGAAGCCGGAGTACCCGGAGAGAACCCACACAAGCACGGGGAGAACATGCAAACTCCACACAGAAAGATTCTAATAATGATCTAAAATAAAAATTCTGAGATGGGAAAATCATTTATAGTTTGATAACTACCATATTAAACCTGGGGGGAGGGGTAACAAGTAGACATTGCCTTGTCTTCACTGCATCAGTGAAACTTTATTGTGGTAGTATTGCAACTTTTACAATATATTTTTTTTACGTGCAAGTAAGTAATTATCAAAAGTTACTGATTTAGCAAGATAAATTTGGACTTTGGTTGTTTTCACTCTTGAATAACAACTGAATAATACCAGGATATCGATGATTGATTGATTAGTGATCCTAAATTTCAATCATTAATCCACATTAATCCTTCCTGCTTGCTTCACTATGACACCTAGTTATTACCCATTAAGTTGATGAATGTGTTGAACATTATATGACACAGTTTAGGAAAACAGTTGACGTGTTTGAACACGGCTCAGTGTGACGTGACCTCAGGGGGATTTTTTTGTTTCTTTTGTTTGGCAGAGTTGGAAGTATTTTTTTAACCAGACAGTGTTTGAAGAGCTGAACTTGTCTTAACTTGGTGTTGATGGAAGTAAAAAAAAAAAAAGAAAAAAAAAAGGCACAACACAAGGTGGCATTGTATTGCAGGCAGTAGTGCTGTGTTTGTGACATCGGTGGAAGAAGCACTCTATTATTTTACTTAAGTCCCAGTAAAAGTAAAAGTAAATGTACAAAACTATTTGCATCACAATATACTTCAAGTAGTAAAAGTAGGCCTAAAAGAATGAGAATAATATATGATTATTAACAGTGATGTATTAATGTGTTCAGCAGGTAAAGGTGGGGCTCGTTGTAGGTTAGCCTGTGAATTTCATCAATCAAATCTATAAACCTATAATAAAATATTGTAATTTATTTGTGAATGTTTTTTCTGTATTATTAATCTAAATCTGTATCTAATCAAATAATATGCAGTGGAGCAATATTTGCATCTGAGTGGCAGAAAATGGAAATACTCAGGTGCAATTTTTGAGGTACTTATGATTTACTTAAATACAGATTGAGTAAATGGATTATCAGCAGCAGAAAAAATCAGTTTTCATTGCGGTCTCAGACTTTTGGTTCCCACTGTATGTCAGTAGTAATAAAGGAAAACAACATTTTATTGTATAATATTTAGTGAAATTCTCTACTCAAGGTGCACGGTTCATCCATTACACAACATGACACACAGTGACAAACACACTTCTGCTTTACATAAACCACAGAAGAGACATACACCAGACTTCAGAGAGAAACATAAAAATATACAGTCAATGATCTGAATCACCAAAATTTCTCCAAAATTTAGTGAGTTCTTCCCTGGCTCATTCCTCATCCCTCCATCGAGTTCGGTGCAAATCGGCTCTGTATTTTTGGTGTAATCCTGCTGACAAAGGGAAAGGGGTGAAAAGATGGCAGCCTGTCTGTTATTTTACAGCTACCGGTGTCTGTCTTCCCACAGATGCTCCTAGATTCACTACGGCAACACTCAGCACGTCTGGTCCTGTTTCTGAGGGACGCACTGTGATCTTCACATGTTCAAGTGATGCCAACCCCCCTGTGAGCCGCTACAGCTGGCACAGAGACAACCGTGGAATAGTAAGAGACAACCTACTGTATTTTATTTATTCATTCATTTGTTGTATATGTGAATGATCTTTCAGGAACACAGGGATATTCATTAAGTATGAGGACAAAGCTATTCAGATACTTTTGTGTATTTTTAGTCTGTGGCAGTTTGTCAGTGTTTGGGGAACCCTCATTCCTGTTTCAACAGGACAATGCCCTCGTGTAGGAGAACTTGACTGGCCTGCACAGAGCTCTGACCTCAACCCCAGCAAACACCATTGGGATGAACTAGAACGCCAACTGAACATATGTTAATGTTCTTGTGGCTGAATGAGAGCAGACCCCTGCAGCCTGGTTTTAAAAGTTGGTGGGAAGCCTTAAACCAACCAAAACCAAGAGTAGAAGCTGTAATAGCTGCACAGTGAAGCCCATGTCTTGGCATGATATGATACTCAACAATCACATACAGGTTTCATGCATTTCCACTTTCCTCACATTGTTATACAGTTTTCCGTCCAGACTGTCACTGTTACACACCAGGCCTTTATAAAATCCAGCAGCTACAAACACATTGTATTGCTTGTAGTTTGTGGCTGAACATAACCAGAATGGAGCAGAGCAAGATATTTTTATGATCAATGGAACAAGGAGTCCAGGCTTTGTTATCCGTTTGTGTACAAATGACATAAAAGACAACTGTTGCACTTTTGAGTTTTTGAGTTTTAAGTTTTAGTTTCAGAGAACTTTTGGTGCCAAAAGTGCCATATGGGCTTAATGTTTGCATGTCCACATACTTCTGGCCATATTGTGTGCTGTAAGGACTCAAATTTTTACTCTGTGATCATGAGGCTTTTCGTCACACACATTAATCTCATCAGAGATAAAACTGGGTCGCACAAGTATTTTTTTTCTTAAGATCCCTCTTACATTAGTTTTATCTGAAGAATTTATCATCTCTCCTCATCACAGCTGACTAGGATGGGACAAGGAGAAACGCTGGTCCTACAGGTCAGCCAGGAGGACAGTGGGGTGTATCTGTGCGAAGCTCAAAACTCAAGGGGCTCTCACCGGTCCAGACCGTTGTCTCTGGAGGTCATTGCCACTAAAGGTAAACTTTGAGGTCCCATATTGTGTAAAGGTAGATGTCCATGTCTTTTTGATTATAAAGCAGGTCTAGGTTCTATATTAACACTGTGAAAGTATCAAAGCGTTCAGTCCACAGAGAAATGCACACAGCCTGTATTCAGAAACTGAGCCTTAAAACCAGCCGTCAGCACTTCTGTAACTTTGTGATGTCACAACAAAGCTGTCACCACCCTCAGCCATGCCCCAAGCCCCACCCACCTGGACCCACCATCCAACCTTGCAGGATTTGGTTTCTCTGAGTGTTTTACCTGAAATCTGCTATATTTTTTATTGGATCCCTCAGAAAACAGTCAGCCAATCAGAAGAGAGGCTCAGAGCCTCCTCTCCTCTGATTGGCTCACCAACCTGTTGTTACCAGAGCTCCAGAGAGAAGCCTGAGAGAGGAGATGTAAAACTACATTGAGATGGTTTTCGGTTCTTAAATATCACAAATATATCTTCTTATGGATCAACACTTCAAATAAAACACAGTTAATGTGTAAAATATGGAGCTTTAATTATTTATTTAATCCTGCTGGTGCTCTTACTCTGGTGCCCTCTATGTGCACTGTCCTAGAATTGTGCAACAGGCTGTGACTTGTGATTCCGAGACAGTCGGTAAGTCACTGAATCTTGTGGACACTGATTCATAAGTGAAAGACATCAAACACTGGAAATCACTGTACTGCACACACATCACTGGACAATGCCAGTTGATGTTAGAATCTATGAGAGCAGAACAGAAAATACTGAAAGAAAAAATCTACAGTATATTACACACAATACACAACAACTGGCAACACAGCCAGCCTGTGTTTCTGAACTCTTTCTTTTATTGGGTGGAACTCCTGTTGGTGATGAGTCAATACAGTTAGCCAATACAACCAAAACATTCTCAATCAAAACAATAACAAAAGATGAAGTTTAATGTTATTGTGAATTAGTGTGGGATCATGGGAGTTGTTATCACCATTGCTGTTATCTCAGTCAGCTTCTCCTGGTTTGGATTCCTTCAGGATCATTCAGGAGGTTTTTACCAGGAGCCAAATTATCCGCAGAGGTCTCCTCCTCTCCAAAACAAACGGACCATGTTGTTATAATCGGTTAAAACGTTGAATGAAGCAGTTTCATGTTAAAAATCAGCATTTCTCCGCTGTTGTTTGGTGGATAGAGTACGACAGGGACTGCAAGCTGAGCTGCCGCTAACATTTCCTCAGCTTGTTACTCCGATAACTTAAGATCCAGATGTCCACTAACTAAAATCCTTCATCCTGTTATTTGAAAATGATCAAGATATAAGAAATATAATAATAATAAATAATGAATAAATAATAAAACATGGCTTCTGGCAGACACCACAACTCTGACACATGTGCAAAGAAGATATGACGCCACTGAAAGGCGACCAAATGAAACGGACCATTACATTGATTAAAATGAAAGATTTCTATAGGTTTGAAAATTGATGGAAACACTTGACATAATGTAAGTACACAGCTCAACAAAATATATAACATAGGTCTGGTCTTTTCTAGACATTTTGATATGAAAAAGTTACATATAACTTTAAGCTGAGCTGAGAAACCTACAAACTAAAGTGAGGTGAGAGAGTAATAACTAAAATACAGGAAAATGCAACAATAGCAAAGAAGAGGAAAAGACAGTTTTCAGCAGCCATTCACAAGAGAACACCATTAGAGAAAGGACTTGTGTTATTCTAAGCCACAGAAGTCTCAATAGACCAGAATGCATCACACTGATGATACTGTGTCATGAGTTAAAAAAACAAACGGCTGACGTACAAAGGGAATATAAACTTTTACCCCTATTTGTCACATTGTCTCGAAAAATGTGAACAAGGCAAGTTTTAGGAAAGTGGATACACCAACCAAAAAAAAAAGCACTTGATTGCAAAACAACTGCGTCACAGGTTTTAGATGTCTTTTATCTGACATCACAAGGTGGAAAAAACCCAACAAGAAATAACTGTAATTTTTTTTTTTTCTTTTAATGACCTGTTGTATGTTTGTTTAAATTCTGTTTTTCAGGCAGAAGTGAGGATTTAATGGTGGTTCCCTACATTATATGTGGAGTGGTGTTGGTCCTCTACATCCTGACTGTTGTTGTCGATTTGTACAAGTATCAAAGGTAAGAAGAAGAAAAAAAGGTTTTCTGGATCATAATTGTGTAGTTTTTCCTGCTTGATGCTTAAAGTATTGCTTTGGAGACACTACTTCTCAGTCATCTTCAAAAACCCACATATACAGCAAGAACTTCCCAGTAGTTTTGGCTAATTGTGATCCTCCGTTTGTTTTCCTTCTGCTGCCAAGTCTTTCCAGGAGGCTGAAGGTAAGAGGATTTCTTTTTTTTTTTTCTCTTCAAACAGAGAAAGTGACAGACAGCCAGACACTAATACAGTAGATCTGATAAGGAGTTCTGACATCCTCTGCACGTCACAGCCGAGTCAGAGTCTTGTCTCGCCAACACTCGCCTTCTCTTTGACTTAAGCAGGAAGTCGGGATGACTAATGACTAATGACTTTAGACATATGATACGTCATTTTCCCTTTTAGAGCGCGAGTCTCTCCCCTGCATTCACAAAATAAACAATCTTGATCTGACTTATTTTCTATATACAAGTGTGTTAGTAAAGGCAAATATAACTGTTCTGCTTGTGCTCTGCTTGATAAGTGAGATATACAGTTTTCCTAAAAACTTAGGATCACATGCAGGAAACATGTGAGGGAACTGGCAGCATGTTAAAACTGAAAGTTGAGATGCTGCCAGTTTTCTTCATATACCTAAAAACCTATAGATGCTTGAGGTGTCATGAAAATAAATAAACAATTATTATTTTGAGTATGCAAGTTCCTTCTGGAGGTTTAAACATTGTGTTTGTGACAAAATAGTCAAAGCCCCGAGGTCAGATTTCCATAGTCTGGCTCCATTTCCTGAATGAAGACTGTAAAACGCAGCTTAAAGCTCACAAAAAGTGAGCGTCACTTGTTTTGATGTATACAGAATGTGTTATTTTCACGTGATATTTTTGTAGCCTTTGCCTTAGAGATTGAACTGTAGATTATACACATGCAAATTAAAAAAAAAAACCCCACTATTTATTAATCTGGTCTTGTTCTATATTAATTTGTTTTCGTGTATCACAGATCCTAAAGTTCCTATTCGTGTATATCAATATTTTTAGATTAACAATGGATCACATGATTACTTATATGTGACAGCAACCACTTGTAGTGATGAACTCACAAATAGGTATTGTCCACTCTTCCCTTCAGCTATACAGTGTTGAGCTGAACGTGCAATGTTTTGGTTCAGTGTCACCGCTCTCATGCAACAGGCAGCTGTTTTCATTTAAAAAAGAAAAAAAAAAAAAGCTCTGATAAACTGACTTTACACAAACTGTCCGACACTAAACAGCAGACTCACGCAATTAGAGACTAGCTGGTGATAACACTGGATCTGCATGAATGTGATGAAAGATTTTAGTGACATTAATCGTGTGTGGTCCGTCCGTCCTGGATTAATAATGTTTTCCTTTCTTTTTAAAATTTTCATAGCAGATTGAGCTGAAGGGGGAACACACCTACAGTGATCTGAGGACCGTCAGTGTCACCTCTGACTATGACCGACTCCAGGTATTTGAAAACCTTAGAGACATATTTTCATAAGAGATGAATCTATATATCCTTTTTTTCTTTGCAGTTTAACAATTAAGTTTGAAAATGAGATATTTAACTAACTGGTGACATGTGAGAAGCCAGATTAAGGTTAAAGATGAAGTGAAAGGAAGCAGGAAGAAACAGATTGTCATCTGTTGTCCATGTTCAGACATGCTGGAACTTGTTCTAACATGTTCCATGAGCAAAGGACAGAAAAGGAAGACACAGCTGAGGGACGGATTAGGTTTCAGGGATGTAGGCCTAAAGTAACTCAGTGTTTATTTTTGTCTTTATCATTATTATTGTGAGAACTTTTCTTCTCACCTTGTAAACTTGACATACACTGAAGAGCCATAACGTTATTGTCACAAATTATTGGCTGGACCCAAAATCAGACAGAGCAGCTGCATGTGAGGATAAAGTACAGTCATTTTTTATTTTCAATGGGAGCAGGTGAGTGGTGGTGAGCTGGTTGCTGGCTTGGCAGACTGGAGTTGGTAGGTTTGTTAACAGCAATTTAGGAAGAGGAGTAAATGTCTAGGTTGTAGACAGACAGGCAAAAACCAAACAACAGGCTTAATAACTACAGCACAACAATCTGAGACTGAATTTAAACCTTTTAAACCTTTAGGGTTTAAAGGTGATCAGATGATCGCGTCATGGTAGACTAGCATGCTTGATTCTGGTGTCTTGCAGGTATGCAGCCAGAGAGAAAGAGAGAGAGAGAGAGAAAGAGAGAGAGAGAGAGAGAGAGAGAGAGAGAGAGAGAGAGAGAGAGAAAACAAACAAAAAACACACCCACTCACACCAAATAAAGGAGTCACAGAAGGGATTGTAACAGTTATGACACAGATGAACCAAACCATGTTACTTATTTCATGACAGTGGCAAAGACCTGGACAAGGTCGCTGGTGTTATGGCCAGATGACTGGGTCGCACTGGGTCCCAGTCAGCAGTGGTGAGTACCAACAGTGGTCTGAGGAGGGACAAACCACAAACTAGTGGCAGGGTATGTGCTGGAACCATAGACTGTAAATAAAGATGGACGTAGCCTCCGTGATGTCACCCACAGGTTTCTGAAGAGCGGTTTTGAAGCTAAGAGTGGGCTGCCCCACCGTCATCATCTTGGAAGTATCTGACTCTGCCCCTAAATCAAAGCTAATCCAACAATGGGCAAAGAAGTGGAGTGTTTGTCGAGCCCAGACTTCGGTGCATGCCAGTTTGTGGCAAACATATGCTCACCCACCTGTCAGTCAAAGAGGCCATGCCCTCAATTATACATAACTTTAAGCCTAGTAAAAATTTAATCAAGTGAGTTGTATAAAAAGTCACCCTCCGTACAGTTGTCATGAAGGAGGAACCAGAGGTCTTGTGGAGTCCATGTCTCGTGGGTCAGAGCTGTTTGGACCATTAACATATTAGACAGGTGGTCGTAATGTTTTGGCTCATCAGTGTATACTTTCATCACTGTGTGCATAACTCTGTTGTGTGTCTTTTTTTTAAAGTTTCGACAGCCTAAAACGAAGCCGCCTCCTGAACCTTCGGACTATGAGAATGGCGTCACCCTGCAAACCGTTTTCAAAAGTCTGCCACCGCCAAATCAGACCTGAAGGCATGAGTTGAAGTTTTCGATAAAGTGGTTTAAATATATACGTTAAGTAGCTTCTACTCTGTGTTCTTTATCTACTTGTTCGAAGCATCATGCTTATTTTTATTTAGAACTTTTTTTGCACCATTGCATATAATTCTACTGTAGATATCTCACATGTACTTTTGTACAAATTTCCTGTTGTTCATACATTTGAAAAATATATGATGTGAAACTATATAATTATTAATCATCTTCAGACCATCATCAGGACACTTTTAGGGTTTTTGGTGATGTAACTGCCACTTTCCTTTCCCTCCAGCTTCGTGGCTGACCATGTGTATGACACACAACATGGCGATGTCACCATCTGCCTCGCTAATTTCCTGTGAAATAAAAACAAAGAAGCTGAGACCTGCAAGTCCTTTGATCTGTGACACACAATGTTGGGGGATTTACTGGTGCTGATGGTTAATGGAACAATTAAGCTACTGTCATAATGGTGTCAGCCAATCAGCACTAAGATGCACTGATTTAAACTAAACTTTTAACGGTTCCTGACCTTTATACTGGCAAAAAAAAAAATTAAAAATATGCAAACATGAACATGAAAATTACATGAATTCTCTTTGGTCTCAAATTTTCAGAAATACAAAAAATATATTTTTTAAATCTGCAGTAAGTCAATTTTAAATTTTTTGGCACCAATTTGCTTCTTTACTCCAAATAAAGATTTGTCTGTTTTCATGGCAACAGTCAAATGTCTGCTGTGACAAAACAGCTGATGTGCTTTGATAATAAGTTTTGTAGGAAACATAATGGGACTGGATTATGTTTTCTAATAACATAATAAAGATATGTTGTTAATACTGAGTGTATTAGTAAAATGTTCACAGACAATAGATTTTTTTTCCACAGAAAATATCCAGTCATGCAGTACAATATACACGCAGATGCCACCAGAACATTATTGGGAAAACAGTTTAAATAGTACATGAATGTCATTCCTAGGAGGGAGGGTTGTCTTTGGAGCAGCAACCATCACCTGCCACATGTTGCTCCGAGCATCAACTTCTTGTTCAGTTCTGAGTCCAACATCATAAATTCCTTCAGGGAAAGGGAAAAGAGATGACAAACGAGTAAGATTTGTAAACTTTAGAGCTATAAAGAGACCCAGACAGGGATGAAAACAGAACATTCTTTTGCTTAAGTTGGAAAATGTGTCACCCGCATAACATAATTCTTCATACGTGATGATGTAAACCTCCCGAAACAGAACCCAGAATGAGATCAGACTCGTGTCGGAGAAAGAAAACCAAACTCCCAGATCCTTAAGAAATTCCACAGGAAGCACTGACACGTCGGTTCCTTCAATCTTTGCTTTGATTTCACGCCTCACTTATTGTCTATAGGGAGAAGTGGCCGTTGTCTGGCTGCCACGCTGCATTCCTGCCTAATGTGATGGGTTAAATTGTTTAGTCTGTGGGTTGGAAACTAACCAGGCTGCAAAGTGTTTGAACCCTAAAAATAGTTGTGTCAGAGCATCAGATGGCAAAATGCCAAACTTTGTCTTTTCATTCCAGTCAGTGGTGGAATGTAAGTACAAAGTTGCTAAAGTAGTTAATAATATGTTATATTATACTACATTACACTTCTTACTCCACTACATCTCAGATTATATGACCAGAGACAAACAAAACAACCAGAGACAAACAACCAGAGACAAACAAACAACCAGAAACAAACAACCAGAGACAAACAACCAGAGACAAACAAACAACCAGAAACAAACAACCAGAGACAAAACAATACAACCAGAAACAAAAACAACAACCAGAGACAAACAACCAGAGACAAACAACCAGAGAACAAACAAACAACCAGAGACAAACAAACAACCAGAAACAAGAACAACCAGAGACAAAACAAACCAGAACAAACAAAACAACCAGAGACAAACAACCAGAGACAAACAAACAACCACCCAGAAACAAACAACCAGAGACAAACAACCAGAGACAAACAAACAACCAGAAACAAACAACCAGAGACAAACAAACAACCAGAGACAAACAAACAACCAGAGACAAACAAACAACCAGAAACAAACAACTTTGCGCAACGATCTAACTGACAAAAAGGGATTCCTTAAGTATAAGACTAAGATGAAGAGAAAACCATAAATACTTAAGTGACCACTTTAAGGAAAAGTTATGGAGAAGACTTGAAGGGTGTTTTGAGCAACTGTTTTTATTTTAAGGAAACCTTAAATCACATTTTAACTGGTGTTTTGTGCAAACTGGCCTCTGACCTTTAGGTTAATTACCACTGCTCAACCTTGACCAAGCACAGCGATAACATTCAGCTTACACATGGATGCATCAGTATTAACAATCTAATAATGTCATATACGGTAACAGATCAGTCCAAAGGGCCAGTTCTCTGTGGAACAACATTTACTTTTGATGGTTTCAGTAGATTTAACAGGAAGTACTTTTCTACTTGTCACCACCGGTTTTGCTGCAGGTGCTGACTTGCATTGTTTCATGTTTGTTTGGATTGCTGCCTTATTCTGAGCATGCTCTGTTGCTGCCAGTGATAAATGAAAAAATGAAATCGCATCTCACTTCCAGCAGATCTTTCTGTGTGGTTATACCTCATTCAGTGAGCAAAAAAAAAAAGGAAAGGAAAAAAAAAACCCTGCATCCGTAAGTCATTTGCATGCCGCCTCTCCCACTCTCCTATTCACTGTTGCATTCCTCACATTCCTCCATTCAACAGAGGTCAGGAGAGAGAGAGAGAGAGAGAGAGACAGAGGGGGATACAGAGAGAGGAGTGGAGAAGATAAAAGGTAGGAGATATCCGGAGCGTGGGTGGTTGGGGAAATGATGAAATAACTGGGCCTGACTGTGAAAACGACTATTGAGAATAAGCCCCCCTGTCCAACCCCTTTTTATACACATACACAAACATACAGTCTCTCCATTACCCCATATGGCATTATCTGGTGACAAAAGGAGAATGAGCGAGTCAGCCCTGCAGCTGTTATGACGTGCTCTCCTCTGTTTCTACTCATCACTCAGGCAAGAAGTTGGTCAGCATTTGACGTTAGACACATCTGTGATCAGTAAAGAGGATGACAGTAACATATACATTTAAAAAAAAGGGGTGGTGGTGGGTTTGGGGAGGAGTTCAGTATTCTGTGTCCTGGAGGGTGGAGTTTCAGTTCATCAGTTCATATGAAGCAGGAAACTAGTAGCTTCTTGGAAATGCTGAAACGTCAGATGTAGTTTTTTTAACCCACCCTGAACTCTGACGGTGCAGCTTTGACACAGGCCAAACCACTGTCTAATGAATGAAGTGAGTAACATAATGATGCTCCAATTACTTACAACTTACAGTTTTTCGGCTGACACTTTCATTCTTAAGAGACATAAACAGAATGAGTAAGTAGTGACTTATTGAACAGAAGTTGAACCCACTCCCTCTCTACCCGGTCTCCAAAAATTTTCCATTTATGCAACCAACTTGCAACAGTAATTAGGTTTAGTAGCAAGGTTTACGGTTAAAACAACATAACTAGGACACATTTCTGCAACATTTCTGTGAACTGTCACAGCAAAATGTGGACCTGCAAAATGTTCACTGTCAACATGTTTCATTAGTTTTCCTATGATATCTACTGCCATAATTAACATTTTCTTACACATGTTTAGGGAAATCAAAGTAGTTAAGTTTGGCGAAAGATTATGGTCATGGTTAAAGGAGCTATATGTAAGTTTTTGCTGTTGCTACATAGCTAACGTTAGCATTAGCAGCTGTTTACTTACCAGTCTAGAAGAAAGAGTTCAGCATCAAACCTCATTCCTTTACTCACCAAGAGCTGGAAAGCAACACCAATGCTAACTCTTGTTTTACTTCTTTTTCTATCACTAACATGCTAACCAGCTAGCCCCACACCCCAGATATCGAAATAAATAGCACCGCATGCTTGTGTTTCTTCTGCCCCAGTATACGCCTGGTTCCCTTGGCCCAAGTCTGGTCCATATACAGCATTATTGTCAGATGCTACTTCCACATCTGTACCAGTTCTGAGTTTTCACTTTTCATGTTTGACCAAAACCACAATCTCTCCTGATGCATGACTACCTACTGAACTGCTGGTCATTTTTTAGGCCAAAGTTACTCTGCCACCAGTGGAAATAACTTTTAAAACTTTTTAAAACTTAACATAACTCATTTTAAAGGATAACGTGGCCAAGTGGCTCAGAAAAGTTTCTAATCTCTTCAAAACAGCAGCTAGTCATCTTTGATTCACTGTAATTATGATGACGAAATGATAGTCAAAGACTCAGCTAGTATAATCAACTTCTCCGCTGTTGATCAATATGTTCCAGACAATCATGGTTTTTCCCACACCTGATTACTGACATATCACCTTATGACCTTTTCATAAGCGAAGTGCTTCACAATGAAGCAATGATTGTTTGTCACCTCTCAGAATCATCTTTTAAACCTGCATGAGAAGATTATTCCTTTAGTATTTGCTTTTACATACAGCACAGACAGTTTACTGGGAGATGAAAAGTGTTAAACTCAATGATAGTCATCACAGACTCAGTGATAACATTTTTTAATTTTCTTGTGATGTAAGACTCAACTACTCAGCGCTTTTTTTTTTTACATATATTTTATGAACATGGGAAAACGTTGCAATATTTCATAATAAAAAACACTTTTGTAGGTTTCAAACATTAAAGACCAATGACCTCAGCGTGTCGAAGGATCTGAAAGTGAAATTCTGAACCACAAAAAGTAGTTTAAACCTGCAGTAGCTAATTGCAGAGGTAAGTGGTGAACACAGCCTTAACATATGACTTTTTAAGTTTACATGTTGAACTTTGCACACATTTGCTTATTCACACATCCAGATTTGTAGCCCTGTTTTCTGGCCACCTGATGAATCTAAGTCCAGTATTCTCTGTTTTAGCTCTGTTTTTGGTCTCCACCAACAACTATGTAGCTGCTAAATGCTGCACCATGTTAACCAGCTGCTTTCTTACTGTTTCTGGCTGCTGTTTGCTGCTGAGCAGGTGGTGGACAGTGGAGCTTTTTTGCTGAAAACAGCTGCCGACACTTTTACCTTTTTTACACCAAAATTAGCAGGTATAAGGGTGTTTTTGAAATGTGTGTAAACCCGCTAATAAAAGCCAATTGACCACTTTTCAGGCGACACTCCTATGGGTCATATCAGAAGGTTGAAAAAACGACCTGTGTGGTTGTTCAGGTTGGAGGACACACACAACTGCAAGGAGCGATGTCATCTCATGCACTTACAGAGCACACACACACAGACTCGAGGGAGAGAGAGTGAGCTGTTAGTAAAACGGATCTGTCATGTCTCATCCCCGGGTTGATGCTCCTGTAAGTGTCAGAGCCTCCGTGTGAGACACTTCAAACAGTGGTTGTGTGTTTTTAAAACTTATTTTGGGGCTGCAGCTCACTCTTTCATCCTCGAGTGCAGTGTAGCTATGGTGTTCCGGGTATAACAGCACTGTAGTGGGATGACCCAGGTGTTGTTTGCATCTCTGCTGATTGCAGCCAGAGCTGATGAACACCCATGTCTACTGCAGAGTCATTTGAATGCCGATTGTACCTTTTTCCATTGCCAACAAAAGCCAGATGTTTGCTGGTCCTAGCATGTTTTTGACCAGTGGAAAAGGGGCTTATGAGAGTGGTGAGAGTGAACCAAAGCTGTAAAATGGTGTCCTGACAGAAAAACAATGAGCTGAAACTCACTGAGCTGCAGATGAGGCTGATAATTCTCTGTAGGTTCATCACCACCAGCGATGCCTTTCACATCTTCACACTGTTTTCTCATTTTTATCATAAAAATGCTGTATATCCTCTTTAATCACGCCATATCTATAATGAAACTAAGGCAGCTACATGACTGAGACGGACAGTTCCACTCATCACATTACCAGGATGATTTTCACTGAGGGGAAGTGACGTGATGCTGAAGATGTCTCACGCTCAAATCCTTTGAAAAGTGAAATCTCACCTCTGCAGAACTGTATGATCTTAACCTCAATTTCCACAGAAGGATTAAATCCGTTTAAGCAGGGGTTTTTTTTTTTTTTTCGCTCTCTCTCTCTCTTTTTCTTTCTTGTTGGCAAAGCCAGGGAGTTACAAAATTTAGAAATATTAAAAAAGAAAAAAAAAATTACAATTCTTACAAACTGTAGAAATTCCACAAGAGCAAACACACAGAAATGAATGACGTGTTATTGAACCACCTCATTTCCTTCTAGTTGAGTTGTAGTTCCTTTTATCTGGTTTTATTGACCGACTCTTTGGCAAGAAGCTACAGTGAGAGCTGCCCAGTTTGACCACAGCCTTACAATGGGTGGAGCAGCTGGAGGTGAGGAGCATGTTTAGTGTGGGTGAAGGGTCTTTGTTTACTCTACTTTATCATCTTTCATACATTTATTATTAATGGACTGTGCTGCTGGGGTGTTGTCATTTCATTTGCTTGCTTGATGTTTTTTCTCCCAGTTTTTACCATTTTCTATTTTTCTTTTATCTCTTTCTATGCAAATGTGCAGATAAATCAATTATACAAAGAAGAATAAGAAGAATCACATGAATAAATTATCTTTTCTCCTTCTTCCAGGTTGAGTTTTCATTTTATTGACTTTAAAGCATTAAACTCAGTCTAATGTGTGGACAGGAGACAGAGGGAGTTTTCTGAATTAAATTTGGTGAAGAAAGTGAGGTGATGACATAAGGTGACAGAGGAAGAGGAGGAGGAGGAGGAAGGAGAGATATGAGTTGCTCAATTTGGTATTTTCTGATTACCCTTTGTCATTATATTTCTGATTAACTTGATTCAGATTCGCCTCAACAAACAAAGACATTTGAATTTTTTTTCTGATGAAGGGGGCTAGAGGGAGGAAGGGAAGGGGGGTGGTTGGTTGATGACTCAGGTGATGTGTCATACTCTATGCTATAAAAGGGAACTTTTACATTTTGTCCACACAACACACACACACACATCGTACAGTACACACACTGGACTCAGGAGGAGGTTTGTTTACTACAGCAAGAGAAGAAAGATGAAATGTAAGTTTGTTTATGATACTTTTGTACTAAGTGAGTGGAGCTGTGTGTGTGTGTGTGTGTGTGTGTGTGTGTGTGTGTGTGTGTGTGTGTGTGTGTGTGTGTGTGTGTGTGTGTGTGTTTGTGTGTGTGTGTGTGTGTGTGTGTGTGTGTATGTGTGTGTGTGGGTGGGTGGAAGTCAGTCAGTATGTGTGTGTTTGTTTGAACTGCACGTGGTCTTTAATTTTAGCCTGAGGGAGTTTGAAAGAGAGTGAATGAATGAATGAATGAATGAATGAATGAATGAATGACATTTGTGGCTGAAACACAGTGATAGTTTCAGTTTGAAGTTTTTAGATCTAGTTCCATTTGAATTTCACAAACTACATGCTGATTGGTGTCAGGTTGGGCTGTGATTGGCTGGTCCTGTGTGTGTGTGTGTGTGTGTGTGTGTGTGTGTGTGTGTGTGTGTGTGTGTGTGTGTGTTGTGTTGTGTTGTGTTTCCCTGAGTAGTATGAACCGGTCCAGTGGAGGAAGAAGTGCTCAGACCTTTAACTTAAGAATAAGTACCAACACAACAACGTAAAAATACTCCATATAAATAAAAGTCATGCATTTAAAAGTAAAAGTACAGAAGTATCCATTAAATTTACTCACAGTATTAAAAGTATTAGTACTCATCATGTAGAATAATATTGTATATATATATATATATATATACACTATATGCTTTGTTAAGAATGATGCATCAGCATTTGAGCAGCATTTTACTGTTGTAGCTATTTGAGCTGGTTTGAATGACTTTATATACAGTTAGCTAGTTTTGTCTAATGGTTTCCAAGCTAGGGGTCAGGCCCCTCCAGAGGGTCCCAAGAAAAATCTGAAAGGTCATGAGATGATTAATGGGACAGAAAACTGAATCTGTTTCCAGTTCATGGACTTGTATTGCAGTATTTGAAGAGTTTACATTTACATTTACTCACCTGGCAGATGCTTTTATCCAAAGCGACTTACAGTACTACATCTATTCAATAAATGCAAGGGGATCAAGTTAAGAAGGCACCAAAACTGCAGAGTAAGTACTTGTTTGACTTATTTAAATAAAACCATATGAGAAGTTTAGGGGGAAATCTGTTTTTGGTGGAACTGCTGACTCCTAATACGTCTGAAATATGACAAGCAGACACATCCAGAGACTTGCTTGTCTTATAAAAGGTTGGTTTAATCTTTAACAATGCATTGCAGCAATCATGTTTGGATCAGTATACACAATATTTTTTATGCCTCTGCGCTGGTCTGATTAGATTTTGGTGGTCAAAGGTCAAACATCACAGTGACCTCAAAAGAATTCACACACTAATTATGACACAATTTAACACAATTGTCTAATGGGATAAAATGATGATGATAAAATGATTTATATCCACGTGATCAACAGTTTGACATTATAATGTTCTGCACAAACACTCGTGGCCATTATTCGACGCTGTAACTCAGGAACAGAAGGGGAGTGATTGTGACCATATTTCCTTCAAGGAAGGCGGTAATTCGAGCTGTCTTTGTGATAGTCATTGTGTCAGATAAGGAGGCCACAGTCATAAATTCTTGCCGTGACTTGGCCAAGAGGCATGGCAGCCCACACGTCAGTCTCTGACAAATCAGAGCTTTCATGATTTACATGGTGATCGGGAGGTGCCAGGGACCGAGCTAGCTCCACCTGATGGCATTCATAATGAATGCTTGTGTGTGCAAACAGGGTTCTGAAACTGATCACCGGACACTGAAGGTGGGTTCTGCCTTATGGTGGAAAAAGAGTGAACATGTGGATGGTGAGATTAATTTAGTGAAATTTTCCTAAACCAAACGTGTTCGTCAAAGTCACAGGTTTGTTTCCTTGTTTACAAACCACAAGACCCCATCTTTTTGTCGAGACGTTGCAGGTCTCAACAACAGATCTATGCTATAGCAGGTGTATTTGATAAATGAATGGTGGCTGCTTGGTATTGTGTGTGCTGGCTCACTGGACCTGCTGCCACCATTCAAAATGTCTGCCATCTATCAGATCTGATATTGTGTTGTCTGACTTCGACATTACATAAGATAAATTAGTCAACAATTATTTCTGCAAAACCTGGGAATTAGTAAGAAAAACAGGAGGCAGGAAGCACCAGAGAGAGGTGAGACGCATGAGTCAGGTAGGCAGACAGTGATGTCATCATTGCACATCACCAGGGCACTTAAACTGTAATGTAATTTGCACACTCATGTCACAGGGTGAGATTCTCTGACTGTGAAAAAGGAGTGAGTCAGCACGGATGCCACTTTGCCCCGGTGGTCAACTGTGGTACTGCAACGAAAAAAGAACTTACAATTTGAAGAGGGTTAGAAGATGACACAGAAGTTAGTTTCAGTCTGATACCAGGTAACATCAGGGACAGCGTCACCAATATCAATTCTGATATCAATACTTTAATTGTTAAAAGCCACTAATGTAGCTATTAGCATGTAAGGGAGAGAAATATGTCATGATTAGGAGGTGAGTAAGCTACTTCTCAACTTTGTTAAGAAAAGTGCTACATATATAAAGTTTCGATACTTCTGAATATATCTTAATTACAACCAAATAAGTTGTTTTTTCTCATTATGTGAATCCTCTGAACAGCAGCAGAGATGCACATATTGCTGCATTAGGTAAAGTTTTGTGTGTCCAAGATGTGATGTAACATGTGATGTTTCTATTTTTCTGGTAAGACTTCAGGGATTGATCCATCCTGCCACTACTGTTGACCGACAGGGCAGCTTGAACTCCAAGGAATGTCAATTCTTATTCATAGTATCATGACTTTTTGATCCAAGATGCTTTAATATTTGTGAAACGTTTCCCAGACTTTAGAAAAAGCTATTTTCGTACGTGTGACGTCAGCTCAGTGTAAAGCGGATGGATTCAGGGAAAAGAGAGAAAACTTTTTTGGAATGATGTCCCAGCGGAGCAGCTTTTACAGGAATCAGTTACACCACCAAGGTGTTTAGTGTCCAGTTCTTGTAACACAGTATACCTTTGGGAGTGAAGCATAAAAAAACTGCCAAGTTAGTGGTTTGATTCCAATAAACGAAGCCAAGATGGCCACTTCCTACTTCCTGCTGCAGATATATTGAAAAATGTTTGTTTATTTCATTTGTCATTTCACTTGCAGAGACTTGACATTTGCTTAAGTAGTAGTAGTTTCTTCTTTCATCATACTGAACGCTTTATTTTTCTTCTTGTAAAAGTTGCAATGTTGCATTCAAGGGTGGTCAGACATGCCAGATTTAACCAAAACATCATTCAACGGGGAGGGATTTCATGACATTGCATGCGATCTACTGCATCTCCAATATGACAATTTCTGCACTTGCACACATGCCAAAACATGTTCCTGCTTATCTAATATGAGAATTCACAGATGTTTTTTCTCTTGTTGCTGCTGAGGGAAAACCCCTCCTGGCTTTCTATCAAAATAACTTCAGCTTGTCGAGAGACAAACAATAAAACAGGCTTTACTTTACCTTAAAACTTGTTTTAATTGGATTTTCTTTGGCCAATTGGACACACCAAGCTGTAAATGCAACATTAAAGCTGTAAGCCATAAAACCAGAGCCGAAAGACACCAAAAAAGCTCTGTAGGACTGCAGAGTTAGGCGATAATTCACTGTGTGTTAATTACTATGGGTGACACCTTTCACATTAGAGATCATTTGATAATCATTTGGTAATATAAAATTTTTGATAAATGCAGCTTTAAAGATTAGGGATTTTTTCAGCCTGTAGAAGAAGCATGGAGTGGAAATCACCAACATTAAATATAAAAGATATTCACATCCTGTAATATCATGTTTAAACTCTCTCAGTTTGCCAGATGGTTGACAGATGATGTTTTCTAGGTTTGTTGGTTGGTTTTGGAGGAAGTTGACTGGCACTTCAGAGGTTCACTGGAAGTTTGTGAGAGTAAAAGCCAATGAAATGAGGCATTCACTATCTCAGAGAGCAAACACAGGAAACTCCAGTGGTTCTGCGCAGCGTCTGATTCAGCATAAAAAGACAAGGGAGAAAAAAAAAGGAGCACGTACTGGAACGGAAGCAGTGGAAGCGTGTGAGACGTTGCATGTGTGTTGCAGTTTAGTGTGTGAGTGAGTGTGCTGATGAAATAACCTGCTAAATGCATCAAAGAATTCACTCTGCTTCTTAAGCAATTTTCTCGTGAGCTATAATGCTGTCACAGCTGTTTACGCTGCCAGATACATGACTGTACACAACACTGCTCCGGGCTGTTTTCTTACTTTGACAGAGGCGTTTTGCTGATGTATTATTCAGTAATTTTCCAGCAGCCACATGAAGTCTTGTTTGTGTCTTGAGCTGACAGATATTGCATGTAGAGAAATTATGATGCAATAACTGATATTTAGTGGGGTGTGTTGGCAGAGGGCAGCGAGTGCACTTATTCATTGGCTGCAGCTTTGGATGCTTCATGTGCTGATCATCTGAACATCTGTTTGTTGTCATTCTGGGCTCTGATGTGTGTTCAGTGTTGAAACTTTGCTCTGCTCTGGAAGCACAAATGATCTTGTTGGAGAACTAATTTTCATGTTGTCAGGCAGAAAACAGGAGAAGTGAAAGGTCTTAACCTTTCGATGTTGCCGATACATCATCTCATCCCACCACAACTGTCTGCCCCAGAAACGCTGTGAAACAGACGAGACTGCGTCAATGTTTATGGCTGGAGGTCACTGTGTGACTCATAGTGAGATATTCTGTATGTCATACAGTAATTTAATTTTCTCTGTTGGAGAGGATTATTTTTCAGACATATGACAAAGCCATATCCTTTGAATAAGACCTCGACATGACTTTTAATTTGTAAAAACATATTATTTTGCAGCTGTTCATGTTTCCTGTTTCCCTGCAAAGTTAATGCTGAGATAGACCACAGCTGCCATGCGACCCTGAACAGTCGTAAACAAGTAGAGAAAAATGTCATGATTCAGACATAAAAAAAGTCATGTTTTTTAAAAAGCTGCAAGTCTGACAAAGTGTGAGGATTTAACTGTACAGTGTATTTTAAGTTATAATCTAGCTATAAACTACAAAGCTATAAACCTTTATTGAAACTGTATCTTGTTTTTGATGTTATGTATCTGCTTTTCTTCAGCTTTAGCCATTCATTGTATTTACATTATGTAATTATCTCTCGATAAAGTAGTTTTGAGTCCACCAGATTCAAATTACATTTACACTTACAATACATATCTATATAATACAGTGTCAATTGTATCTCATTTAGTGCATTTCCATTCAGATTTTATTTTTCAATTTTTGCCTTTTCTGTAGTTTTTTTTTACATCAAAACTCTGATTGGAAATTCAGATAATTCAATCAAAAACCTCAAAATATCACAAAACCAGCTGCTATAAAAAAAGTTGATGTATCTATAAAAGCCAAATGTGACAGGGTGCAGATTGATAAATAGCAAATACATGAGGATGAACATGAAGCATGAGACTTGGACAACCACTGAAGCTTCTGCCTCACTGAAGAGACTAAAAATAGCAGCAGAAGAAAACACCCAGTCTGTGTAGAGATCAGAGTAATGAGGACACCTCTGAATACAAGAAACAAGTATTACATGAAATGGATTATTCTTCTTGTTCTTCTTCTGCACATTTAATCGCATATTCATTTGCTGCTTTTCTGGACATTCAGTTAAAATGTGTGCTAAATGTCGATGTACACCTGACTGCTGTTGTAATCAGCCTCACTGTTTACTGTTCACTCTCTTATCACTGTATCTCAGCTGGATGAAGTCAGTGTTAAAACACGCAGGGATCACATCACAGGGAGGCTTTTCTTGTGTCACAGGAAACACAATGTATTTGTCTCTTGTTCATCAAAAAAGTAGGACAAAAACACCACTGTTGTCGGCCTATTTTCAAACCTGTCTGCCTGCTGACATTTGCCGTGCATTCGTCTTCTGCCAAGACTGAGCTCTGAGTTTAATCTGCACGGAGCTGACACACAGAGGCCGAGCCTGTCGTCCATCACAGTTTGCGTCTTGGTTACGTCAGACGCGGCCGTCATCTTGTTTGTTTGTTGAAAGGTCGCAGACATAAAAGGTCAAAGTTTGACTAAATTATTTTACGTCAGTGTCCACATACTGACTTTTTCCTGAGCGTTTGAGACCATGAGACTCGGTCTTCAACAACAGACGGAGTTTTCTCAAAATCTGACTGTGAGATGCCGTTGAAAGCTCTGGGAAAATAACTTGTAAGTGTGCGGTTATTAATTTGTCCAAGTTAAATCTGATTACACTTTGAGCACAGTAGTGAGAGAGAGGACCTGAGTATTGATTATATGTCGTGACCTAGTGATTTTTTAATTACAAATCTGTATGAATCCACTGTGACACCTTTCTTAGGCATAAATATAATAATGATATTTAAATAATAACTATAATAAACCTCCTTTCTGAGGCAAATTCCAAAACACAATGTAAGAATCTTTTATAGATTATAAAAAAAAAACATGAAATCAATAAGAGAATCAACAAAATGACTAGTAGAAGCACAAGGAGGAAGTAAAACAGGAACAACAAAAGGTGATTATATGAAAGCAAGACTTTGTTTCTCTCTCAATATTCAGTGTTAATGAATGGGATTTGTAGTTTTTAATATTAAATTCCTCACATAGTCAAACAGACAAAACTGCCTGATGTTTTGTCTGCGAGGTGGTTTCTGCTGTTAATGTGTGAGCAGCAGTAAAAGTGTTTAAAGTGTCAGACACTTTCTGACAAAGTGGATGTTTTCCCTCTAAAGAGCGCAGCCCGAGGCGCCGGCCCGCTGATGTCACCGCAGGGAGATTAATCTGAGTCAGACCGCTCTCCTTTTCCAACAAGAGGCCCAGAGCAGGCTGGGAAAAAAAAACACAAAAAAACCCCACAGCATACCTATCATTCCTTATCCCTGATCTAACACTAACGGACAGTTCATGTCTTTGTTGCTCTGGGTAAAGGGGTTTTTGAAGTTGCATAAACCAGCGGATAGATTTACAGACAAGGACTAATCTTGATTACCTTGAACAGAGATCACCGTTGATTAAACACTTGAGGAAAAAGCTCAAGAGACCGAGACAAAACAAAACACAGAGGATTTGAAGGAATTATTCATTCTCAGGTTGCTCAAAAACACATCAGCTGTTTTTTTATACAACTAAATGTATAAGATTAAAGCTGCACTTATGAAAATGTTTATATCAACAATGGATCAAACAATTACCTGAATGTGAAATGTGATGCTCATAGCAACAAACCCACAGAGAATCATCGTTGTGTTCTGCAGTTCCTCAGTTCTACACTGTTAAATCCTCTTTCAGCTCTTTGTTTTGATGGAGGCCGAGAAAGTTAGCGACCAGCTGCTGAACATAGCGGAGGATTCAACAGGCAAACAGCCACAGATTTTATCAAGAGTAGGTAAAGATTCAAACAAAGCTGAAGGGAGCGTGAACATTCAATCAATCAATTAATCAATAATTGAAACCATATTTGTAGAGCTCCTTTAAAACAACTGAAAGTGCCTCACAGATGACGGGGAAGCTCATAATAACATAGTTCAAATGTAAATCCATTTGAAACTAATGCACATGAGAAATAGAAAACTGATGAAAACAGATGACAATAGATGACAGGAAATAAAAGATTTTAAAACATGAATACAGAAACATAAATAAATAATAATAAATAAATAAATAAATAACTTAATAGCCGTGAAATATTTTAATCAAAATCAAGTCAATTAAGTTTAAGTTTAAAATAAATCTCCAGATGTGTCCTGGATGTGTAATTATTGTTGCTGACACATTCATCATAATAATATAATGCACTATATGCTTATAACAAAATATGTAATTCGAGACTGAGGGAAACTAGTGTTAAATGTCAGCAGGAAAAAGGATGAAAATCTTGATAAATTTTTGCAATTCCAGTTTTATTTGTGTGGTTTTGTGCCTGATTTCTATGAGTTATAATATTGTACTTGTCACAGTCTGGGAACATGGTGATATTGCTCCAGTGAAGCCTGACAGGACAGGAAACATGAGTGGTTAAATTATTAGACCGGCTGTAAACAAGCCGTTAGTTCAATCAACCATTTTATTTGGGGGGTCAAAACTGTGTGTACACACTTTAAATGTCAAAGCTCAAAGTTGAATCACAGAGTTGGTCTGTGAACTGTGACGGATGTTCACAAGAGACAGTCTGGATGATAATGTTACAGTTCATTTTCTCTCTTTTGATTAAAACCGGCGTGATCGTCAGTTTCCTGACCTGTTGTGAGAAATCAAGGCTCTAAAATCAAAAGATAAACATTATGAATGTTGTTGCGTGTGTGAACCGACCAATTAGTGTTTACGTTTCCCCGAAATTCATATTATCAGCTTGCAGAAATCAGTCTGTTTATTTCTTCCTCTCACACCCACACATATTCAGCTACTAAATATGCTAACAGTAAATCAGAGTCTGACCTATTTCAGTGCCTCAACCTTCAGCCTTTTAATCTCAAATCTCAACTGCTGCTCTTATCTGATTCTATGAATGACTGTTTGTGTCTGGATCACAGGATGCAACCTGTATCTGATACCAGAATTAGCTGAAAGTGATGCTGCATCAACAGACAACTTTTATACTTTCTCTTCCGGTGTGAGATTTCCTTACAGTCGCGACAAATACAGACCGAAGCATTCACAGAACTTGGTGCAGCTGCCTCAGGATTAATCCTGTGCTGCGTATCATGCGGTCTACATCTCGGTTGGAAATTACACTGTTTCCGTGCAGCTTTGTGGTTTTCTTAGTGATTCACACACACAGCAGGTCTGGGTCAATGAGAGGGGACGAAAATAAGTGCAGCCCAGTAGCCACCTGTTTGTGAGCGCAGCTGTGAGCAGCTACAGCTGAATATCAGTCTGCTGTATCATCCTCTTTGAAGTTGAAGGAGAAACTTATTTTTAAGGTGAAGAGGTAAATAAACCAGCAGCACTTGTATAAAGAACGACTTTGTTGGTTCTACTAGAAGCTGAAGAAGTGAAGAAAATATCTTCACACTGTAAATGCAGAAACACTGTAAGTGTCCTCTTCTTGTCTTTACAGTGATTTATGACTCCACCACTTGTCTTCTCCGCCTGCTGCTATTGGCTGAGCTGTTTGTCCATTCGTCAACTCGTCCCGCCCACAGTTCCTCCCTCTGTGGTTTGTTTGGATCAATGATCCCTCAGGTGGATATGCTGATGAGCAATGCCAAAAAACTCCATGAGCTGGTGAGCATTACCCCCCCCCCTCCCCTCCACAACACACCACACACACACACACACACACACACACACACACACACACAAACACATGTTAAATGAATTTGCCAAGTAAATATTCAGATACTTTCCTTAAGTAAAAGTCACAGTATAAATATTCTCCAATGCAAATAAAACTCCTGCATTTAAGTTTTTACTAAAGCAAAAATCCAGAAGTATTATCAACAAAAGTAATAGGATATTATGTTATTGGTGCCAGTGTAAATGGTGTTTTTTGTCTGGTTGAATTAGATTGCTTTTATAAACTGTAGTGATGTGATGATGATGATACATACTGTATATGTATTACATACATATCTCATACACTGATCGTACATTCCTATACATGATTATATCTGGAGCCTCTGTAAAATCATAATCTGCAAAGTAACTCGTAATTACTTGCTGGAAAATAAATGTAGTTGAGTAAAAATGACAGTGTTTTCAACTGAAATGTGATGGAACAGAATGTAGCAGAAAATGGTAGAAATGAAATACTACTTGAGTAATTGTACTTAGTTACTTCTACCAGCAGGATTACTTCATTTCAATAGTAGATCCCTTATAAACACTGTACAGCAATTTTGTAATATTTTAACAATATAATTTTAACAATAAAACAAAGAAACAAATTGTATCTATCTAACAAACAGTTAGATAGATACAATTATTAGAGATACTGATCCATGTTTTTAATACACAGTATATGTTCAGTAATATAATATTCTACTTAAGTTATTATTCCTTAAGTTAAACACAAGATAGGAAAACAACAAGCTAGAGAGAAATGTTCATATCACTGCACGACATAGAGATGAAAACTAGTTTTTCGAGCCTCCTCTCACATGTTCTCTGTAGTAGTTGTGTAGTAGTTGTATCTTAACAGTGACCTTTGTTTCCTCATGTTTCCAACAGTCGAACGACGAACTCTCAAACTTAGCTTCTATGGAGAGCAGACTTCATGGTCTTCCTAACCTGCAGCACACGGCAGCACATTTCAACTCACTCAAGGTAAAGTTTCTAAATCAAATGAATCCATTTCTACTACCTACTTGATGAGGATGTGCATTAACCATCTATTTAATGTCCCCACAGGTGAATGAGTCCCTGTCTCAGCTCCATGTGTTCACTCAGTCCATTAAGCTGCATATAGACTGGTTGAAAACAGCAAAAGACAACTTCAGTTTACCCTCCCAGTCAGCTGAGGGCGCCAACACTCACCTCCTGCAACTGTCCAACCTCATCAACACATCTCTCAAACAGGTGAGAAGATTGGTTTGATGTGGTCACAAGGAGGACAAGTCCACCCAGAAATGAAATGAAAATAGATATTGTAAAAACAAAAGATTATATTGTATTTGCTCTTCTGATAAAGATAATAATAATATACATAATGATAATAATAAGGTGAAAGAGGAGTCTGTAAAATGTTAAACTGAAACCTGTAAAATTACAAATTTGAAAATGGAAAGTAAGGTAAGGAAGTTAAAATTAATAAGGTCACATTGAAATGCTTGAAATTTTAAATGGACTCATACTGAAGCCAAAATTTGAGTATTACATAACTGGAAAAACAAATAGCAAAGTTAATATAAATTTCAAACAGGCAAAATTAACTGCAAAAGGTAATTTGATGGAAATGTTACTATCCCGATTTTTTATTTTGTGCAGAAATGAGTTTCAACGATGGCATTTATAGTAGTCATTCTCAGCTGTATTAATTAATTACAGTCAAAGAATACTAATAAACGACCAAATAAAACAAAAAAGATCAAATAAAAATGACTGACTGTTAAACTTTAAAAAGTCACACCTCCAATAAATTATCATTCATTTTTATATTACATTTTTAACATAACTTTCAATCTATCACAGGCAGCTTTACTAATCACACTTTGATGCAGTAAAACATCAAATAAAAGCAATTAAAGTGGTACCAAAAAATAAACATAATTAAAGGAAGACTTACACTTCACTACACTACACTTTTACTGTAATCAGTCACTATGAGATCATACTGATCTGGGAAACTGTTTGTCTCATAAGGAAGGAATAAAATGAATGCAGAGAAAGAAGAGGGCAAAGCTGAAAAACAATGAAGTTAGAAAATGAAGTTAGAAAAATAGATGTAATTTCACTGCTAAATGTAAATATTCACACACAGCATGTATGAAGTGATGAAGCTGAACTCTGGAGAGATAATTCCTTTTGTTTAGGTCAGAATCATCCCATTAAAACTAATCATAAACGCATTATGCAGTTAAAGAGAAGAGTGGTTTCATGTATTAGCTCACTGTTGTTGTTGTTGTTGTTGTTGCTGTTGTTGTTGTTGTTGTTGTTGTTGTTGTTGTTGTTGCTGCTGTTGTTGTTGTTGTTGTTGACTCTAACCATTCTCTCTGTCTGCAGATTGGAGAAGAGGTTCCTCAGTCACCAGCTCTCTCCCTCCCTGTGGCCTCCACAGCCTTCGACGTGCTCCGGTTCTCCGTCGAGCTCTCTGAACAGTTACAGATTTTCTCCAAGTGGTCGAAAAGAGTGTTACGACATCTCCAGAGACAATCCCACTGCCCCAGACATTAAGAGGTCGCCTTCAACAGAGCAAGTCTTTCTACAAAACCACTGTCAGATGGTTTTTTTCGTGCTGCGTGGCGCAAGGGATGATAATATTACTTTGTCAGTATGTCAGTCCACCACTTATCTCAACAGCTGTTGGGTGGATTGCCATGAAATTTGGTACAGATATTTATTCCACCCTTAACGATGAATTCCAATCGTTTTGATCCTCTGACTTTTCTTGTAGCGCCACCATCAGGTCAGAATTTTAGTTAGTCCAATACGTTGGCTCATGAATGAATACCTGAGAAGCGAATGACATTCCCTGCAGCCTCATCTCTGTGTTTTGTTCTGCTTAGAAAATGTTAGCATGCTAATATGCTAAACTACGATGATGAACACGGTAACCGTTACACCTGCTGTTGAGGCAGAAATTAACTCATAAAAAACCTTGATGCCTCGCCGAGTCCGTTGATGTGGGAGTAAACAGTCGGAGAGAGTGGAGGTTTAAGATGAACAGCGTTTTATTCACGTTCGGCCGAGCGTGGAGATCAGTACAGAGCATACAAGAGGATGCCACAAGAAGATCTGACTCGTTCTGGGTTTTACCTACTTTATACTGCTTGTGTCTAGGGGTGTAGTCTCTTCTGATTGATCCTCTTATGCGTGGTCTTTGCATGATCATAAACATGATTGGCTGTAAGACCCCATGATATGCCTTTGTACATATCTATCTTTGTGTGCCTTGTTTGGGTGTTTTCGTGTGTGTCTCAGAATGTGTGTTGGTTCCTCATTATTTACATGTCTGCATCGAGTCAGATATACTTGCGGTTACAACAGTGAGAGCATGTCTACGATCACTTCCTGTTTCATCCTGTTCCTATGTCAACCAGGTCATCTTGTTTTGATTAATAACATATGTATTCAGCAGCCTATATTCTAAGGGTTACAGAGTGCATTTGCAGACCTAAACATTGGGACATCCTGTGTAGTACTTTGCTGTACTCACACTGCTTACCATCAGCACGTTGGCATTTTCATTGAGGACATGTTAGCAAGCTGATGTTAGCAGTTAGCTCTTCGCTGTGCCTAGATAGAGTCTCTCAGAGCTACTAGCAAAGACTCTCAGTCGTTTACACATGGTGAAGCGTCGGATGTGGCAGGAACAACGTACGGCAGAGTTGAAACAGTTTTGATGCAACGACAGGAAGATGTTGAGTTCTTGATACATGCGCACTTTGGTGCTTTGTTTACACGTTTTCATCTCTGTGCAGCTATATTAACATCTGCTCAGCAGTCAAACAGAATGTAAGTTTATTGAATGAAAGAAAATATGTGTCTGTTACAAGTGGTATTTTCCATGTAGCCTTTTAAAAAGTGTGGTACTAATGCACTGAGCTGAGGTCATCAGTTACGTTTACTCCCTTTAAGACTGTTTACACTCACGGTGCCTGCTATGTGTTGACCTACTCATGTGCTAAATTACGAGAAAATGTTGTGGAACAATTGTTATTTTTATACTGACATTTTTTTGTTTGTTTGTTTGTTTGTTTTTTTTTAACTATTTAGGATGCTATTTATGAGCTTTTTATATTATGTGATCTATTTAGTGTGAGATGCAGGCATCTCATTGTTTTCTATGTTATGTATTAAGTAATATTTAATAATATTAATAATATTAAAGTATTGTCACGCTGTAGTTAGTTTTATGGTACTATTTATATATTTTGTATGTTTTTTATTGTCTACGTTTGAAGTCATTAATAAAATTTTACATTGAAACAGATGTGACTTCTGCATAATGTTTGATACAATCCTTTGTTATTATCTTATTCAGACATAGTCATACAGTCACAGAGGCAGATATGATCTTATTGAAGAGAACTTCACTGGCTGGAGCCAAAGACCCATTATTTTGAAATTAGATGGTACATGGACAAGTCTCTTAGATATGATGGTGACTACTTCATAATCATTTTGGAAAATGGGAAAAATAGGTTCCAATATTACACACATGTAACATAAGTACCTATCACGTTAAACTCTTTGATATTCAAGTCGCTAGTCACTTGGACTCAAGGATGAACTGAATCGAATTTGGTGGACAAAGGTCAAAGGTCAAAGTCACAGTGACCTCACAAAACATGGTTTTGGCCTTGTGAACGCGATATCTCGAGAACTCCTCAAAGGAATCCCTTCACATTTGGCACAAATGTTCACTCAAGGACCAACACAAAAAACATTTTAGCCATAACTCTTCACACAGCAATTATGATAAATGGTTCATATTTTATATGATTCTGGATAAACAGGGATGTAATCTGATACATTTAACGCTGCCTGAGTTTAGTTCTGTTTACTCAACCTGTTTTATGGGCTCACAACTATAATGTGTGTGAATGTTTGTCATTCTTGGGTAAAGAAAAACCCTCCATGTTGAAAATCCATCTGTGACTCCTGCTGGCTTCCAGCTTGGTTCCTCATTTATTTTCCGCTTCTGAGAAATGTCACAGTTTTATCTGCCGCTGAAACTCAAACGCTCGTCCTGTTCTGAGGTTAAAAGCGTCCACACACCAAATAACCTACACGGGAGACGTACAGACCGCTGCTGCTGCTCAGCTGTGAACTGAACTGAAGTAACTCACAGTGACTTGCATAATGTCAGCGTGTTGACATGTGGCCACAGACAGACGCTTCCATGTAACTGATGCCAGCCTCCGGGGAACGCCTGAGCGATGCTGCAATCGTATGTGTGGACTGTGGTCAATGGAGGCAGCTGAGAGCAGGATCTGTGACCCTCGGGGGGTCTGGGTGTTGGAGGAAAATCCTTGGACTGGATATAAAGTGAGAGAAGGGGAAAGAAAGACGTGTTGTGTGTGAAGAGAGTGACAGGTGATAATTTGTTGACTGACAGAACTATAGAGCTAAATATTACACAATATTAGATTATTTTCCATGCTTTTCCTTTGATTGATAATTTATAGAATTATATGAAAATAATCTTTATAATCAAAATATGTAACTACTAAAGTTTTTTGTTTTAAATTGAATCTGTATGTGCGACAGGAAGAGAGATAAGATATTTCTTATTAGTCCCACAGTGGAGAAATGTGCAGAGTTGGAGCAGCAAAGTGACAGTACAAAGAAAAGGAAAAAAACAAGATAAATAGTAGATAATAATATAATATGTACATATACATGTACATAATATATAATATAAGAAAAAATATAACAAAAATATCAGCAGAAAAGAAATATTGCAGAAAGTGAAGGCATCTTCCTGTATTTCTAGACTTATGGTACAGTCCAGTACATGTCTCAGCCGGGACAGATTAATAATAGGATTATTTTAGCATGTGGATCTTATCGAACAGATGGTAGATTTTAAGTATTTGTCAAGATTATGTTGCAGAATTAATTTGCCATGGCATTTACTGTAATCAGGCCAAAATATTTGTGCGTTATCTATGCATGGATATTTATTTGTATTTTTTATTTAAACTTTATTTCACCAGGCAAGACATTAGGAAGAGTATCTTACAATCTCTTATCTCTACAATGGCAGCCTGAAAGTGCCACAAGACTCTTGGTATATAAGACAAAAACAGAGTGGAAAGACTTATTCAGCAAATCCCGGTAGTGTACAGCAGCCGCACATACACACATGTAGGCATTTACACGCCTTAAGAGCCAAATTTGGCTCAAATTTTAAACAAATTTCTGAAAAAAATCTGCAGAAGAAAATGCGTCATGATTTACGCCACATCTGCCAAAGACTTTCAATGTAATTGAACCCAAATTAGGAAGGTTGGAAACAAACACACTTTCTATCATTCACACACATACAGACACACACATGACACTCTTCAGGATCCACCCCACAGTGCAGCAGCAGAGGGAGGACAGGGGGAGGAGTGGAGGTGAGCACAGATCACTTTAGGATAAAAGTTGCAGCAGCAGACATGAGCAGCAGACAGTTTGTAGAGTTTCTCCGCTGACTGAAATCTACAACCTCACAACCAGCAGCAGCAGACCGAGATCCTCCGTCCTGCAGGAGGTGGAAGAAAACTCAGCGAGCAGCGGATGAGAATTTGTGGAGGATTTCCCAACAGGTGCACCTGCTAAATGAAGAGCAGGACGTAAATTTAACTGAGGATATCACGGCACTGAACTGAACTACAGCTGCAAAATGACAGTAAGTCAGAGCTGATGCACGGATTCACTCACTGCTCCGTACGCAATGTGAGGAAAATGTGCAGAGATTAAAGGGTCACTTCACCCGATATGTGAAAAAACTTACTGTCTCACTGACCTCTAGCTGAATCCAGTCATGCATACAGTTTCAGCTCTATCATGTTCACCTGAACAGAACAGAGGTGAATAGAATTAGACTTTTGGCGCTCAAAGCGTTCAGCATCACTGTGAACAATTTTCACTGAGAGTTCTTTCTACTTTAAAAATAGCTCCTGTGAAAACTGTGCGCGCGGATCATCCAGAGAAACAGGGCAGTGATGTTCTCAGACACAAACATTTCAAATCAAACAAAAAAATAAAACATAGACATTTTTTTGTAAATAAATTTGGGTGAACTGATCCTTTCAAATTAAAGTTTATCAGATGTTAAATGAAAACAATGATGCATGATGCATGAGCAGATACATTGCACAAATCAATAATAAGTTGCACTGTATCTATAAATAGTCAGATATGCAGTGAAATTTTACCTGCAGTGCTTTGTCATGCTTATTTTAAACCCATTTTAGAGACTTAATTATCCTTTCCCTATAATATAAATTGTTTTCCACATCATTCTATTGCATTATCTACAGTACAGGTACTCCATAAATTATTAAACAGTTCATTTTTTTTGCAGAGTTTTGTTTATTGCATAACTTTTGCTAAACTAATAATTACTACAGTCTCCCCATAATGACCTTCTGACAATGTCTTATGAGCATCAGGTGTTGTGAGATTTAAACTGATCGTTTTACAAAATCAGGAATAATTTCAAGCTGTAATCTGATTTTTGTAAATATATCTACTGGCAGTTTACCTAGAAACCACAACATTACAGCCTTTATTGCGAGTGTAAAAGAAATAATTAAATGTAATTGCAAATAATTCCTCAAATTAATGTTCAATAAATATGAATAACTGGTAGTATCAGCTTTGTTGTGTGGATATTGAAGCTTTAATATCTTGTAAATAAAACTACAGTATTTTGAACATATATATTCACATTCCACTCATCTTCACCCGGAACACTGGAGATGTCAGAAACTATTTGACTTTTTCAGTTGTTATTTTCCTCATGAAGAGAATGTTCAATTATAATGAAGAAAAGAAAAATCTAAACACAGGAGAGACTTCCTGCTGCTTGTTTAGATTAAAAATCAATTAATGAGTGTAGTTCATACATTTTACATTGTTTACACACAAGTAGAAAATATATGTTCATGTCATTTTACATGCTCTCTGTTGGTCAAACATATTTAAGGTGGACACTTTTAAACTGAGGTTGACTTCTGGATGTGTGCCAGGGGGACACACACACACACACACACACACACACACACACACACAGGACATCTTGTCAGTCATCACACTGATGTTTGTGGTCCACAGAAATCCATTACCATGTAGGACATCACCAGGACATTTATCTCTGACACACACACACACACACACACACAAACAACACACCACATTAACACACACCACACACACACACACACACACACACACACACACACACACACACACACACACACACACACACATTACAGGTCCAACATCATGTGTCTGTCTTATGCAACCTGGGCGTTCGGCCCGTCGTCACTCACAGAGGCTGTTGCAGTTGTTCTGTTCTGGCTCAGACCGGAGTCACCTCCTCCTCTTACACTCGTTTAAACCCGACCAGCTCTGAGCGCGCCGGCTATGCAGCTCACCGAATATCCCGTAAACCCTGATCCTCCACACCGTGCTCCTCCTCTGGTGAGAGATACAGCAGACTGTGTCTCTCTATTGATCTGAGCAGCAATCTGAATGTAATGCTACATTATCATCATTGCTCTAAATTTATCTCTAAATTTAGTGATTTCGATTTTTTTATGATGAATCAAAGAGTTTTTTTTATGGGCTACTTGGTTAAATAAAACATTTTATAAACTTAAAATGAAAATATTGCAAATGCATGTTTACATTCTCACTATTTTATTCACAATAACTTTTTTATTTCAGCTGCCAAACTACAAAAAAGACACGATTTAAAGGCAACTCAATTCACTAAGTTCAAGATTTCGGCCTTAGGTGTTACAAACATTTGTCTCAGACAGACCTGAACAGCTCAGTAATGAGAGCACAGAGGACCAGAGTTCAGCCTCCACTCAGACCACCCACACTGCAAATATATTCACACATAGGCGAGAAGTTTTAGACAAGAATATGGTATAACACTGCAGTGTGTGATGCACTGACGCTAAAACTCAAAATATTATTATTAAATTATGTAAATTAGAGTTATATTGAGAGTGTTTCTTCTTCTCTCTGCGGATATTTGAAGGATTAATTGCTTTTTAGTGCATCTTTCTAATGATGCAGGGAAATCTCAGCTGCTGCATCATGAGGCTGATTTGACATTTTAATCTGTGAGGATCTGCAGGTTTGATCATAAAATCCGTCCACAGTTTTGTGAGTGCTTGTCTTTTGTTGCGGCTGTTGTTGTAGACGGACGCCCTGTCGAGCATGCAGAGTATCTGTGTACAGCACATTCATGGCTCTGACTTGTTCTCTAATGAGCTGTAATGAGCTGGCCCCTGTCTGGAGATATAGTAACACCAAATCCCAGCCTGGACCCAAGGGTGCCAGCTGTGGTGGAAAGATCAACGTTCCATCAGACAAAACAAGGATCTGTGTGTGTGTGTATGTGTGTGCGTGCGTGCGTGTGTGTGTGAGGATTTCATGAGGCTATTAACAGACATGTTTATACCCGTGGATCAGTGTTGCTGGCATCGCCATGACAACAATGATCATGACAACGGTTGTGTTGCATTCCAAAGAGCTGTGAGGGATTCCACTCGGAAAAGAAACAGAATGAGTTTTTATTGATCTTAAACGTTTCAGTAGAAAGTCTGTTCGTGGTTCAACCTTCAAATTAAGACGTTTACCAATTTTATGGTTGTTGGTTAGACGTGGCGTCGAGATGAGTCAAGACATCCACCAGGAATATGGTTCATTTGGTTCTCAAGTACTCCGTCTGTGCTGGTTCTCTTTTTCACCATAGACTTCTCAGGCCATGATGAACGTTTTTTTTTTTTGTTGTTGTTTGATTATTGAACCATCAATAAGTTATCAGGCAGGAGTTTTGTCTGAACATACCAGGAAACACACAGGTGTGAGTGCTTAATAACATTAACGATGATGACTGCCTTCCATTAAGCTACGTCCCTGACATCGCAAATACATTTTGAAGGAAACCTGACCAGATTAAGCTTTCTATCAACATCGTGAGGAAATGTTGTTAATTAACATACTTAGCAAGTCGCAAAACTGTTCATACTGAGCGTATCAGCAATACGTTCACTGACATCGTTTTCTGCCCGGAATACTTTGAAACGCTCCCTCCGTTTGTAGTGACTACAGCCTCGTTAAAGCTTTTTATGGTTGTGTTTAGACTCTCACAGCACTTAAGGTTAAGGTTGGGGAAAGATGGTGGTCTGGTTTAATAGGCTACAGTAAAGTGCAGAGTCACAAGTTTATTCACATTTAACCGAAACCATCATCTATGTTTCCTAAACCACAGACAGGATGTCAGTCAGGATGCTAGCTCCAGTCATTAGGGGGTTTCCATCAAAATGTGATGTAAACTTGAGTCAAAATCATTCACTCCACTGACAGACCAGGTGTATTGATTACATGATGACCTTATACTGTACATTACTCTATAGGAATGAACTATCAAGATAGTCGATGAAAAACAGATGTTAACACTAACCCAATTTCTTTGCATCCGGCCAGTGATTGCGCTTAACAAGGGACAGAGGGAAGATGTTCAACAAGTGCATCTTGTTTTTTGCTGTATCAATCATGTATGAAAACTGACTTAGCTTCTGGGATCAGGATCTGTCAGCACAACTGCTCGAAGACCCATCTGGATCAGACAAACACAGATTTTGGGAAGACTTTTTGTCTCAGATCTGAAACCGTAGTCTCGGACAGGCAAAAAGTCACCTTGTCTACACCGACCCTAATCAAACCTGTGCTCCGCAGATGAAGTGAATGTTTTTCATCTGTCTGTGTCCAGGCTGCCACAAAGCTTCTGGATGAGATGTGCCATCTGACGGCTCAGTCTCTGTCACCAATGGACACGTCGGACCACTTCAAGGTCCTGAAGCTCCTGGGTGAAGGCTCGTATGGAAAAGTCATGCTGGCTGTTCACAGGAAGAGAGGTGTGTGTGTGTGTGGGGGGGGGGGGGGCACTTATCATCATTAGCGTTAGCACATCAAAATATTACCTACTGTACATCAATCATTTCCTTGTGTCCTCCAGGTACTCCGATGGCTCTTAAGTTCTTCCCTCGTGAGTCCACCTCTCTCCTCTCTTTCCTGAGGGAGTATAACCTCTCTCTGTCGTTCTGCACCCACCCGTCCCTCACCAGAGCTCTGGGGATCGCCTACTCCACACCTTCCCACTACGTCTTCGCTCAGCAAGCAAGCCTCTTTGGAGACCTCTACGACGTCATCTTACCAGAGGTATACAGTTTGTTTCACAGTACAGCACGCACTGTAGCTGTGTCCCAAATTCAGAGGCCGCATCCTTCAGAGGACGCCGTCTATGACGCCAACCGAAATGAGTTGTTCTGGTTTATGAGGGATTTTCGCTTTGCGTCACCAGCTGTGCCAGCCCTTACCATTGCGTTGCAATTTTCAAAATCTTGAGGTTTAAAGGCCCTTGGTTTTAACAGTTGTACTGCTTACCTGTTGACCTGAACTGAACTTACATTTAAAAGTGTAATCCTCAGGCTCTCTGTTGGCGTTTGCTTTCATTACCGGTGCGCAATGAATCTCTGGATAGGTTGGGAAAAGAAAGCCGCATTTCTGGGCTGCATTTGAAGGAGGTCTCAAAATAGTTCAAGCTAGTCGCTATCTGCTGTGATGCGCAATCGGTCTTCAAGGGCAGCTTCCAAAGGAGGCGGCCCCTGAATTGAGACACAGCTTGTGTGTATAGTGATTTTAGGTTTCTACGATAAAGTGTAAAGACCCGAACCTTGTCACACTTAGGAATAACTGAGAAGCAGAGGTTCACTCTTCAGATTCCTTCTCATTCTTTTTCTGATTATAACTCTCATCCTTCTCTTTCCGTCGTCCCCCTCGCCATTTCCTCTTTAGGTCGGGATGGAGGAGGACTGTTGTCAGCGGGTGGTGTCCCAGCTCTGTGGTGCGCTGTCCCATCTCCACTCCCTCGGTTTTGTCCACAGGGACCTCAAACCAGAGAACGTCTTCCTGTGCGACTCAGCCTGCCGCTGGGTGAAACTGGGAGATTTCGGCATGGTCAGTTTAAAGATATACTCATTCTCCTGTGACATGATAGCATTACTGAGTAGCACTATCCAGCATGTGCGGCTAAATCATGTGCCATATTCTTAGAAAAGTGAAGATTAGATATAATGACTATGTTTTAGTCATGCAAGTTGCAAATAAATGAATCTTTTACCCCAGGTGAAGGCCAGGGGCACCAGGGTCCCGGAGGTCTGGTACAGCTCCCCTTACTGCACCCCTGAGGCGGAGATTGCACATGGAAATGAGGACAGCTGGAGGAGCATGAATGATGGGAAAGATGTCGTTAAAGAGGATGAAGAGAAGAAGAAGAAGGCACGAGTTTGGGTGTCTGTGGAGCCCAGCACAGACAGCTGGGCGTTGGGGATCCTGACCTATGCCATGCTCACTGGCAGTCATCCCTGGGCGGAAACAGCCAGCGACTGCCGCTCATACCTGAAATATCGGGAATGGTTTGACGCAGCGAAAGGCCCTGAAGATGAACTGGACGTGTGGGCAGAGCCGCATACAGAGAGCGCGCAGGATGCCATCGATTTAGATGGACCAGAACTTGGAAAGAAGGACCGCATTCCCACAGCACCCCAGTTTGCATGTTTCACCCCGCTGGCCTGCTCCTTCTTCCAGGCGCTCCTCGACCCGAGGCCCCGGCTTCGTGGACGGCCTGAGGACGCGCTGAGTTACCTGGGGGGAGACTGGATGATGGAGAAGGAGAGGGTGAGGCTGGAGGAGGAGAGGAAGAAGAGCAGAGGGAAAGGTGCAATCAGAAACATGAAGGAGATGGAGGGAAGAGGAGAGAGATAAACACAGACAGTTTATGCACTTGATGAGACTATGATGAGTTATCTCAATGTTATATTGGGTTTATTTTATCAAATATTTGTTTGTACTTTAGCAAACAGATTTTGTTGCTTTTCAAGAAACCATTGTAGTCATGAGTAGCCTACACTGTGATATAAAGCTGACACAGAATTGACCAAGTAAAAAAGCAAAACATTTATGGTTCAACCTGGTAAAAGGTTATTAGCATTAGCTGTTTTTTTTTTGTTTTGTTTACATAACTTTAAATGTATCTAATAGCTTCATATCTTTTGGTCAAAACAAGTCATATGAGGACATCACCTCGCACTCGATGGCCATTTTTCGTCACAAGTCAAAAGTGGCAGGTGGAAAAATTCCTTCCCACACATTTAACCCCTTCAAACGTGACGAAAGCAACTTTGGGAAAATCCCCTTCGTTAAATGGAAACAACAGGGTTTATAGGAAATCTGGTTTCAATTTGGAGAAACTAACGGGACTGTGGGAGGTTCACGGCTGTTTTGATCAGGGTATTATTTGTTTTTGGCCATTAATTAATTGATTTTGCTAAATTTTTATATTAATTATTAATATTGAATATAGCAATAATTGTATCTTATATCAGCTTGAAAAAAATAGTGCAACAGTTGCATTTCTGGAGATGACTTGTGTTAAGTGCTGTAATGGTATCATGTCCTTGAAAAAGACACCTCTTTAACACGCTGCATCTATATTTAGGTCCAGACTTCTGAATGTGTAATACGTCATAGTCGGCTATGAACTGTACACAGACTGCAGCGGTGCACAGTTTTACAGCCATACACTCGTCCAGTTTGAATACAACCACAGACAGAAAAAATGCATTTAAGTCGAACATCATCAGCCTTTCTGAAAGTGTGTGTAACATTTCACTGTCTATTTAGCAGCTAGCAACTTTTAGCAGCGTTATTTTGTACTTTAACATTAGCACTTATCCTAAGCTGTTGCTGTAGCACTTTGTACATAATTACAAAACTGTGTCTTCTATTATTTTGTATGGCTGAATGTTCCTTACACATCACATCAAAATTGAATATATAAAATTATGATTTAATACATTAAATTAAATATTACATAACAGTTATACTGCCTTTCATGGGTTACAATATAAATGTACAATGTAAAATACTTGTGTATTTATGTAATTGTACCCACTTTACAGACATGCAGTTTATAAAATGTAATTTAAATACAATAAAATTACAGTTTTTTGTAAAATGCTCTTTTTCAAATAACAGTGTGATAGTACAATGAACTGTCCAATATTATTACTGTGCATCAAAAAGACTCACAACTGCCACTGATCAGCAAATAAATAGATTTTTATATTGATTTAGTGAGTACGCTGACCTAAAAAACATGTCCTGTCGCACTTATACCTCAGTAATATCCTTGTAAGATTATACACCAATGCAAACAGATCACATACACTGATGACTACACACACACACACACACACACACAGAGTGAGGACCATCTGGAGAGCTTCCCCTGATGTTTTCAAAAATAGATCCGCGGTCGTAAATTTGACACTAAGATCTTTCAGCACCGTGTATGTGCCGCGGGCCACGGCTCAGAGTCCAGCCAAGTCACACACTGAGCACATTTTCTCATGCAAACACAATGAGCTGGACACATACTGGAGAGGCAGATTTCAGCACAGACACAGTGAACCACTGACACCAAACACCGATAATTAACTGAATGCAAACACTACTCTTAGATGGTAAACAGAGTTATTATCTGCACACTTCAATTGGCCAGTACCAGCATTCCTTTATTTGAAGCCGCATGCTAGCTAGCTTATCAGCACTCCTTCCTCTAGTCTCTGTTTCCCAGGCTGGGAGGGTTGGCAGGGCCTCCTACTGTACCCTTTGTTTGCCAGAAAACTTTTAATCTTTGCCTCCTCTATGGAAATGGGAAATTCCGCAGCCTTTACAGAGTGGGGGTGGGGGTGTGGGTGGGGGTCAGAGGGGGAGCGGGAGCAGCGGAGGCCGCAGAATCCTGAACCGCTGCCCAGTCTAATAAAAACCAGAGGAGGCGTAAATAACAAGCGGAGGTGAAAACAAAAACAAAGAGGATAAATCTACTCAGCCTATGTAAGGTTGTTAAATCTACTCGTTCCTTCCACATGACCATAAGTAAAGATCTGACACTGAATCATAGCGGGGGAAAACTGAAGCACTGAGCCAATAGGCTACATCTTTATTTCCTGTTAATATTACTCAGAACTGTTTCATCCAATGTGTCTGTGAATGTTCTCATTCGTCCAGGTCATAGTTATCTCTCTCTCAAATTGAATCGAAGGCAACTGGACTTGTATTTGTCTGTGGAAGACGTTTCGCCTCTTATCCAAGCGGCTTCATCAGTTCATCATGTATTGGTCTCTCTAGTCCGCACTAGTCTCTCTAGTCCGCACTAGTCTGACTAGTGCAGACTAGAGAGACCAATACATACGAACACGCTGCGAATTCAGAAAACATCTTCATCAATTTGACAACACATGCACTGCAAAAACACATTGCAAATAAACAAACGTGCTGCAAATCATGAAGCCGTAATCCTAACCGCAGTGTTCGAGTCCAACCAGTGGGCCTCTGCACCATATCATACTCTCTCTCTCTCTCTCTCGCTCTTTCTCTCTATCTCTCTTAATTAAGAAAAAAGGGATGAACCCAAAACACTTCTGTTGTGTTGTCAAATTGATGAAGATGTTTGTGTGCTTGCATGTGTTTTGAGCTCTCAGGGCCACCGTAAGTTACTGATGTATTTTAGATTGTAGAATCAAATGTGAAACAGTCTTGAGCTTGTGTTAACCACAGACCTTATTTTAGTCTTCTAACCAGAAACCCAACGGCTTCTGGTCGACAGAACTGGAAATGCTAAAATGCTAACTTCTGGGTTTTACGACTCATTCCTGCAGCACTCCATTATCTTCCCCAATGATCCGGTAGTGTGAGGGGATAACAGACATAATCTCAATGTTACAGACTCTGTTAACATCCTCTTAAGGTTTCAACTTCTACACCTGTTGTANGGATCTGAGTCTCTCTCTAGTCTCTGGACTCTTAACATCCTCTTAAGGTTTCAACTTCTACACCTGTTGTAGTCGATGTTGATTTGTCTGAGAATAAGAAAGTAAAGCACAAGAACACACTTCAGTTTTTCAGAAAGACTGCTGAACGACAAATTGTTTTCTTGACCGTGTGATTTATCTTGGCCGTCCAGAAGACGAACTATAAAAGGAGAGCTGCGATCAAAGGCATCACAGAGAGTTTAAATAGTAAATACAGCGCTGAGGAAAGATGAAGCCTCGGACCAGATCCAGCCCCACACACACACACACACACACAACACACACACACACACACACTCTGAGGCCTCAGTCACGACTCTGCATATATCATCTACACGCTCCATACGTACAGGTACATATCATGTTTTACTCATTGAAACCTTGTAAATCCATTTTTAGTCACGTATCAGTTTGCATGTGAAACAGTTTCCACATCAGTTGGGTAAACTCAGACATTCATGGTTGTAAAGCTAAAAACAAGGCTGGCTGCTTCAGTTCCTGAAAAGCTGACGATGTGGAGATACAAGGTTTTTAACCTATAAGCAATGGGGACGTACTGTATGTATATATAAAGACATATTTAAAATGTTTTTAAGGCTTGGTTCAGTCAAACAGAGGTGATGCAGGTGTGACATGACACATTTAAGTACTCAGACACACACCTGCACAAGTCTGTTACCTACAGATAATCACACACTGACCCACTGCCCATGAGCCCTCCTGACACACACACACACACACACACACACACACACACACACCTCCACCTCAAGGTGTTGGCTCAGGTTTCACTGAAAACTTCAAAGCAAAAAGTGATGATGAGTGACTCTAACCTTTGACCTTTGACCCCCTGCTTACCCCAACAGCACCTAAATCACTGCAACATCCAGTGTGGTGTGGTGCGTCAGCTCCTGGTCTGAACCGACAAAAGATTCTTGACGTAATGAAGCAGAGTTTAAATAAAGAGATCATCTGTGAGGAGGAGCATCTCCAAGTTATCTCTCAAACCGGCCGGAGCCAAAACTCATGAATTAGCAAGCTTGTTAATGTGAGACAGTTTGATTATCGTATCACACTTAGAGAGTGGGTCCGACAGTATTAAAGTGTGTGTGTGTGTGTGTGTGTGTGTGTGTGTGTGTGTGTGTGTGTGTGTGTGTGTGGGGTGGGGGGCAGTGACCGGTGCCCTGCAAACTATTCTGATCCACATTCCTCTCCTGACATTTCACCTGATATGTTGCATTAACGCTATGTGTCTTAAGTATGCCAGGGTTGTGCAACAGTGTGTGTGTGTGTGTGTGTGTGTGTGTGTATTTGTCTAGTTTAAGTGTGTGTGAGAAAGTGAGAAAAAGAAATGCTAGAAGTTGACAAGATTACACATCATGAATACATGATAGTATTTTAACACTTTGCTCTTTTAATTCCATCATCTTCCGTCATCCTGTTCTTCTGGTTTAATCCTGACGTGAGAATGAGCGTAACCTGTAGAAATAATGGCCAAAACTTCTAAGTTGTAATAAACAGGAATTATTATCTATGAAGTTTCTACCTTTCAGATACATGACGGTGAATTAATGGTTTGTCTTCCTGGACCTTTTCAGTCCACAGCGGCCTAACTGAGTCCATGTTGAGACGAGTGGTTAAATTTGTCTTAAAATACAGGTACTATCAGGGATTCACTGACTCAGTTGTTTTCTGGGGACCACAAACGTTGGCACGAAATTAAACAGCAATATTTCAATCTGGGCTGAAGGCGACCAAACCAACCAATATTGTCATTTCAAGAGTCCTACTGCTGTCACTAAAAAAACACTTTAGTAACTGACTTGAACTCTGAGTTCTGCTGGCGTTGGAGTTTTCCAGCAGCTCGTGGACACACACACACACACACACACACACACACACATACACACACACATACACACAGGAACCTCGTCTGGATCCAGAGGACGCAAAAGGACATGTCGTTTTCTGACTGCAACATTTTTATTTGGCTCGAGGCTGCGATGAGAACAGCCTCGAGCCAAATAAAAAATTTACTTGTCCATTTAGTTTATGACGTGGTGATGTATGTAGCTTTGAAAGTGATGCTAAGCTAAGATTAGACTCTGTGACCTAAGTCGTCCAGGAGCGTGTTGGCCACCTAGTCTGTCTGTCTGTCTGTCTGTCTGTCTGTCTGTCTGTCTGCCCTGTACCACACTGACTCTGTGATAAAACCACAATCCTTCATTTTGCAGCCATAAATGAAGCGATGACGCCAGTTTCATAATGTATGTTGACATGGTTGTTGTTGTTGTTTTTTTTAATCAGTTACAGAGAAAAATACTTAATTACAACAAACAGTTATTGAGAACAATTATGTAGCCTAATTTTTTAGCAATGCTTGTGGAGTGGAACTAAAAATAGCAATGTCCATGGGTCAATCAGGGAATGCATATATGCATTCATGGTGCCCAGAGGATAAATCCTAATGACTTCTGTGATCCCCTGGCTTTTCCTGTAGCACCACCAGCAAATTTCTGCATGCTAACACGCTAAGTTTAGATGTTGAACATGCTAAAGATGATACTTTCATAACAGCAGCATGTTGATGTGAGCATGTTAGCATGTTGCAGTTAACATTTAGTCCAAAGCTCCACTTCAGTACAGCATCGCATCTTGTGTTAAAGTGAGTGAGGATCCAAAAATTCAATTTAAAAAGCTTTGAGATTAAAGACGAAAATAGTGATCAGGATTGTACAGTTTCTATTTAAGTTACAGGTTGAACCTTTAAATTTGACCCCTCGTTAAACTGATGAGCACTGACGAAGGCTGGGGCACAGATCCAGGTGAATTCATCATAATGTCACGTGTGATGTTGTTTTGAAGAGATGTGCTGCTCGGTGTGGATTACAGAGCAGGAGGTGACCCAGATCCAAAACGCAGTGGGACTTATACACACTTAAGGTCACATATAGCACATTCAGAACAGGTCTGCACTCTGAAACACACTCAGGCAAATCTCATTCACATGCACAGTCATGCATCCACACGTACACACAGTTCAGACCTGTGATCAGACATGTTCGGCGCTAGTTAACGTTGACAAATACCTAAAGGCTAAAACGGCCTCAGCGGTGAAGAGAGGAAAATCAGAGGAAGACGAATCGTGTTCCTGATGAAGGTCAGAGGAGGCCAGCAGTCCGCCGTCCAGCTGTCTGTCGCTCTCTTTTTCTGACTGTCAGCAGAGCTAAAAGTTACCGCTCAGTGTGTCCAGTCATGTCCTGACCTCACGCAATATTTCTCACTTCTGCTGCGACTGCATCTCATTCTTCTGGCTCCTTGCAGAGTGTGCGATGGATGGAGGGATCTCTCACTTTTATTTATGTAAAAGCAGCAGTGACACAAAAATGAAATATGCTGTTAAAAGGTCCGACAGCCAAAGTTTTACCCAAGAAGAAATATAAAAGCGCCTCTGAAAGTTGGAACGTTGAACGTTAGAGAAGCTTGTGATTGGAAAGATGTGGCTTTGCTTCCCATGTGGGAAAAGTGAGAGATCAGTGTTTTCCACCTCTAAGGCCCTGTTCACACCTGGCTGCTCGCTCTCGCCTCGAGAAAATACGAGCAGCGGCTCCTGGACATGTCCTGGTTTACCATGACGGACAATTTATGTTTGGATTTTGTTATTTCCTGTTTTATTTTGCAGTCAGTTTCTTTGTGTGTCTCTTGGTGTTTGTACTTCCTGTCTTTGTCCTGTTTCCCTCCTTGTTGATTGTCTGCCCCGTCCTAATGTGTTTCACCTGTGTTCAGTCACCCCTGCCTCCCTTGTGTCTGTTCAGTCTCTGTGCTCCTCTTTGTCTGTGTCGGTCCGTCTGCTGTGTTGTCCTCGGTGTTATCTGTTGTTGTCCCCTGTGTCTCCAGTTGTGATTCCTTGTGTACCCTCATGCTTCGGCTTCCTGTTCAGGTGGTTTACCAGTGTTTTGTAAGTGGTCGCTTTTTTGTAATTAAAATATTTTGCACTACTCCCTTTGTGTTGGTTGCATTTGGGTCCAGCCATACCCGCAATCGTGACAGGACACTGATATATCACTGGGACTATCATTTTTGTAGATAGGCTATTGCCAAATTCCAACCTTTCAGGTCAGTGATCAGATCACAAATGGTCAGCTTTAAAACACGTCTCCAGTGAGCACTTGTGATTGGAGCTCACGTCCCCGCTTTATTAGCAAATAAACAAGTATGTGTTGTTGTTTTTAGCCAATGCAAAAGACGTGTGTGTGTGTGTGTGTGGCAAAGAGGAGTTGAGCGAATCGTTGTGCTACACACAGATCTACAGTGAAATCATAGTCAAATATTTTCCATTCATTATAAAACCTATTGGGACTGCAGTTTTTTAAGTGATGAGACTGTTGACTGTGCTTTATTCACAGTGGCATCTTATATGTTTAAAAGTTTCATTGTGTATTTTCTATTACAGTTTCTAATTTCCTAATTTATTTAAATTGTTTGTGATGTCTTTTTTTCTTTTTTTTTTGTTCATGTTTTTATTATATTTCATATGCACATTCAGGTCTCTCTTGAAAATGAGATCTCTATCTCAATGGGATTTACCTGAATAGATAAAGGTTAAATAAAATAAACATGTGGTCCAGACCACCTCCAAATGTGGTCTGAGTGATCGGGTCTCAAATGCGTCCTCAGTGCATTATGGGTGCTTTCGCACCTGAACTTAAGCGTTGTCCACTTGTGATCAGATCACCTGAGACGGATGTTAACACCAGGTCTGAACAGGGCCTGAGGGATGCCCTTGAACAGAACCATAACTCACAGGCAAGTAGAACAGGCTGTACTGTAACTGTGTGTGTGAACAAGGTGCTCCTGAAACAGAGCCTTTGACAAAAAAGAAGTGAAGATGAAAGATATTTTTAACAACTTTAAATAGATCAGTAGGCCTAGTTCAGTCTAGACGAATATGACAAAAACTATCCTTTAACAGAAACAACAAGTTGCCTTTCCTCACCACTGACTGTTGTGTTGAAGGCCAATTCATCATCCACTCACTAAATGGGTGACCTTGGGTGGCCTGTACCTCCCAGTGACCCCGTTATGTCACATTTGTGTCATCTCCCTTTTGACCTTCAGATAACAGTAATATAATCCATCATCCATTTTCCAATTTACTGGAGTCAGGACATGTCAATGGTTTTGGCACCATCCTCAGGATTGGAATTTATAGTCCATCAGAAAAGAAATTAATTCAGATTATACCAGAAAGAAATAGTTTCTCCAACAGCAGTGTAAACCAAAGGAATCTGAACTATCTTCACTATTTGCAATGCTGTGTAAGAGCTCTCAGTATTTACATTAAGAATCACACCACAACCATCACCCATCCTTTGAAAGGATTTATTGCCTCTTTCTCATTAAATTGGTCATAAATCAAAAGTGTTAGTCCAGTGATTTCACAGCCAGAGTGGAATGAGTGAGAAATGGGAGACATTTTTTTTATATTTTTTTAGCCAGCAAACATGAGCAATGTAAACACAACACACATATCAACATATCATATATCAATCAGCCCTATATCTCTTAATGCCAATTAAATACAGTTCATGTGATCTGATCACAGCAAACCTTAAAAAAATCTATGCAAACAAAATGAATTCACAGTCAAGAAACGTTCACAACGATTTCCTGTAAACACCATCTAAAGTCACAATCAGCCAAAGCCTCAGGTCAACATTAACATATCATTTGCTGCCATTAAGACATTCATCAGATGAAGTAACAATCATCAGGTTTTGTTTTTCCCGCCTTCAGTCCTGAGACCGGTGTGTTCGAATCTCTTACAGTGCACATGGGTTCAGGGAAAGAGTCGCTTGTTTTCACTTCACATAATTTAGTTAAGGTAGAATATCACTCTTATATAATTAATTACAGGAACAAATCAACTTTTTGGGAAATCTAAACAAACAAAAACATGTTGATTAGAGAGATATTAAGTTTGTTTCCTTGAGACAGAGCCAGGCTAATTGTTTACGGTATTTAGGCTAAGCTATGCTAACCAGCGGCTAGCTTTATATTAAATGCACTGACATGAGAGTGGTATTCATCCTCTCATCCAACTGTCAGCAAGAAAACAAAGAATATTTCTAATTTCCCAAAATGCTGAACTATTCCTTTAAGTTCCATATATTTTCCTCAGATTGTGGGCTCTGTTTGGGAGCTTCTGCCTCTCTAGCTGTACTGATATAATTCCTGCATTACCTAATCAACCTTTTTTTTCTCATTTCCACAAAACAAAGTACAGTTTGCTTTCCAGAAACATTTTTGCTTCATGATCATTTCACAAACATGAAAAAAAAAAGCAGGTAAATCGGATGCATGTGCACGTCTGTAGCGATCGCACTCCTTCCACTGAATCTGCCTGTAAACATCACATTACAATGAGATGATAAATCCTCTTCAACATAAAACTGGTTGTACGTGGAGGAATGTTTGGGAGGTGGAGGCGGTGCAACAACACAACTTTCTTAACATTCAACGTTAAATCTGGGTGATATTAATATGTAATGCAGAAAGTGAAGCTATGATTTGACCTGCCCACATTAGAGCTTCCCTCCAGTCATCTCACAAACGGGCTTGAAGGAATGTGACTGGTTTTCAAGGCAAAATAGGACTTTCTGATCCCTGCTTTGATAGAAATGGGCAAGTTGATTGGCTGATTGGGGGTGAAGAAGGCCACAAAGTATTTAAGTAGTTTTAATTTACTGCCTGCAGACAAACGCCCATCGTCAAATTCAGCAGAAAGATATATTTAATTCTTATCTTATTCAATTCTCTAATAAAGTATGAAAGTAAAGAATGCATGTGTGGATTTGGCCACTGATTTCACTGCAGCAAAACAAACCTGCTGATAATAAGCACCCAGTCGTAAACGCAAATATGATTTTACATTGTAAACAGAAATTCATAGATTTAATATGGCAGGGAGGAATGTTCATGTAATATTCCTATGAAGACATTTTAAAACATTTTGTCTACCATATGTCAGCCCACTTTTAAGTGAGCTCAGTGACTCTAGAAACACACTAAAATACTGTACAATTGGTACCTGATTCCAGTGGCGATAAATATGTGGATAAATTTTCATATCCATTAAAGAAAGTCTAATAGGAAGGTTTGGAAATATTATCTTTAAGTCCCTTTTTACATTATCTTTATGTAATCACACCACACTTTAGACCAACGGTAGCCATTTTAAATACAGAAATTTTGAGATTTGATTTAGATTGACAAGTTTCCTCCAGGTTAAGGGCACTCCATAATTCACAGTGTGAGGACGGGAACGACATTTAACCCCCTGTTCAATCTAAAAATCTTGGTTTTCTTAGTGGGAAAAAAAATCTTGCAACTGAGGTAAAACAGTGTAATGTGTCTTAAACTGTTCTTATTTTACAATTTATACTGATTAATTAGTCAGCAAAAACTCAACTTCAACAGAAATAAGGTTGATTTACAAAAATAACATGTAAGTGCCAATTGTAAACTGTCAAAATGGCCTACATTAATTCCTTGCACTTGATTCACAGTAGGCTGCAGAAAGCACTGGTGTCTTTTCTTGAGGTGTAGTGCTTTGCAGTGCCTGCAGGGGGAGCCGTTGCTGCGACAACAAACATTCCAGATCAAAGCTGAAGCTCTGCTCAGAGAGCCATCTACCGGGGAGGCGCAGCAGACACATAACAGAGGAGCACCTGCTACTCAGGAGGTCACACATAGCCCTTGAATATAATTGGAAATGGCTCATATCAGTAATAATGGCTTCAACACGTTAATGCTTCATTTCCTGTCAGGATTATGTGAAAGAACTATGACTCTTTCTGTCGTGAGTTGTTGTTTCTACAGCTCTGTGGTGTTTCACGCCTCTGCTTTGGGGATCAGGGTGAGGGAGTTACGCTCAGTGTGATGCACAGGAAGCTACTGACACAGATGCAGGTGAGATGGAAATCACAACCGACGGAGCGGCCAGCGACTCAGAACTGGATCCAGTTTGCGGCGTTCTGTGGTCGAGACGGAGCTGGAACAGAGCTGAAAACACACAACCTGACGTTAGTTATTTTTCTACACATTCTGATTAAATTATATCAGTTATTTGTAAACAATGCCAGTGTTTTTCATGTTCATCTTTCTTACTATAAATTACAAATACTTTACCAACAATTTATGACACAATGGTATGATGTGAAAATGAATCACTGTAATTTAAAGTATAATTTCTAAAAAAATTAGGTAAGACAAGCTTGTTTAATTTTCTGGTGTATAATGTCATATATTGACATCATATATTGAATATTATATATTGTCATATATAACAGAAGATTAGCCGTCTACCTTGCAGGAGCAGAGAAGTCTCCCCAAAGATCTGAACTAGGGTTTGACTGAACCACTGTGTTAGAGTTACTGCTGTCCAGCTCCAGCAGGCAGCCTGACACACACACACACACACACACACACACACACACACACACACACACACACACACACACACACACACACACACACACACACAGGAAGAATCACAGCACTCTTTTAAAGTAGCTCACAAACTGACACACATTTTGCTTATTTTCTGCAGCCTGAAGCTCAAAGACGTACGAGTCATTTAACAGTCACTAATTAACACAGTGACGACGGAAATAGGTCACTTCACTTCTGTAGGTTAAAGCTGCACAAGGCAAGATTCTTATGTGAAATATAGCCTGAAACACAAAGTGGGGCTGAAACAGATACGAGCCTCCCATGTGACAGATTGGAAAGACGTCAACTTGCAATATAATTAAATATAATTCTGTCACATTTGTCGACATCAAATTCATCAAACTCATGTCGGCTATAATCACTGGTGTGAACTGATGCGCAGATGGGGATTTACAGCCTGGTGCAACTTTAAAATACAATAGGTGCATGTAGCGCCATCTACCTGTTACCATGCCTCCTGTCTGAGGGACTATGTTGTGATTGGATGAGCCTGAGGAAGGGGGAGGGGCTATCTTGCCTCCAGGTGGTGGTGGGAGGAGTCCAAATCCACCTGAGCTTTGTGGGCGGGGCTTATCCCTCTTTTTACCTTGCTGGAGATGGAGAAAAGAAAAATTATGCTAATGAAACAACATGAACATCCTGTCCGATTTATTATTATTTCAGAAAGTGTTTTTATGTTTGTTATATTTGGGTTTTAACCACTTGTTTCTTCACAACATTAATCTTAATGCCTTTTAACACCACTATACTTACAAAACAAGCCAGCATAGTTATAGATAGTTCTGTTTTTATTTGTATATATTTTATATTTTTATTTAAATATTTTATTTCCTCAATTTTTTTTCCATTATTTTTAACAGAATTAAAATTACAACTCTGTTAACTACAAATGGACAACATTGCTCTGGATGTACAGTTGCACTTCAGCTCTACTCATAGTTTTAAAGTAATGTGCCATTTATGATTTATTGCAACTACTTGCAGTCTAATCCAATTACAAAACCATTGATTAATACACTATTGTTTTTTATACTCCTCAGCTGTCTCAGTTTATTTGAATACATTTTGAGAAATGAAGAAAAGCTTGATGCTGTGATGTTTGACAAACTGATTCTCACCCCTATGTTAAGTGTGATGGTCTGTCCCTCTTTAAATCCCAAATCCAGTTTAGGTCCTGAATCCCCGAGCTGGGCGCTTTTACTGATTTCATTCTCCTGTTTCACCCATCTGCAGGGAGGGGAAGACGCATACACACACCATCAGCAGCTGATACAGAAATAAACAATGCACCTCAGCAGTTTTTTAGGACAACCACAGCATGCAGCTTACAAGCGGCTCTCTCTTGACAACGATCTTGTTTTGGCACAGACTGCAGGGTTGTGCTGCAGATGGTTACGGCTGAGCAAATGTTTATAGGAAAATGGATTTCAGAAGGAAATACCAACGCTCAGAATGTACGACAACAAACTGTGAGAGTCCGGACAAGGACTGAAAGTACACTCCCCTGCCTCTACATTACAAGGAAGAGAGAGTTTTCACAGGTTGACCATAAAACCACCCACCACCTGCTTACTTGAAATGGTCCTGCAAAGCCACATTAAAGTCAAAGGCGTCTCCTCGGTCCCCGAAGCCAACTCCAATGAAAGCACTGCGACCTGCAGACAAGAGATGAACATAAAACGCCTTAAATCCACCCGCTGAAAGGAGATTTAGAGCAAACAGGCAGGATTGTGAAAAAAAATTATTCATTCAATAAATCATTTTCATGACTTTCTCATCCTCACCATTGTCATCCTGTATCCGCAGGACAAAGTATCGGCTGGAGTCGCTGACGGTTTCCACGGCAACACCAGGATACTCTTTAACTGGTGCCTGTGCAAACAGCTCACCTGCAGGACCAGAGGGCAGGTGAAACAAGTGACGACAGGGAACCATGTGTCAGAACAGTGACCACAACACTACATCATCTCATCCTCCCATTTTCAGCTTTTTCAGGAGTCACCTATGACAGAATGTATACTGGGCAAGTATTGCACATTCAGCTTATGTGCTGGGAGCAGGTGTCCTCTGTTGTATCTTTTCTTTCCTTCATTTTTTATAGTCTGGAAAACTAGGAGAATGAGCATGAGCACATTCAAATTACAGGGAGTCTGAGGTTGAATCCATCTTATTGTAAAATATATTACTTAATGCAGGTTTAAGTATAATAAACAATGAAGAGCATACCTGAGACTTTGTCCTCCAGTTTGATGAATGCCACTTTACCCTTGGCTGTGATCCTCATTCGACCGGACCAGTCTGGAGTGTCCAGCTTCCAGTCAGCAGCCCTGCAGAGGTGGTTTAATGCCAAAATTTCAGAGCTTCAACTGACGGCTATTTTCATTATCAATCAATATACTGATTATTTTCTCTATTAATTGCTTGGTCTCTACAATGTTGGAGAGTAGTGAAAATGTCTGTTACAAGTTCCCAAAGTCGATATCTTTAGACAAAGACAAGCAACACATCCTCACAAATGAGAACCAGGGAATTTTTTACTTTTCTGTTTGAATAATTACTATCACTTTTAATGTATTTAAAACATGTACAATAACGAGAAATTGAGATAGAAGAATAGAAATGACTGTATAAACAAACCTCAGTTGTACTTCTACAAGAAATACTGCCCAATCCTTTTTGGCTTGTGGTGATATCTACTGTAGATTTTAAGTTTTTTTCAGGTAAGAAGTCTAAATCTTTCATTTATGGCTGTAATGAACAATTATTTTCATTATCCGTATTGTGCTGATTATTTTCTGATTTTGGTTCAACCGATCATTCATTTGGCCAAAAGAAAAACAAAAAATAATGAAAAAGCAATTTATAGTTTCATGAAGCTCAATGTAAATGATTTTGTCTGATCAACAGTCAAAAACAAAGATATTCAGTTTCAAAACAGCAAATCCTCACAACTGTGAAGCTGGAAGATGGAAATGTTTTGCATTTGTGCTTAAAAAATTAATTTAAATGATTAATCAACCATTTAAATTATTTTTTGATCCCTCTGGTTCATCTTAACACCTCCCAGGTCCTGACCTGCATATTAGGAACCACTGACTCACACTAATGTTACAATACACACTAGTTTGTTATTATTAGTTTATACTATTAGGCTGCAACTAATACTTATTTTCATTATCAATTAATCTGCAGTTAAATATCTGGATCTGATTAAATGTTATGGCAATCGACTAACTGATTAATCAACTAATCATTGCTGCTGTAGTATTAGGGCTTAGGCATGAATATAAAAGGTAGCTCAACACAAACACATACATTCACCTCTCTTTAAAATCTTTATTTTGTAGTAAGGAATATCTGTAATGGGCCAAATTATAAACTATGGGGGTGATAATGGCCGTTTTAATAAGCATCTTATTAAATTCATGGTGTGATTTCCTTCCCTGCATTCCCATCCAGACAGTGTTTACAGACTGTCTCAAATGTGGCATGCAGTGACCCAGGGGTGGACATAAACTTTTAATCTGAAATTATCAATCTCAATCAAAAAGCACATTCTGGACAGAAAAGCCTTGGGGGAAAAACCGTTGCTTCTCAATTCATCAGTGTGTACAGAGATCCGAGCTGTCGCGCAGGAGAGTGGGACAGTCCTGGCAAATCGCCCGTATCGACCCGGCATGATGACAAATACCCCCGTCACATCTCTGACAGCCCAACGGCTCTGAACAACAAAGCGGCACAGAAAACACACCAAACCTCTAACCGTCTCTTTACGTCTAAAACTGGAAACGTATTTTCATCCCCGGTGCCTCCAGAAACAACAACACAGACCCAGTGCTCCCTCTTTGTACTTTGAAAGCATGTAACTACTGACAGCGAGCAGTGAAAGTGAAATGCCCGCAGCGAGCGACACCAAACACCGTTACACCATATTTGACGGCGCAGTTGGCGACCGACGGTTGTTTCTTTACCTGTATGCGCGGTTTGAAGCTCGCGGCGGGATGCGATAAACGTTGACATCGGGTTTAACACACAGGATCGACTCGTACTCGCCCTCAGCCGCCATCTTGACTCAACTGTTATTGATGTGGGAGTTGTGGTTGTGACTCATTTATTCAGTTCTGTGTGTGTGTGTGTGTGTGTGTGTGTGTGTGTGTGTGTGTGTGTGTGTGTGTGTGTGTGTGTGTGTGTGTGTGTGTGTGTACCGGCTTTAGTTAAATCTTAAATAGTATCCTAATGCATCAAATGCATCAAATAATGCCACTTTACTCTCCTGTTATTTTTTAAGACAGAAAAAAATATTTCCCCGTCTCAGATTAAAAGATGCAGGACTTGAAGGAAATAGAATAGAGTAGAAAAAATAAAAAATAAAATAAAAGTGTGAGGGGGCGTAGATCTGCGGGAAGTGTTGCCAGATTGGACCTTTCTCTTTTCTTTAACTGGGCAAGCAAAAATGAATTTGGGCTGGTTCTGTCAATCAAATGGCAGCGCTGGTCATCATAACTCAGTCATATGTTAAAGCAAAAACATGATGATGATTTTTCAATTCAGGTTGTCTTCATATTATTGGATATTATTAGTCTATCGTGGATTAACACCATTAGAAATCATAGGGAAAACCCCCTTCAGAACTTGCCTGAGAATCATCATATTTTTAGGTTTTCTTCAGTTTCAAAGTAATTCATTGGTAGCTGACAGTATACCCGATGGTGCATAGCAAACAGGTACTGCTAATAGCTAATTCGGCGTAATTAGTTTAACAAAATGTAAACAAAGATATAACAAACAAACAGGGCTCAATTTGTAGCTCACAGCTAACTGACTGACTCAATGGTAACATTATACTTCCTGTAAAAGTTACATCTGTTCATATAAGACAGTTAACTTTTAATGTAACATTATCCAAAAGACTCGGTGGGAAAAGCATTTAATTACACTGATCTGTGCGGGTTCTTGGCTCTGATTTGACGACTTCTTGTCAGTCATATCTGGCAACACTGCTTGCAGGTGCTGAAAACTGCGGAAGCGGAAACCGCCGTGTCGTGTCGTCTCCTCGAAGGTTCCTGAAGATCCACTCGAGGGTTAGTCCTTTATTTTTTTCTATAAATACGTATTTTTGATTCACGAAGATACACGACGTCAGTGAGCGTTATTCTGAACTAAAAGCAGCGCCTGTTTCTTGAAATAGAATCCCTCCCTTGGTCGCTTAAGTCTGATAATTAAGCAGATTCTTGCTGGCTTGACAACAACGCTCGGCCGTTAGCCATATTGACGGCTGCTGGTCGTCTTCATTCGCTCTCCGAGGTCCTGAAAACACGAAGTGTGACTCCTGATAGATACATTATTCATAAGCACGTCGACTTACGGTTGCTGTGGTTCACACTGATTATCATCCTGCGCTTTAAATGAGGTTTTAGCTTATTTTCTCACACAAACCCCAGGATGCTGGCAGCTAACTAGCTGGTAGCTTAGCCACATAGCTAACCCAGTCTGAGGATCTGTGCTTGTCGCAGTGGTTATGACAATCTGACATACGGACACAAGCCGTCACTTCTACCACCTATAGTCTAGCTTTGCAGTCACACATACATAATTGTATGCTTGCCATTGTGAGTCAGTGCCACCTCTTGCCTCAGCTCTATTTTCTGTTGACTGGTTCCTCCCTGCAGCGTTAGGATCTGGTTTCTCACGTCCTGAGACAAGCCAATGCAGTCAGGGGGAAGAGAGACCAGCAGGATGAATGCTCACTGAGCCAGCAGCTGCACGCAAGCAACTTAAAAATTAGACTTTGACAGCACAGCCAGGCTTTACAAAAAGGTATGAAACTAGCTTGTTCCATGTGTTATTTGATATTGGTATGTGGATGTGGATCTTTCTGGTGCAGTTCTGTCTGGCAACTCTTTGAGCATGCAGCATTGTTCACAAGTTTTCTCTGCATCAGATCGTGGTGGTTTGATTACCCACCTCCCACCCAGACACCATGACATCCTCTATGCTCCGCCGACAGCTGAAGAACCTGGTCCAGAACTACTCTGAGGCTGAGGTCAAGGTAAGAGAAACTAGATTCAAGTGGTAGGTGACTATGTGAACTGTAATCTTTATGTTTAATGTTATCTTTACCAGTAAATTAAATATTTCATTGTTGTGTCCTGTAAGTTTTGGTTCAAGATTTTGCATTTATTCGATAGGGAAAGAAATGAAAAAATGCATTGTGCATAATTTTATACACCTTGATATTGAACAATAGATATGTGGCATCTTTGGAAACATTGATATCTTGAGTAAAATGTAAATAGTGCCCGTGGTTCAAAACTTTTGTTTTCTGCTCAAACTGAGTTTGAAAGGACAGACAATAAGGTTAAAGATCAACAGGTCAAACCACTGGTTCCAAGTTTATATCACATTGAAAACATAGACTTCTTATGTCTCAGTGAGACATTCTAATGAGTCTTGAACTCGAGGCTTTCTAAGTCAGGGAAAAGAGGGGACAAATTTCTTTCCAAAATGCTGAACTGATGAGACATGATCAGTAATTTCCTAGCAGAACTGATTACTAATAATTTTCCGTGGCATTATGAAAGGAAATGTTTCCAAGGAGAAATTGCTACACTGCTGCCAATCCCTCATTGTCCAGCTGTCAGTTTGCTTCTGACACCTCCAACTTCTAGGCTGCCACCACCATACACTTCCTGTGGCTGTGTTAAACACTGTCACGTTCTTACTTCTTCCGCTTCTTTTGCAGGTGAGAGAGGCTACCTCTAATGACCCATGGGGTCCATCCAGCTCTCAGATGGCCGATATCTCTGACCTAACCTACAATGTGGTGGCCTGCAACGAGATCATGACTATGCTCTGGAAACGCCTGAAAGATGACAAGAACTGGAGACACATCCACAAGGTGAGGAACAGGAGGGGGAGGAATAACACTGAAGTTAATCAATGCCCACTAGTTTGTGTTCAGACCACATTTCAACAGCCATTTCGCTGTCAGTGTATTTATAGAAACCACACATTTCAAATACACCTTTTGTCCATCTCTTACTATTACCTAGCGTTACATACATTGATAAACTATACTGACTTTTGAAAGCCAATTCTTTAGTGCTGAGGCTGTCAATAGCCAATATTTTTATAATTTATTCAGTATTCTTAAATATTATTTCAAAGAATATCTCTACAGTTTTGTTTCTTGTGCAAACATTACAGATGTTTCCCAGACTAATGTTTTTTCAGCATTAGCAGCTCTGTTGTAACCCATGATAGGCAAATGCTGGAATAAAATTGGCTTTATAAATTAAATACAAATTCAGTAGAAAGCATAAGTGACCAGTTACATGAACACATAAAGTAGAGACATTAAAATTTCAATGGGGGTTTGTTCAGCTGTAGTCAGGGAAAATCAGTCAAGGACTCTGAATGGCCAATGTCCAAAAAAGGAATAAGAGTTCAGTGTCTGCTATCTGCAATGTAAGTATGAAAACTGTGCTACTTTATGTCAGAATGACTATGTCTGTACAGGGATTGTTGCTGTTTGGTTGGCCAGTCCAGCAGCAGTTAAACTGTCAGAGCTGAGTTGAAATTTATTGGTGTTTATCACAGCCTCAGCAAACGCTTTCCCTGTTCCATCACATGATATGACTAATTTATTTGGTCTTATTAAAGACATAAACTGCACGTCTACTTCGGATGTACTGATATCACAAACTCAGTATCAGAACGGATGACTCTGCCAACCATGTGTGTTCTTTTCATTGTTGTGTAGTGATACGAATTCACCAATCAGATGTAAAACAAGAAAACTGTTGAAGACTGTATGGTTTGCCAGTTTATTTTACTTTCAACTATACACATTTTGTTTCACATTCATTTGTCTCCTGTCATGTTTTTTTTACACTAGTCCCTGACACTGCTGGAGTACCTTTTAAAGACCGGTGACGATCGTGTGCTTCTGAAAATGAAAGACAACATCTACATCGTCAAAGCCCTCACAGAGTATCGCTTTGTAGAAAAGGATGGCAAAGATCAGGTGATGCATGCTTCCTGAAAATATACAAAGCATGCAACCTTTTAGTGTCCATTAAAATGGTTGCATGGTATGCATTAAGATTATCTATTATTGGCACTATCATATCCATGTCATCATATTCCTTTCTAACCTCTAAGCCAGGTTCACAATTAAAGATTCAAAGCTGGTTCAATATAAGTTTGATTCAGAAACACCAGAGTACCACTGCTTGTCACTTACAGACTTATAAATTGAGAGGGCTTAAGTCAGACTTAATTTATTTTCAGCACAGAGTATAAATCTTCTTTTTCTTTCTTATTTTCAAGTGTTTGGCTAAATTTAGAACTTACAAGATCTGTACATGTTAGGTTTTTCAGGCTTAGATAGAATTTTTCTCCAATGGTTAGAGCCAAATCAAAGTCTAATGCAAGCATATCTGTCCCAGGGTGTGAATGTGAGAGAGAAGGCTAAGGTTGTCCTCGTTCTAATGGAGGATGACGAGAAACTTAAGGAGGAAAGAGACTTTGCCTTCAAGACCAGAGAGAAGACGTCAAAAAGTTCTGCTGGTAAGCCCTTCTATCCTATAGCATCACAGCTAAATAACCACTGTTTCAACAGTTTAATACAGCTCTCTTTACTTATCTGTGTCTCTTAAAAAAATCTCATCAAAAAGCCTCATCCTCTGATGCCGTCAAGGATCCTAACTACAAGCCATGCTACGTTGCCGGGGCCTCAGGGCTTCCATCCTTAGACAACATACCCTCGGTGGCTGACTTGACTGCTTCCTTTGCTGCCCGCAAAGAGGAACGGCTCAAACAGGAAGCTGAGAAGAAAGATGCAGAGAGAAGGGTGAGAATTAAGCAAGTACAGTGTTCAGCTATAGCAAGTGGACAGAATAGCACAGTTCTACAACACCACGATATGTGACCTCAAACACCTTGTTATACAGTGTACTGGTATACATTGTGAGAACATTTGCCTGATCATTCATTGTTTCATGCTAAAGAACAATTTGTCGGCTAACATGTTTTTGTGTGGGATAGTCAACCAAAACCACTGCAAAGTTTGAGTCAAGTTTTCACTAACGTCAGTCAAAAGAGAAGCAATCGAAGAAATGGCTCAGAAACTCTCCCATTAATTCACCCTTAATCACACAGGAAGTTCTGTTAACCTATGCCTTTCCAACCAAAAACAGGATTATCTGGTGCAAAAAATGTGGCATGCAGATGTGAGGATAGTTATGATTACCAAATACTGTAGGCCAAGTATCCAGGTGCAACTTGACTCAAATGAACCAGTTCAATCAATAAGTGTTTGCGTTTACTTTACTAATGTGTTATTGTAATGTCCTAGGCCAAGATGAGTGAAGATGAGCTGAAATGGGAGGATGCAGGCAAAGGCAATGACGTTAAAGTTGATGCTTGGGGAGGGGAAAAGGCAGAGGAGAAGGAGGAGGTGAAGCCAGACCCATGGGGAGCCCCCAAAGAACCTAAAGAGGCCACAGATCCATGGGGCACACCCACAAGACCTGACACAACTGACACAGCAGCTAGCAGTGATCCTTGGGTGGCTCCAAGTACAGCTGATGAAGATGCATTTGCAGTACCAAAAACTGATGAAGATCCATTTTCAGCGCCAAAAACTGATGAAGATCCATTTGCAGCACCAAAAACTGACGAAGATCCATTTGCGGCGCCAAAGAATGGAGAAGATCCTTTTGCAGCACCAAAAGACGGACCCGATCCATTTAGTGCATCAAAAGATGACCCTTTCAACACCCCAAAAGACAGTTCAGACCCCTTCAATGCACCCAAAGACGAGGAGGATCCATTTGCTGCTCCAAAAGATAAAGCAGATCCTTTTAGTTCGTCTAACAATGATCCATTTAATACACCTAAAGATGATCCATTCAGTGCTCCAAAGGGTGATCCTTTTGACAGCCCAAAGGATGATCCTTTCAACACCCCAAAAGATGACCCATTTAACGCCCCAAAAGATGATCCATTTAATGCCCCAAAAGATGACCCATTTAACGCGCCAAAAGATGATCCTTTCAATGCCCCAAAAAATGACCCATTCAGTACCCCAAAAGATGATCCCTTTACAGCACCAGCATCAACACCCCCTAAAGAAGACCCATTTGCAGCACCAGCATCAGATGACCCCTTCAATGCTCCCACAACACTGCCTAAAGAAGATCCTTTCTCTGCACCAGCCAAACCTGCTCAAGATGACCCTTTTGCTGCACCAATAACACCACCCAAAGAGGATCCTTTCTCAGCACCATCTAAATCTCCAGAAGATGACCCCTTTGTTGCCCCAACAACACCACCTAAAGAGGATCCTTTCTCTGCATCATCCAAACCTACAACAGATGACCCCTTCGCTGCACCAACAACACCCCCTAAAGAGGACCCATTTGCAGCACCATCCAGTGCACCAAAAGATGCCACCTCAGATCCCTTCAATGCCCCTCCAGTGAGCTCGCCCCAAGGCACTGCAGATGCATGGGGACCCCCTGCCAGCTCTCCACCTGCCACCGGGGAAGATCCCTGGGGGACATCCTCAGCATCAAAGGAAACAAAGGCTGGAGATCCCTGGGGTGATGGGGCAAGCGCCTCCTCACCTGGTGATAGTTCTGATCCATTTGGGGATGCATCCAAACTGGACAATGACCCATGGGGAGCCCCAGGTAAGAAGCAAACAAATAAGTGGTTTCAGATTTACTCTTGGACCTTTAGGACACATTTAAGTGAGGAAATATTCCAAATTCAAGATTTACTTTTTAGCTTTTTCCGAGACCTCCAGCGAATGGGATTTTCTTAGGTGTCAGCATAGAACTTCTGTGGTAACAAGTGGTCATACATGGATAAGGGGGAAATGTAACCTCTGTGGTTACAAAATTATCTCAGTGGGACTTATCAAGTGGCTGGATTGTTGGAACATCTAGCGAAAGTCTTCAAAGCTCAAGGAGTCACCATGGCATCCGTGGCACAGCCGGGAGAGTGGGTCGTCGACTAATTGCAGGGGTGGTCTCTAGCACCTCCTGTGTCCTTAGGCAAGACGCTGAACCCCCATAATAAGCAATTGAAAGAGTCTGTTAGTGGTTGACTGGGAAGGTCTCAAATTCATCAACCAGGTCCACCAGTCAGTGGACAGTTGGAGAGAGATCAAGGGGGGCATTGACATTTGATGCCAGTGACCACCTTTTAACAGAGACATGGTTACAAATTTCTCTCCATAGATGACCACTTGTTAACCAATTCTGAAATTCTGTACATGGGTCACATGACGACACCTGACTTTATTCACTGAAGAAGGTTGCATAATATGGTAGAAGGCTGTGGAAAAAGCTGGGACATAAACCTTGTGTTTAGAATATTTCATCACAGAAATAACAAAGCCATTAGACTAAAACTTTATATGTGCAGTATATTATTGTTACATTCTATCTGTTCTATGTTCCCACTTAGCTTCAGCTCCAGCCAGTACAGGTGATGCATGGGGTTCACCTGCTCCACCCTCAGCCTCCTCCCCATCTAGTGACCCCTTTGGAGATGGAGAATCTAAAACTAATGATCCCTGGGGTGCACCGAGCAATGCAACTAGCAATGCCACAGGTAACGCACAATTTACACTGTCTCAACTGATTTGAATCTGTGACCCATCCATTACTCATTAGAGTAAACCCTCATTGTCTGCTTTGGGTTCAGCAATGAAATTCTCCGCTCTGATTAAATCCACTAAAGTCTACTAAATGCCGACTGCATAGTGCTTGGCTGAGAATGGTGACTCTAAAAACGAAACTGTGTGTGTGGCAGCATGAATATACACCTTTTTTGTGTACATTTAATGGTCATTTGCACGTGTGACCATCTTCCTCCATTTTCTCCATTTCACCTCCATCTTTCCATCAGTCAGTCAGCTAACAATCTTAATCAATTAACCCTTCTCTTCCACTTTGCTCTCTCTTCCTCCCTGACCTGTCCACCTGAAGAAAACACCTTTTAGAGTAGAATTGGACCTTTATTGTATTGCAGGAAAGCGAACAATGCAAGGAGAGGAGATGTATAGAAAGACTGCTTCGTTCTTGGGCTCAGCGGGGGCATCGCTGGTTGACTTGGACGATCTGTTTTCTTCTAACCCCAAACCCAAACAACGCCCCTTCATCAACACACTCGCCGCCCAGACACAAGCCGTCGGTAAGGACAGAAAAAATGCTTCGCTCTGGGTGGAAAAGACCATTTTTGACAAAGGCTTCATGTGTAATTACTTGTGGTGCGCTTGATTCACATGGATGCATGATCAACCTCCAAGACTGACAAATCACTGAGATGCCAAACATCAGACACGCAGTGATGTTAGAAATGCATTCCACTACTGTTCAGCTGAAGTCTTAAGTCCAGAGAGAGAGAAAGAGAGAGAGAGAGAGAGAGAGAGAGAGAGAAAGAAAGAAAGGGGTGGGGACAGCATGACTGACAAATAAATATTTATCAATAGGTTTGTATGGAAAAGATTGTTGTGATTATGTGTTTTGCCTACCCACCCCTCCCCTGTGGTCTTGCTGTAGAGTATAGATGTTATGTATGTGTGTGTCTGTGCGTGTGTGTAAGCATTAGTAACCTACTGACGTTACCCTGTATAGATACTAGTGTATATTAACCAGCAGATATATAACTCTTCTCATCCTTCTCTCTGCTCTGCTTTTGGTGCATTTTCTCTTTGCTGGAAAACTTTGAACTGTATACCCCTCCCCCTTACTTCCTTCCCCCTCATCCCTCCATCCTCCCATCACTTTTCCTAATTTCCCAGGCGCTTTCAAAGCTAGGGGCATGTCGTCTGGCCCTGTGGTCAGATCAGGTGCTGTTGCAGGGGTGTCCCTTCCTGAAACATCACCCTTACCTGGCAGTCCTTGTGGTTTCACCCTTGCACCCTCCCACGGTGCACCTACTCCCACTTTTGGAGCTGCTAATCCCTCCGGTGAAACTCCTGTCTTTCAGTTACCACCCCATACAATCGGAGTGTCTTATTCTGGCTTCAGTATGCTTCAGGCAGCTCAGGTGGCTCCAGAAACTGGAATAGTACAACATGTTCCTGTGGGAGGGAGTCCACAAATGGGACTTCACATGAACCCCCCCTGTGGAGGAGTGGGTATGGTGCAAACTGGACTTGTTGGGAATCCTTTGGCAGACCCCCTTTTGTTTGGAAAAGGAATGGGTCAGTCCAGTTACTATGGAGGGAGGGTGGGCCACTTGGGTGGAAACACTCCGCAGGCCGAGGGTGGGGTCCCATTGCAGCCGCAGTTGCTGTCAAGCAGCGGGTTGGGTGAGACAGTGAGTAAAAACAACAACCCATTCCTGTTCTGACAAGTTTCACATGTTTTAGCCCTCTAACAATATATACTTCTTCATCATCATCATTATCATCATCACCATTTACAAGCCATAAGATTACAGATCACATTAATGTGTACCTTACAGGTAGCCACTGGTTTTCGCATTGAAAAGTTGACGTTCAGCAGGTGGTGTGTGTCCAAGGAGGGAGAGTTTCAGAAGGTACAGTAATTCAGAATCCCTGTTTGAAACCAGACTAACATGCAATAACACTGTAACTTTACTTTTCACAATAAAGCGCTCTAAAGATTTCCAGCGGTAGACTGAAATCAGTGGCTGCCTGGACGGTACGAAACAATAAACAATGATATACTTTTATACTTCACGGGCAGCAGTATGCATTCAACTTCAAGGGCAAAAAAACATGCAAAAAAGTCCTCAGCTCCTCAGCTTACACTTGCCTCTCCTTCAGTCCTACAAACCTGCACAGGTTCAACAGCCATTGATTCAGTGTATACAGCATAATATATAAACAGAACAATATGTATGTGAAACTGCACTTCTTATTTGAAACAAATCTATTGAATACATTTTTTTTTCACACGCACAAGTCTGAGAAACAGAAAGCACCTGAGTGTGAGTGTCTGTGTGGAAATACTGAAGCGTTCCTATGTGTTTGAATGTTGTGTTCTGTGACCGGACCTGTAAAACATTAACAATTGTTCTGGGAAATAACGTCACTGTAGGTTTTCATTCAGTGTGCATGTGTTTGTACATGGTGGTGTGTGTGTGTGTGTGTGTGTGTGTGTGTGTGTGTGTGTGTGTGTGTGTGCGTGCGTGCGTGCGTGCGTGCGTGCGTGCGTGCGTGCGTGCGTGCGTGCGTGCGTGCGTGCGTGCGTGCGTGTGTGCGTGTGAGAGAGACCTGTATGCACGCAGTGTGTGTGCAGTATATATTGTGCTGATGTAAATAGTGGAAGTAATCACAGATAAACCTTGAAATATACTGTATATCAGAGTGTTACAATCATGAGTAACTATTTATTGATCTATTTATTGATTTATTGCTTGATTATTTATTGATGCAACAATGGCCTCCAACAAAGACAAGTTCAGGTTAACTTTGATAACAGTGTCGTCATCACACAGGTTGTGCTGATTGTATTGATCACGTGTGATATCAAGCATGATTGGCTTTATTCTGATTGGCTGTTCAAACCCTGCATTATCAATCAACTCAGTAACCAATGGTGGCTTTATCTTCCCTGTAGTCGTTCCTGATTCATGGTGTAATTGAACATGTCCTCTCTGTATCTCCTGCCGTTAGACAAGAAGCAGAAATGTGTTGTATGGTGTTTAGCTGCAGCGTTGGCTGAATAAAAACTGAATTTGAACATATCAACCTGCATGCTGTCTGAGCAGATCCTCCTCCGTAAGCGCGTGTGTGTGTGTGTGTGTGTAATCTATTTGGTGTGTGATTGATTGATGAACTATTTCAAAACACAGCTGTACAAGAAGGTTAATATGTACAAAAGGCTCCGCTTTCCCCTTATCTGCATCACGTTATGTAGCTCTACAGACAGCTGCTTCCTTGCGGCTGAAGATTTTGAGACATTTTGACTTTGAAAACATGAACAGTAGTAGTAAACCAGTAATGGTAGTTTATGAGATCACAGTTCGGTACATCAAAGCCACCTTGAAAGCAACTGTTAGCTTTCTTTGTGTTTTAATGGGCCTGTACATGTCCTTCATGTATTCTCGACTCCTATTAATGTGAACTTTGGTGGGAAAATAGACTGAAAGACTTTAGACAGTTTGGTGTCAAGGAGTTCCAGTAGAGAAGGATGAGAATGGGGGAAAAAGTAGTCCATAACACTAATATTATTTCTCATATTTAATTTTGTATGAAATAAATTTATTTTGCTTTGTATTTAAATTTAAAGTTGTGTTGTAAACTGTGACAGTATACAGTACATTTGAGAAATAAAATGATACAATGAGTGACATGTTTACTGTTCTCACTGTGTGTTCAACACTTGTCTAATTTTCTAAAGGATTATCTATTTTTCCTCCAAGGTTTTATCAAATCTAATATAATTTTTTTAACTGAATTGCTTCGTGTTCATTATAGATTTGCTTGAGCCCAACGTTGTCTTCAGACATATAAAGAACTTGCTCTCTCTCGCCACCAGAGGGCCATAAAGACACATATTAAGTCGCTATCTTCCAGTCCTTCCATATAAAACACATGAACTATGAGTTGATGCCTCTGTAAAGCAAAATATATTAGGACATACATCATTAGATTATAAAACATTAAAATTGAAGCCATGAACATGAAGCGTATCCTGCTCAAGGGTAAAGAAAGTCTGCCAAAGTGCTTTAAATTGTATGACATGCTGATTGATTATATATTGAAGGGGTTCTCTACTTCTTTGTGTAGTGACGCCCTCTGTTCAAAAATGTCTCTATGATCATTGCTTGGATGTTTAAGCTTCACTGTGCAGAATGATGTGTGTACAGAGCTTCACTCTAAAAGGCTGTTTTCACTTTCACCTGTTTAAGGATGAAAGTTTCTCTGTGATCATCTTTAAATCTCATTTTAAAGGTCCTGTATTTTATATTTTACCTGTGTTTACTTGAAGTGCTGATCCATAAGAAGATATATTTGTGGTTTTAAGAACCAAAAAACATCTCAGTGGTGTTTTACATCTCCTTTCTCAGGCTCGTCTCTGAGAGAGGAGACTGCTTTGTTGTGACATCACAAAGTTACAGAAGTCCTGACGGCTGGTTGTAAGGCTCAGTTTCTGAATACAGGCTGTGTGTATTTCTCTGTGGACTGATCATTTGATACTTTCACAGTATTAATATAGAACCCAGACCTGCTTTATAATAAAAGAACACTTACCTTTATACAATATGGGACCTTTAAGTTTTGAAACTAGAAATTATAGCATCTTCATATATTTTGTAGTTTTTGATGAGGGAGAAGAGGTAGGTGTGCTTTTTAGAGAATTTTAACCACTTAATTAAGCTTTGTATTTGTATATGTCTTAAAACATATGGAGATGCTCTTTAACTAAACTCTATATACAGTATATACTAATCTGTATTTCTCCATTAAATAATTTATCTCCTGATTAATTAGAAGAGAAGGGGGAGTGGAGTCAGTTAAGGCCATTACTGAATTTGTTGAGAAGGGAAGGAAATGCAGCACTGACGGGCTGAGCCGGATGTGAGTCTCCCCATTCATGGAGAGAGAGGGCTTAGAGTCTAAAAACAGCAGGGGGGAGGCTGGGAATTTGACAGTTACTCAGCATGTGTTACATTAGGACACAATGGTCAGTTAAGTCTTTGTGTTGCCTTTTTTTTTACACAAGCAAATCAGCTTGCATAATCCAATCCAATATTTCTTCCTGCTGATCTAAATGCATTTTGATGCTTTTAGACCTGGTCCATATTTTATGAACTTCTATGGATTATGTCTAAAATGTCTCATTAACATGGTATAAAGTCATATCTAAGTCAGTTTGATCATGAAGTCATCGCTTCAAGCAGGAGAGGAAGATTCACATAACACTTAACATCAGCATGTCAACAAATAATAGTGCAGTTATACTGAGTCAGTGAAGCCCACTGGTAGATATCTTGAGATAAAGAGATGATTGATAGTCTTAAAAAGAGCTCAGCAAAATCAAAATTTGTCATTTCAAGAACATATCATTCTTCTTTAAGAAAATGTGTGTGATTCAGCACTGCAGACCTGAATACTCGACTTGATTTGATTCGGCTCAGCTGTTGATCTCATATGGATTCACTGCCTTTCAGCCGAACTGCAGCCTGTAAGCCGAAGAATGCTGAGGTGCTCGCTTCAGAGCTTCAAGGCTTCAGGGCTTCAGAGCTTCAGAGCTTCAGAGCTTCAAGGCTTCAGAGCTTCAGAGCTTCAAGGCTTCAGAGCTTCAGGGCTTCAGAGCTTCAAGGCTTCAGAGCTTCAGAGCTTCAGAGCTTCAAGGCTTCAGAGCTTCAGAGCTTCACAGGTTCAGGGCTTCAGAGCTTCAGGGCTTCAGAGCTTCAGAGCTTCAGGGCTTCGGGCTTCAGGGCTTCAGGGCTTCAGAGCTTCAGGGCTCAGTAGATTCATTCATTTACCAGAGTCACAGTAGACTCACTGCTTGTTAGCCTGTTAGCTTGTTAGCCTGTGGATACTACTCCTGATCCCTGCTGCCTGCAGACTCTCTGAAACTCTGCAATTTGAGAATGTTACACAACGTTTACCTACTGTTGGTGTTAATAATGTTTTAATTGTCTCCAAGCTATTTCTTATTTCTGACACTGTCATAATACACCATACAAGTTTGTAGATTTTTGTTTGTTTCCTGTAAAAAATAATACATATTTATCATCAGCACAATTATCAGAGCAAAAATACATATTGATTTCATAATTAATCAGATTTTTGTAGTCCACAGCTATACTTTGGGAGGATAATGATGCATATTGTGTGACTTCCTCTCATTACCTTTAGTGGCCTATTATGGCCTTAAAGGTGAACAACATCCAATACTGGAAAACTGAAAAGAAGAGGTTTTTCAGCTTCCTGCAACCGATGGAAGCAGGTTTAAAGAACAGTGGAAGCCAGAAAGTCAACTACGAGCGACCCTTTTACATTAGACATAGTCACCTGGGGACTTAGCTAAATAGTGCCATCTCCAGATTTGAAGCAAATAAATCTCTGGGTTTACCTCAGATGGCTTACCTTCAGAATGGTATAAAGCCTTTAGATTTGACTTAATGCCTAGCCTTCTTCGGGCCTGTAATACAACTTTAACAGATGCTAAATTGCCTCCGTCGTGGAGTGAGGCAGTGACCTCAGTTATCCACAGAGATGGAAAAGATAAAACTGGAGTGTGGATCATATAGACCAATCTCGGTATTGAATGTCGATACATAATGACCAGACTGGGTTTATCTAACAAGGACAAACCCACGATAATGTCAGGCAGACTCTGAACATAATAAATAATATCCAACAGAATAATCTAGATCCTAGTCAGCCTTGATACTGAGAAGGCCTGCAGCTTTAACTGCCACAGTTTAGTGCCTCAATTGTTTCACTGTGCCAGACAAATCTCTCTGAAGCAGGAAAACCTACAGAGTTTGATTGAAGTATTCACAATCACAGAATCAAACCGATGTCTCGCCACTCGTGAGATTGCTTAAAGCCAGCTCTGTGCCGTTGTACCGGTTCGTGTTAAAAGGGGTCGAAGTTTACGGAGCATCATGTACCGCATGAGACCACTGTCACACTCATCTCAAGTCCAAGCTGTTCTATACCATCCTCTCAAATTAATCACTATAGGACCATAGGTCAGGAGAGCTATGAGCGAGAGAGGAGGAAAGATGAAGACAACAAGGGAGAGAGAGAGATGTGAGGATGGATGAATAGACAGTATAGGGAGCAAAGGCGAGGGAAAGTAACAGATGGACTTGTGAGGATTAGAGGGAAATCTGGGTGGGTTTCTGATAGAAACTCACCCAAGACAAAGGGAGTGACGAGGTTAGCGCAGAGGAAAGGTGGAGAGGAGGAAACTGAAATCCACGGAGCAGAGGTGAAGAAAACACAAGGAGAGTTTCTCTCTCCCGGGGTCCCAGACATGGTAAGTCCACTTGTTTGTTTGTTTTTTTATTTTTTTTTATTTTGTTGCTCGAGGGTAAGCTGATCAGAAGCTGAGCATGAACAGCCGCTGGATTTTCCAATCACATACATAAGGGGAAGATTTCAGCTCATCATAACTGTATCTGTAACAGGGGAAGCAATAAACCAAGTATTTTACTTTTCTCATTGTGAACCTTGTGCTGTTGTAATGTGTTGAACGTATTAATGGTTTCTTATGTACCAGCACTTATACACTGATTAAAATGACTGAAGATGAATGTTCTATAGGCTAATCTGTTAATCTGTAAATCTCAGATGTTGATAGCACAGACAGGTGTGTGGAGACATTATGTCTACACGTGTACTGTACGTAAACGCCATGCAGGACAATATCTGCGTCAGTTATAGGCATTATATGGATTATAGTTTCACTCTGAGCTGATTTGATGGACTAAATTAAACCCTGACGCCTCGCTGGTCAATAATGACATCATAACTTATGACTACAGTGATTTGATTAAAAAGGATGTTACATGTGCAGGATGAAGGACGATCAAATCTGACTGACCTTCCAGTGGGTCAGTCAGACTTCGCAGCCAAGCTTTGTTCAGACATGTCGAGTATTTACTTCTGACGCACTGATGCTGTCTGACAGTGAGGGATAAGACTTTAAAGTTAAGTTAGAACTGTATGTTGTGGGGTTTAAATTATCCTCTAAATGAAATACCTCATATTGCACCGCATGATAACAGGAACAGTTTGGTCAATTCTGCTCATAACAGTGTGAAAGTGGTGTTATGAAAGACTGAATTACACACGCAGAGACCCTTTTTTTTGTGTATTGATTATTATTATTATTCAGTTGCGTTTGTCATAATCATGTTACGTATTGGGCTCTTTGACATCCGTGGTGTTGACAGTTTTTTGTTTGCCTCCAATGGTTTGACTGCTCACCGCGCTGCAGTGATGTACAGGTGCACTGCAGCGTGACATTCCTATCGGGTGCAGTTACAGGTGCAACAAAGCACAGAGACCATACATGATAGATACTGACATATTGCTCACCCTTAAAGCTGAGTCAGAAATAAATCATTCAATTGTATTGAAAATCAGCATCACAAGAAATGCATCATCTTTGCACTGGTGCAGTTTGGGGTTTTTTTCTTATGTTTGTTTGCTCGGTTTAGAGCCAAGGAAGAAGGATCAAGGTGAGAGGACAAAAGCGGCATTTTAACTGGAAATTCCTGGTTTCCTGGATCTTAAAGTATAAATACTTCCCATGCACTGACCTATTCACTCTTCACTTCAATAACTAAATCCAAAGATAAGAATCTGTTGTTGTTTTTTTAAATTGGGGCCATATTAGACAGCGACGGTGAGATGATACGACAAAGCTCCTCAGCTGGACTCAATCCAGGAACAGTGCAGTTTATGGTCGATGTTTTAACCTTAAAACACAGGGGCGCCTCAATATGTCTCCATTCTTTATATAAAGAAACAATTCAGTGGTAGTGACACTGATCGCTACAAGCAACAAGTCAAGTTTATTTGTCTCGTCCTTATATAGAATGAGGCCATGTTAAGTTGTAATGCGAGCATAAGAAATACATTAATGATGAAACAATGGCACCTGGCTGGAATGACGCGCAACAAAAACTACTTGTACAAAGACTTCAATTGTTAACGTGACTCTATCGTTCCTGATGACTCCTAATCCAGATGTTTGCTTCTGTCTCCCATCTTTCCTCTTAGGTGGTCCTCCAGACAAAGACAGCGCGAGAGCCAATGGACATTAATCTCATCCACCTAACTCTGCAAGATTAACACAGATTACCAGGCATGACCAGAGGTAGGCCTGAGACTCTGGACTAATCAATCCTCCTTCGCGAGCTCAATCCCTCCCGGAGAGGTGGAGGAACAGGTTGAAGAACGAGATGTGCCCTGAGAGTGGAACTGATTAGTCGCAAAATCCGCAGGATAAGACTTAAACATTTATCTTTATCCGGGGGAGGAAACAAACAGAAACAGGACACGGAGTGAGAGAGAGAGTTGTGATGGAGGCAGTAGGACGGGGTAGAGAGGAAATGTGTGGAGTCAAACGTCTCGCCTGGCTCGTGCCATAACATCGAGAAGAAAGGAAGATCCCGGGTTTAAATCTGATGAACTACTTTTCCTCGTGATGCTGATTTTCTTTGGAGGAGAGCTGGAGTTCCTCCCACACATCTGTCTCTCCTTCTTTTTTACTCACCAGACGTGATTAAATCCCAGCACTTCATCTTCCTCCACTCCACTGTCCTCTGACCTCCACTCATCGACTGTTTGTCTTCCTTAAACCCCACCCTTCCTCAATCTCTCCACCCAACCTCTTTTTTTTTATCTTCCCCTTTGACCTTCGTTCTACTTCTCAAACATCCCTAATCCCCTTTCCTCGCTTTCTCTCTCTTTTTTCCTCCCTATACCATCCTCCATGAATCAGTCCCAATCACCACAACAACCTTTCACACCCAACAACATAAACTCGCTGGACTTCTTGTCGCAGTGTCACGGAAACCCTCTCGCTCATCTGATCCTCGTCCTGATTGGTCAGCAGGCTCTTTGCAGCCTCTTTGTTTGAACCAGGATCAGCCTCAGAGCCGAAGCTCATTTTCCTCTCTGTCTCTGAGTGTCTCTGAGCCGAGAGGCAGCCATGCTGGAGAATATGTCCAGACGTAACCGCTCCCTGCTGTCCCTGTCCCTCACCTCTCTGGCCCTCACCCTGTCCGTCTCGGCCTTCTGCACCTCCTACTGGTGCGAGGGGACGCACAAGGTGGTGAAGCCGCTCTGCCTGTCGCCGGTCAAGATGAAGAACTGCGGGCAGAACAACAGCCAACCGTACACCACAGGTGAGGGCGGGAAACACTGTCAACCAAGGTGTTATTCTCATGGTGGCTCCCCCTTGTGGTACATTCACACACTTACAGATCCCACCATAATGAAATGACACATAATAAACCAACAAACCACTGAACAAACAAAGAAGCATTGATTTGGTCATTTTCCAAGTCTAAAGACGTCCAGTTGTCCTGGTGAAAAAGTGAAATCTTTCAAGACGTTACACATAACTGTTGTTTGAACAGTGTTTTAATGACAATTAACCTACGAATGAATCGTATTAAAAACGTCAGCGAAATGATGTTTAAACAACAGATACAAGTAACTTAAAACTTAATGTCTCATTTCAATCAAATGTAGAAATGTAGAAAGTTTAACCTCAATACATGTTTTTAATCAACAAATCAATGATTATCTAAGAGACTGGTGCATGTAAACGACTGTGTTCCAACAACAGAAAAGAAGAGAATAAGAATATATGTACACACACATACACGCTATATATCTCAATTATTTCTCATTTCAAATGTCTGTCAACGTTGTAACTGGGAAGTTGCGAATGTTTGTCTGATATGTTTTTTTTAAAAGTGAACAAAGATGGTGCATGAATGATAGCGACCATAAGTTGGTTTGAATTTCATAAAACAGCAGGATTACATCATTCACACACCAGTGGCAGCAAACTGGAGTGATTCAGGGCTCAGTGCCTTGCTCAAGGACACATGGACAGGAGGAGGGTTCGAACCACCAACTCCACCTACAATTAGTGGAAAACTCAATATGAAACAATACTCTGCCTCCTGAGCCACAGCTGCCCTTTATTTTAAGTTTCCAGCTCGAGGAACACGTGATAGTTTCTGATGCAGATGTAGAAATCTTTAATGAACTTGTTAACGTTGCAACGTTGGACATTTTTCACCATCTTCTCTTCTTTGATGTCAAATATTGAATTTACTGTGAAAACACTTGTACACTGAATGGTTATCTATCATTACTTGTATTATGACAGAAATTAATGACAGAGTCATTACTACAGAAACAAATAAATTACGAATCAAGCTCTAATAAATTCAAGATAAGAATTCCAAAATAACTCAAAGACTGAAGCAGATCATGTAAAGTTACTTCAGAGAAACATCATATCTATAATCTACTTGCTGACTTATTGGATCGTGTCTGATGAACTCTCAGTCCGCCTTTAATCGGCATATAGACTGTAATCTAATCAATACCACCTCCTGACATGTTACTATTTTTCTGTTTAACCAAGAAAAGTGGAATCCTTGATTTTATCTTTTTTTGTCATATTTATGAAAAGTGTAAATAAAACCTAAAGGTTCAAGTCAAACATGAAAAATGCATCTATGTGCTGCCATTGTCCTTTATACAAATAACATGCATTATAAACATGTAATATACAGTACAAACATAACTATTTCTTGCACCCAATATTGAAGCATTTAACACTTGGCTTGACGGGCAGAGATTCACATAATCCCGGCTTTGTTGCTAATCTCAGAACTTTGTATCAGCAGCTGCATGTTATCTGGACTTTAACCCGCTGTGTTATCTTTCTGCACTAAGCCCATTTATTTCCATGTAGTATTCAATTTTCACGACACAGACAAACCACAAATTACCCAAAGAACCGTTTTTCAGGCCTGGATTGTGTTACAGGCTGTGACGCACAGGAGACCCACTGTGGGATTTATGTCTGAGCTTCTCGGCACATTTTTCCATAAAGACGAACCCACGCTGCAATGAGGAATATATTTGATCAATAAATGTCCTTTTTCTGCACCTCTACTCTCTTTAATCTGGATTTATCCCCTTCTCTCTCTTTGTCCCACCTTTCTACATTCAGAGGCCCCCACCCCAGACCCCAAGAATCCGGCCTCCAATGTGACACTGTCTCCACAGCAAAAAGAGGAGCTGGCCAGGATCAAGAGGAAGCAGCTGGCCAACGCTGTCCACTACATCTGGGAGACGGGCGAGGACAAGTACATGCTGCGTTACTTCCACACCGGCTTCTGGCTTTCCTGTGAGAAGCACAACGAAGGTTGGTTTTCAAGACTGAGATCGGTTAAACAGCGAGAGATTTGTGTTTGGAAAACTCTGGGTGTCCAACGAAGTCATCAGTAATGTAATTTGTAGAGGTGTACTCTCTCATAAAAGTCATTAAACTGTTTGCACTTTAGCATTCATACATCCATTAAAGAATTGATTTTATAAAGATTCTCTGAAGTCTGAAAAGTCTGAAAAACTATCATCTTTCCAGACGTCAGGGGCTCCTTACGTTCCAGTATTTCTTTTCCAACTTGCAGCATCTGTCATTAGGCAACAGCTCTATCTTAGTGTTGTACAGTCAACTCACAAGTGTGTCAAAATTTGTATATAAAAACATGAAATGATTAATGAATTGGCAATTAATAAATCTTTAAAGCAATTGTATTTGTGAGTAAGTTAGGACACTGGCATTCGGTCACTGTTCCGGTTCATCCAAATGTGTTGGATTCTGTAGAGACCCTACAAAAAGACACATTTCTTTATGGAGCTGACTTTGCATGGAGGGGATGTAATATTGAAGCTTCCCCAAACTGTTGCCACATAGTTGGTACATTATTGTCTAAAAAATATCAGAGTATCTTAAAGAATAATATTATTATTAGGACTAAAGGATATGGACCTTGTTCAGACCAAAGAGACACAAAAGGTCGTTGACAGTGCTGTCCACGAACCTTTGACTTTTGGTATAGATATGATGTTTACATGCATCAGTCCAAAACCTCGGCATCTGAATGTTAAACCAGTATGAACGGTTTGTAACCTTTTCCTTTCCAAGTAATACTGTGTTTTAGTCAACATGAATGTGTTTTAGTCAACATGGATGATTTACAGTTAAGCCTTCTCCTTAATCCCTCACTAAGGAGTATAATTTCTTGAAGCCTGGATTATTGTAGCCAGTAAAACGTCTACCACTGGTTCAGAGTAAAAACAAAGTTACAGCTACAAAAAAATAATACAACTGCTTGTATATTTTCCTGTTGTCTTGGTACTGCACATAAAAGTTTGTTAAAGGTGCTGTATGTAACTTTTGCTATTGCTACATAGCTAGCGTTAGCATTACCAGCTGTTCAGTCTCACCAAGACCTTAAGGCATGTTTGTTTTTATAAAACAAGAGGTTATAATATGTCGTCTGAGCAGCTACTGGCTACTGAGCTGGAGCTAGCTTGTTATTAGCATGCTAAGCAAAACGACAGTTAACAATGGTGTTTCTTTCCACCTCTGGAGACAGCTGTTGAGTAGAAAAGGAGTAAAGTTTGATGCTGAACTCACAACTTTTTTCAAGACTGGTGAGTAAACAGCTGTTAATGCTAATGTTAACTATCTAGCAATAGCAAAACGGTCAAAGAGCTCCTTTAGATACTCCCAGAAATTAGTAAAACATCATCCTAAATGGCAAATGCAGATGCACTGAGGTATCCTGCAAACAAAAAGTAATCAGTGAAGACGCTGTGATTGGTCAATCGTCAACAGCTCAAAGCAGATTTCTGGATTTTGACCTCAAATTCTTGCTCCTATAGGAAGGTGATCTACTGGGCTTAAAGCAGCTCTTTCTATTATGTTTTCAGGCTTTATAATGACAAAGTATAGAGTACGCACAAACTGTAAGTACTCAGCATTTGCAGTGGATTATTACTGTCATCCTCCCCCCAAAAAACCAACATATTGCAGTTGTAACAAAACACTGGCCATTGTTATGACAGAGGCTGTAAGGACAGACTGTAATCCACTAAATGATGGTTGACATTCAGCACCACTCAGATATTATAGATTCAGCAAGACTTAAAGACAAAAATGAAGCATCTCTGCTCTGATCTATGTGACTCAGATGAGCTGATGAACCGTGTTTATCTGTCAGTGATTAAAATCTGTTGTGTTTGTTCTTTCAGGAGAAGATCAGGAAGAAAAATGTCGCAGCTTCATTGAGCTGACGCCAGGAGAAACTCAAGGTTACTGCAAGTTCAAAGCAGAAAACATAAAAAACAAACTGACACAGCTTTACATTTCTTTTTCTTTTTCTTTCACTTTTCTGCTGCTGCTTCCAGGCGTCCTCTGGCTCTCCGTCATCAGTGAGTTCATGTACATCGGTCTTCTGGCCATGGGCTTCCTGCTGATGTGCGTGGAAGTGATTTGCCTATGTGCCAAGAGGGAGATGAACGCCCTCAAGATCAACGCCTTTGCCGCCATGTGCACCGTCCTCTCAGGTGAGGACAGGGGACACTCTCTGCTGTGTTTTTATTTTTTTTAAATCGCTCTTTAAATTGTTTGATCTTGTCTTTAGCAACCGTTAAATTTCTACTGAACAGCTATTTACATTGGCAGCCCCAAATGTATGCAAATAGCAGTTTGAATTTTGTGAACTAATGTTAAATTTTCTCTGTGTTTTCTTCCTGGATCAGGTATGATGGGGATGGTAGCACACATGATGTACACCACAGTGTTTCAGATGACTGTCAGCATCGGACCCAAAGACTGGAGGCCACAGACCTGGGACTACGGATGGTCCTTTGCGTAAGTTTGTTTCACTTCAACACAAAATAATTAAATATAGTTAGGAAAAATCTGATTGAAGTTTGGTCACACCTGCATTTTGAATGGTTTGTCCATCTTTTCAGATGGCCGACGGGTCTAAATACTGCAATACCCATGATCCTCAGCCTCTGTTGCTATGGAAAAGAGAGAGGCCAATTAGAGGCATGCAACTGGAACAGCAGCAAATTCAAAACACTTTGTTTGTGCGACTGTAAACAAATTGTTCCACCATAGCTGTTTAACTGCATCAAAACTGAGACAAAATTTAAACCTAAACTGACTATCTTACTGAAATGCACCTTGGGATCAGTAGTTAACTTGTACCTTTGACTTTTTATCAAAGAACCAGATATTTTCTGATGCAGTTGTTCATCTTTTATACCCGTGATTTAAGTAGGAGAGTTTCATGCCGACCCAAGTTGTAGAAGAACCAGGTGGTTTAGCTCAATACTATAAGCAAGTGTTGTTGACAGTGCTAATCGCCGACAGTACAGAGAGCCGAAGTTTCCAAAACATAGCTTATTAGTTGTGTTGCACCATCCAGTTTCATTGAACTCTTCTACTGAACTGCTTCACAAAAGAGAAACAGTTTGCAGATGGGACAGGAGACAGTGCTACTAATACATCTACTGAATAAACAGTTTGAGCAGCAAAGGCCAAGGTAGGCCAGAGGTAGCTAGCATGTTCTCAGCTGGATAGTGTATTAGCCATTAGCTTGCCAACCAACTAGCTGTTTGTTCTATCCTCTAGCACCAAAATCTTTGGTGAGGAAATGCATATAAACTTTGTCAATCTCTGGTGTGATGTACTCTTAGAAAAACAAGTTGCGTTAGCCTGTTGTCAAAAACTTTCCTCCCTTTACTCCCCAGCATGGCGTGGCTGTCATTCAGTTGCTGCATGGCGGCCGCTGTGGCCACATTGAACTCCTACACAAAGACCATCATTGAGATGAAGCACCGGGCTCGGGTGAGGCTGGAGGAGGCCCGAGCTGTCGCCCGCGCCCCCTCCTATGAGGAGGTCGTTCGAGCTGGTGGTGGAGGGGTTTACTCCGTCAGCCAGCTGATTCAGCTTGGCCAGCAGGGGGCGCTCATGGACCCACTGTGGCCCAGAGGAGTGGGACCAGCTGTTGGACCTCTGGCATGTGGAGCTGGGGGAGCGCTGCTCGTCAGTGGAGGAGGGATTGGAGTTGGAGGGATGGGAATGGGAGGAGTTGGAGTGGGAGGAATGGCGGCCATGGGTGGGGTTGGAATGGGAGTGGGAGCAGTAGGAGGAGTTGGGGGAATGGGTGTGGGAACAGTGGGAGCATTGGGAGGAGTAGGAGTAGTTGGGGTGGGTGTGGGAAGGCTGGTGGACCCTCATGGTGTGGTGGTGGTGGAGGGATGCGGCGCTGAAGGATGTGAAGACTGTGAACGGGAGATGGACGAGATAGATTATGCTCTGCAGGAGGAGAGAGAGGACTCACTCTGCTAAGATTTTGGGGAGCAGAAAACTTTGATGAAGATTTCATCCAGACTGGATCTACACATAATATTTGACTGAAACTATACTTCAAGACTACAAGACTTGAACACATACCACACATACCTTTATATATGTGCTGTTTTAAATGGGTTTTAATTGTAGCACAGTGCATTTTGAGATCGTTTCTAGACTGTTCACGACCACTAGAGGGCATAGAGACTCTAAAACAAACTCAGACTCACAGCTCTCATACACTGTTGGATTAACAAGCTGTTCTGGCAAACAAGCTAGCAGAGAATTGAGAACATTATTGTCCCATTGATGTGTTTCTGGCCACCTGTTGAATTTAAGCCCATTGATCACTCTCAGTTTAACTCTGGTTTGGTCTCCACCAGCAGAGAAATCTTTATGCAGCGGCAGTAAGCGTAGATTTTTCTTGGTTTGTTTCAGCTTGTTTGATTGAAACAGTGACATAAGGAGATTTTGTGACAACAGTGAGACTCTATAGTCAATGTGCAACAGAAGAACTAAAACAACTGCCTAAAAGAAGCAAAAAGCTGCAGAGGTGTGTGTTGATTCTCATTGGGTTTGGTACTACTAGTGACTCAGCTGTGCTAACAACTTTTCTGGTAAAGTTGTCAATGTTTTTAAACTCAATTCCATGTTTTTCTCTTTGCTTCTTTTTTTAATGACAATGTACTTTTAATTGTAAAAGATTTTTAAATCTTTTAAAAGGGCCAAAAGGCGATAATGTGAGGTAGAAGGCTGAATCCTGTTAATACTTGTATCAGTACTTTTTGAGGACATTTTTTTATCATGTCTTAGGCTGGCTACAACAAATTTGCTAACAATAGGTTTAATCAATCAGCAAATTAAAAAACAATCTTAGTTTTCTTTCTTTGCGTAAACACAGCTTTGAAATGACAACTTCAGGGATGATGAGATTAAAGTTTTACAAGAGAAACATTTGGTACAATTGTGGAAATGACTGGAATATGATATTGTTCACATTTTTGTTTTTTATTCAGTGTTTGCATAAATGGATGGAAATCCCCTTTCGTATGGTGATGAATAAAAACAAACCACACACTGCATGTTTTATCAATGCACAGTAGTTTGACAGTTTGACGGTAGAGTTCACTGGCTGAGTCTGGACCGATAAAGAAAACTAACCAGTGAGTAGTTTAATCTTGGACTCAGATGCAGTATGTTGATATACTTCAGAGTTTCATCTGTTAAATAAAAAATGTGGTACCTTTGGGTGGGTGGAAATTAAAATTAATAATGAGGTTATGATTTTTTTTAAATCTGGAGAAGCAGCTTCCTCAGGCTCACTCAGCAGAATCACAAAAGCATTCACAGGTGCGATAAATATGTCCCGTCACAGTATTCCAACATTTTCAAATTATTTTGACATTTTTTAAAAAGGAGAACATATTTCAAAAGGTAAACATTTTCTAAAAACAGAAAATTAGTATATCAGTCCATAATATGAAGGACTTGCTTGTAATTCGAAGACACTTATTACTTATTTTATGGGTAGCCGTTTTTTTACCCACAGTTATCAAACTTCATAATGGGTTTCATTATGAATTAACTAACTGAATTAAACCACAGCATTTATACTTTCCATGAAAGTTATCATGTCAGACTCCTTTTTGTTTCTTATAATGTCTTCTCCACCTACTCCTATATGTGTTGGTAAATGTGTTTCTCAAATTTCTCATGCATAAAGTAAATATTTGCATGTTAGGAAACTGCACTTACACTTAGACCAGGCTGATATGTTTGCAACTATTAATATTACAGCTTTATAAGTATTTGTCTGAACCACAGACAAATACAAAAACACATTAAAACATATTACCTTCAGCCTATTTAGCTGGCTAGCATAAGACCTTTGTACACATCTATTTGTGTGTTTTTCTGCTATACCTGGAGTTAATGTGCTAAAAAAAAAAGGGAGAAAGCAAGAATCAAAGATTACAGCAACAGAGAGATTTGAATGTTGAGACAGATGCCTTCAAATACTGGACAGAAGATTATGTCAATAATCTCCGCAGTCAGGGGAATAAGACTGAAAGAGCAAAAGAGAGAGAGAGAGCGACAGACTGACATAATATAGGCAGTGAGGCAGAGATAAACAGGGTTGTCGGGTCACTGAGCAGTATGTGGAGAGTAATTAGAAATGTAAATTACAAGGTTGAATTATACAACAGTTTACGTAAGATGAGCCTCTCACACCACTTGAAACCTAGATTATTTATTTTCCTTTGTTTCTGTTTATCCTCAAAAACAACCCAATGTCAGGAAAGATGAATGGGTTAATTCATTCATTTATTCACTGTAAACACAGCAGTGTGTACCTGACAGCATGATTTTAGCAGCAGCAGCAGCAGCAGCAGCAGAAACAAACTACTTTTCACCTTTTGTTTTGTGCAATGCTACAGTTTCATAAAATTAGCTTCTTTTTCCAGCTTCTATTTGGTTCATTTCTATACTTCTATAAGTATAGTACATACAACTAATAAGACTAATTCCCAGAGTTGTTTTTTAAAAGAGGTGGTTATTTTATTTTGGAATGAACCGTCCAAAATAAATTTCCTCCTGGGTAAAATAGTAAGAGATGCTTTGGAATGTATTTGACTTCATAATGAAATAAGCAGCATGTGTGCTTTAAAAAAAGATAGCAGATGTCTCCCAGAATGTGGAGCAAGAACGTAAAGTAGGTCTTCTCATTATGAAACAATATTAATCTTTTATATAGAAACTATTAAATGCGTTTGTCTTGTGTAACTTAAGAACACGGTGGTTGTGAAACAGGACAGCTGCGAACATCTGGAGACTTTGGGAGGAATGAACGGTTGTGCTCTTAATTTTAGAAACCTAAACCTAGAAGTGTAAAGCTGAATATATTTGAAAAAAAAAGTTACTCTGAAGTTTCAAGCTAAACAGAAGCTCATATCCACATGAGAGTTCTTACACAATAAAATAAAGGTGAATAAAATTTCATCTGACATACACTTACATATTCGCCAGTGACATCTCCTTGTGTCCTGGTTACTCTGGGTAATCCACAGACCTCAATGGGAACAGGGGAAATTGTTCCTAATCAAAACTATTCACAGTGGGGTATGTGGATTATCCTGTGGATAAGAGTTTTCCAAAAGTAATTTCTCTGTTTTTTTTTTAGACAATTAGAGATGAACCTGTGACAGCAGGTTTGTCTCAGACAGAAAGAGGGTTGAGAGTGGACAGTACATCACCTCATTTGCACTTGAGTAAAGGGGGTATTTCCTAAAGAGGACAGAGTCATTATAAAATGCTTATCTCTCACATACTGTATCTCAGCAGATTACCTTTTTTTTAGCCACACTAGTGTTGTGACCAAGATCTCGATCATCAGTCACTCCACCACTTTGTTCCAGACTGAAATACCTAAACTCCTACAAGATAGATTGCATGAATTTTTTCTCCAGTCATGGTTCCCAGAGGATTAATCCTACTGACTCTGGTGATCCACTGACTAGTCTTCTAGTGCCACCGTTAGGCTGGCATTAGTGTTTTTGAGTAAAATGCCTGAACAACTATTGGATGATTGCCATTAAATCAGCTAACTACATCATAAGGTCACATTTTTAATTTGTTTAATTTTTTGGTTTATGTCCAAATATCTGCACACCTGATGACAATCCCATCAGCCTCATCTTTTCTTTGTGTTTAGCGCTAAGGAGCAAATGCAATCATGATAACATGCTAAACTAAGATGATGAAGATGATAAACATTATACCTGCTATGCAAAAGACAAGCATGTTAGCACCGTCATTTTCAGCATAACATAGTATATTTTAGAGCACTGCTGATTCCAAAATGCTTAAGTGTTTGCTGGATCTAGAAGTTTTGTTATTGCTACAGCAACATTAACATTACATTAGATGGGAATCAATATCCTTTTCCTGAATCCTTTTCGAATGCTTTATCGAGTCTTCAAGGTAGTTAGTGGGGAATTAACTTTTTTTAAAGGAGCTATTTGTAAGTTTTGCTATTGCTACATAGTCAACATTAGCATTAACAGCCGTTTACTTACCATTATAGAAGAAAAATTGTGAGTTCAGCATCAAACTTCATTCCTTTACTCACCAAGAGCTGTCTCCAGGCGTGGAAATCAACCTTCTTGTTTTGCCTCTATTTCTATCACTTTTTTTCTTCTACTGAAGTTAGCATGCTAACCAGCTAGCCGTTCAGCCCATCTTATCACTTTCCAATACCAAGTCACTGTAGAGTCCAGTCTGCCCTGTAGACCTAGTAACCTCTTGTATTGGAACTGGTAAGTAAAGAGCTAGTAAGTTAAAAGCTGTTAATGCTAATATTTGCTATGTAGCAATAAAAAAAAACCTACAAATAGCTCCTTTAAGACGATGCTGTATCACACAGCCCCACAGTCATAATAAACTGAAAAAGAGACAGAGGAAAGAAAAAGATTTCTGAAACCTTACATTTTATTACAATTTCATGATTTTTATTTATTGAATTTATTGTAAAGAGAATCCAGTTAGTTTTACATGTTGTTGCACATGAACAAACCTATTCTCCAATATGTACCAATTAACTAGAACATCAAACATGTAGGAGTGCGTCACATGGATGAATTGAACACTGTAAAAGACATAAAATTATACAATAATAATGGAAACGCCCTGCACTTACTGCAGTTGAACCATGAGCTACATCTTGGTCAGGTTTTAAAAAACATCCCAGTGTAAAATGAGAAACTACAGAGACCATTGGCTGCCCAGTTGAGAAAACATATTTCACAGTAATGATACTTTAACAATGCACATAACATGTTATCTTATTAAAATGTGTTTGAGTTGCTAAAACACACCTTTACAATTTACTTTTAGTCTGAAATGTACACTAAATAGGGACACTTTCAGAAATTCTGTATGTCTGTATTTATCTATCTTCATTTAAGTGAAGAAGCTAATTTTAGCAGAAAAAGTGTGTTTACATGTGGGAGAGTGTCAGTTAGGTCACATATTTATGAGGGAATAATTCTTTCTGGTTCATGGTAGACAGACACTGGTAAACCAGGATTTCATGTGAAACATTTATTTTAAGCTCTGGGTGATATAGAAAACAGGTCAGCACATATGCTTTCGGGGCAAATGTTGGCAGGAATTTTGAGCAATAGGAAAATATTATCGCACCTGTTAAGTGTTCACATTCTGTGATGTGAAGTTGATGTCAGGTGCCATTGTATTAGCAGAATCAAGGGTATAGTGGAAGAGATGTGAATGGAGAGAGAGGTACATTGACGGAACAGTTACTTAAAAGGCTGATACTGAATCAAACGAAGAGCTTCCTCATTGTCCAACACTCCCTGAATGAACTCCCCCTCTGCCACTCGGTCTGGATGGAGAAAAGAAAGAAATTATGTTTAATTTATGTGACTGAAATGACCATAACATAAAGAAAATGTCATAAAAGAAGATCTTTGATGCAGATCTTAATCAATTCCATATTAAATACAGGTTCAATAATAATAAAGTGTTTAGAAGTTCTGGGGCTTTTGCAATCAGTTGGGCTCACTACGCTAATCTAACTGTAGAACTGAGCAATGCAGTCAAATCAGGCAGACACTCCATTACTGGGTATTTGAGTTTAACGGATGTGACATGCAAACCCTCTGATGACTTAGGGTGAAGGCTGAACAAATTACAAATTGAAGAATTAATTTTCTGTTTAGTCAGAGAAAACTCAGAAGCAAGAACACAAGATTGTTGGTCTCATATTTATCAGTTCATGTCTCCATTTAAAGTATTTCATCTCACCATTTTCACCCTTGTCAAAGAACTTCCAGAGTTTATCTGCCCTCTTGTCAGCTGTGTTTTCATCTTCAGCCAGATTAGCAAGTTCCTCCTTAGGAATCAGCTTGAAAATCGCCTGTTAGGGAAAAAAACATAGAAGACATACATTGGTCAAAGAGAAAATGATTTAGTTTTTACATTTTTGGTTGAACATAAAAGAAGTGCAACATTTTATTTGTTCCTTTTGCTTAATGCCACATTTGACTTTTATGTCCTCATTATTTGCTCTAGTGTCTGGTATCATAGCTGAAATTAAAATTAATTCTACCACTACAGACTAAACTTTAATGGCTGCACATGTCATCACTCCCGAATGCTCCTTTCATCTCATCCATTTTGTCACGGCTATGAGCTGATCATGTGTCAACTGACAAAAACAGCAACAAATTGCTGGTGCCACAGATTAACTGACAAGTTCTTTGGCCTCTCTGGCTTTGTTCTGTGATTAAATGAACTCTAATCTGTTAAATTGAAATGTGTTGGCTAGAAATAGGCCTGCAGTGGATTTTATGATTTCAAAAGGACCCCTGAATTAGGGTATTTTAAAATTGTTGTCATTGAGTGCTATACTGGCACAGAAATGTTAAACAGCATATATGACTTATTGGAACACCAATAAACTGGATTTCACATTTCAATATATACGCTGAATAATCTCGTCACATATTGAAAACTGGAGAGGATTGGCAGAGCTGTGAAAACCAAAACTTCCAACTCACTTTTCACTGACACATGCAGGGCTTAAAGAAAAGATTACTAAAAAAAAAAAACAATGTCCAGGCTTTCAAATCTGTGACAAATTGTCTGATTCAAACATACTGCAGTCAGACACTGCAGTGAGACTAAAGCCGGATTGTAGGGAAATCTGCTCTGGACTCCTGAGAGGATAAGATGATGCATATAATGTCATATATATTATTTTATACTGTAATAAAAAATCACATGGTAAAAGAACATTAACAACACATGCCCTCCATACAAACACACATACACATACAGATCACTATACATATATAGCCTACACATACACACCTACATATGGCATATGACACAACCCTTTAGGCCAACATCTACCTTATATGTTAGTGTTGGGAATCTCAATGGACATATAAGGCAGGAATGATTGTTTATAATATAGTTCAAGATGAAAAATGCAGACATTTGAGGTAAAATTGATCAATTCAATGTAAGTTTCACCAACTGTCAATGATGACCTTTGTCTTGAAGCCACTAGGGATTCAGTATGTGGCAGTTCCTAATCATCCTGTATGGAGATGATACTGTTGTTTATACTTCATTTGGTTTCTGCTAAATCTCAAAAACAAATGGCTGCCATAGTTTACTCAAATGGGTCTATTCAGATTTACATTGGTTACATTTGCTGATTAGAGTTTAATAGTTTGTATGCTATCATATTGTTCTTAGAGGACATTTACATGTATCCTTCTGTTTGAAATATAGTCCACTACATTCTCTTCTTCATTCTCTATACACCAACCAGCCACAAGATTACAACCAGCTACCAGTTTTAATGTTGTGGCTGATCAGTGTATGTCCTCCTATTCTCACCCAAAGCCTTCTGCTGCTTTCCGTCAATGCCTTCATCTATCAATCAATTTATCAGTCTGTTCCACCAAATATTTGTAATACATTGAATTCCAAAAGTATACAGAGGAACCTAAGATCAGTTTAACAACTGATGAGCAATAACTGCCAATGTCAGCCAGTCTGATATCAATGTGTATGCAGATGATACTCTTTTCCGTATTCATTTTGCTCCCGCTAATGCAGAATCTATTTTGAACTGAACTAGCCTGTATGAAAATTGCTATACAAAGAAAGTTTGATTGATTGATTGATTGATTGATTGATTGATTGATTGATTGATTGATTGATTGATTGATTGATTGAGTTTTTAGTAGTTACTATGCCATCATACTAATCTTGATTCAAAGGTATAAAAGGAAAAATTGTCAACTCCTAACTTCTATGCATTTGATACTGTTGTCAATGCCTCATTTTGCTCTTGCTAATGCAGACTTACTTGACAATACATTGCCAAGCAAGCAGCACTGTCTTTTGAAAATGAAAATGTGGTGAGATTCTGACTGGTGAAAGACTGATAAAATTGCCTGTAAACTTTGTGTCCACTGCCGACGCAATTAAATGTTTTGTGCTCTTTGTAAGGAAAAATTGTGCCTGTGAAAATGTTAAGACATCTCTATATGGTCCTGCATCATTGCCCTTTTTCCAAAACTCACCGTGCAGATTTCTGTGACCTCTGACTTGGTGATGTATCCGTTCTTGTCCACATCAAACAGCGAGAAGGCCCACTCGAGTTTCCTGGTGGTCTTCCCTGTTGACGTCATGTGGAGGGCGATGATGTACTCCTTGAAGTCCAGTGTGCCATCATCATTTGTGTCGAAGGAGCGGAAGACATGTTGGGCATACGTATTGGCTTCACTGTCTGGGAAGAACTTACTGTAGATGGACTGAAACTCTTCTTTCGAGATGCGCCCTGTTGGACACTGTCTCTTGAAGTTTTCATACCACTGGACAATCTCATTCTCTGAGAACTTGGTGTTGAGCTTCAGGTCCTCCAGGATCTCCTTGGACACAGCACCGCTCTTGGTGTTACCCATTGCTTTAGGTGGTGGTGATGTTTTAGAGTTATATCAAACTGTGAATCTGTGGCCCTACTGCTCTTCTAGGGAGCCTAGGGAGTTGCCACCTCTACTTTGTCAAAGTGGTAAACAGAAGACTATTCCTGTAATATGGCTGCAGTATCCTTCTTGATCCTGGTCCTGGCCTGAAATTCTGCCCACAGAGACAAATGCTGTGAAAAGAGCAGAAGTCACTTAAGCTCATTAAGCCAATCAGCCAACAGTAATACCAGCAAGAGGTGTCACGGACAAGGTTCAACGTGGGTCAAAGCTGAAGTGCTTGTTTATAGACTTTAGGTTTAAATTCAGACAGTTTTGGGAATTTTCTACCTGCTATTTTAAATAAGCAGCGAGCCAGGTTGTAATTAGTACAAGAGAGAGAGGAGAGGACAACAGGTGTGGTTACCCTTCCATCAGTGGCATTTATTGAAGAGACTAGACGGATGCCAATCACATTTTACACCAGCATGATACCATTCCATGCTAGTTGGCCATATGGTTACAACAGACTAAATTTGTATAAGCAATTAAATGGTGTTACCTGACACATTTTGCCAAATGCAAAATACCAAAATTGTGAAGAAAACTTTTGCACTTTGACAATCGAGCACTGAAGGCTTGTGTAATATGAAGATGGTTGACACTTTAAAAATATGGATCCCCCAGGCCTGTTCAGCCTTCATGTTATGATAATCTATTTTATGTTTAATAGCCAGAGTCAACCTTGCTTTCTATGCAACAGTCAAGTATGGATGAACACTTTCAGCCTGATCTCTCACTCAGAATCAACTCACTCACTTTTTGCTGTGGGTTTGTAGTTTAAATGGCACTGAGGCAAAATGTTATGTTGATGGCACATTCAAATTTTAATGATTTTGAACGGCTTCCATTGTTAAGCAAGATGACCCATATCTACAACTTCATAGGTCGGATCAAAGGGTTCAGCGCAGTCGGTAGTGAGAGGCAACTACCTACCAACTGAGCTTACCAAAACCTATCCAAATAAGTTGAACTTAGTATAAAATTTCCAGAACGCACCATAAAATCCAGACTGCACCATGGTTTGTTATCCCCATTGACCAACAGTTACATCACTACTATGACATTACATGGAAAAGTGAGACATATTACACAATGGACAGCAGCACAGTTGTCAGAAATTAACTTATTAAATCTACTCACACTGTAAGATTTTCAGCTCTGTAAAAAAAAGATAAGTATAACTCTTCTTTAGTTGGTCAAAATACATGGTAAACTGTGATGAAATGTGATTTAAAATAAATTATATTTGTAATTATATGTGTAATTACAGGAAAGAATTCATTTATTTTGTTTTTCATATGTCTCAATGCAAATGGGTAAAAACAAACTGCCTTTATTGCATTTGTACTAATAAATATTGATATCAGAGGTGATGGTGCAAGCACTTCCAAATGTCATCCAGAAAAAAGCTACACAAAACTTAGGTTAACTAATGCACTTTTTATACAACAAAACTCTCTTTTCTTGTCATGCCTCTACTTGATGTCCACATAACGAATGTGTTTTTCCTCAGAGAGAATCTCAGTTTAAATGAAAAAGTACAAAAGCACCAAAGGTCCAAGAACACCAAAGGCTCCAATAGTTATTCCCCAAAATATTTCATGTTGTCAATTAAGTTCTGATTGTTTCCTACCTGTGTGAGCAGCTGAGGAGTCCAGGGCAAACAGAAGAGGAGCAGCTGAGAAAATCAGCCTCCACCTGCTGGGGTAAGTCAATTAAACTGGATCACCCTGAGGCGGAGCCACAGCAGCACCCATGTGAACCCCTGAGCTCCCTGAGCTGCTGTTGCTGTCTCTCTTTTTTTTCCCCTCATATGCTAAAGTGGTCATGTCACATTTATTTATAAGGTATTTTTTCACACACTTGGCTGCAGGAAGTGGCACACATGTGGACAAAAACAAGACGCACATAACAGACAACCTCAATTTAACAGGTAGAAACTCATATATATGTAAGAAAAAGGCAAAAAAAATGATACAAAACAAGTTGTCGGTGTGGTACTATATTTATTTATGCTCTGGCCATGTGAAGGTTGGGGAGGATATTAGGCAACTGCACAGACAATCTGAATCTGATAGTTTATCTGTAGTTTAGTTTAGTTTAGCATATCTTAGCTTAGCTTAGTTTAGCATTTAGTTTAGTTTACTTTAGTTTACTTTAGTTTACTTTAGTTTACTTTAGTTTAGTTCAGTTTCCGGGTTGATTAGAGAAAAAGTCCAAAAATTGAAAACCGGTTTGTGTGTCAGAACTTTGTTTTTTCTTCTTTCCTCTCCTATGAATCATCTCACAACTATTTGGTACTTTTACTTAAGTAAAGAATCTCTATACATCTTCCACCACTGGATGCCCTGTAGCTTGATTCCCGCCTTCTGAAAACAAGTCAGCTTACTGGACCTGGCACAGACACGCTGGCTACTTAAGAGCACAGCGCCGGTTTTATCTGCTATAAAAATAAACCTGATCAAGTGAATTGACAAAGTAAAAGCAAGCCATTTCCAAAACTACCTTGGACCTTTGCGCAGGTAAAGACTTAGCAGTTTAAATCCAGAGAATGGTGGCGGGTGGCAGTGCGCCATTAGGCGGGGGATTTAAATGCTCTTAGCTGAGTTTTGACTGCTGATCCACCATCTGCTCTACTGTAAACCAGTCTGCACAGAAAACACAGCAAGTCCCAACACAATGCACCTGCATTAAAAGGAAACCTGCAAGTGTAAACATGGTGGGAAGGCAGCGAGAATTCAAATGGTCTGAACTCCTCTGAGCTCAGAGGTCATCACTTCCCTTCCATTTCACTATAACATATAATAGTCCTAAAGCTAATTTACTACTACCAAGAAGTGTAGTAGGAACATAGTTAGCATCTGTTAGCCTACCAGTGTCTGAATACAATAAACAAAAGATGGCTGCATCATGGTTAGTGGTCCTACTTGTGTGTATTTTGTCTGATTTCAACTCAGTAGACCACTGTTTACACTCTGCTTCATTGGTTTTCATAAATTACATAAAACTCTTTTCCTACCATAACTAAGTAGTTTTTGTATCTAAACTTAACCAGAGGTTTACTGGCCTCTGGGTTTCAAGGCACTAACAATATTGTTCCCCATCTTTCTTAATCCCCTTATTTCCTGCCAGCTCTAAAAGAAACTGACATGAATAATGTTGGAAGGATTTGGAAGATGCTGACCAATTATCTTCTTGCCAATAGGGACATCAAATCAGAAAATACTGGAAAGCAAAGGCACACAACATATTTAGTTGCTTAATTGTGAGGACTTCTGTGACTGAAACTGTGCAAACTAGAAGGGAGTTTCAGCTGTTTGAACCTTCAGGAACATGACACTCACTATCAGTACATCCAGATAAAATCTATTAAACTTTGGCAATGTGAAAAGTGTGAGTCATTAAAGGCCCCATATTTTACAGTTTTCCAGTGTTTTATGTTGTATGAAGTGTTGATCCATAAGAAGACACATTTGTGGTTTTAAGGAACCAAAAACCATCCCAGTGTAGTTTCACATCTCCTCTCTCAGGCTTCTCTCTGTAGCTCTTGTAACAACAGGTCAGTGAGCCAATCAGAGGAGAGGAGGCTCTGAGCCTCTGGCCTCCTGGCTGGGCTTGGGGCTTTGATACTTTGACAGTATTAATATAGAAGCTAATACCTTTATAATCAGACAACACATGGAAATCTCACTTTATATAATATGGGACCTTAAAATGCTCTTTTTATCTTTTATATTTTCTCTCCGTGATAACAGTAAAAAGTCTAAATGAGACTTTCAGCCTCAGATTGTCATATTCAGATGCCGACGTGACCCTGTGATGAGGCTAGAAACATTCTGATTAATTATCATATTCACTTTTCAAATACCTAGCAACAGGTCATTAGCTGACCTTTATATGGCTGCTGCAGACTGAGGCGTTAACTGAGTCATGGAAACCTATCATATACTGTCACCAAGCAGCATAACAACCTGTGAGCATGTCTACTGTATGCGCAACCAGTCTGTTGATATAACCACATGACCTAAGCAGACACCCTCTCCGCCCACTGCCTTCATCTCAGACGGAGCTTCCCAGATTCTCTAATGCAGGACAAGTATAGAGCAGCGTCTACAGTAAGCTCTCCTGGCAAACTGCTGATCTCTCTCCTGCATTAGAGCAACTTAATTCCTCTGCTGACATGCTGAGGCCTACCTTCAGACGCTGCCCCCCTCTTGGCACCATCAGCCACGGCTCCACAGGTGATTTGGATTTTGCCATCTGGTGGCCGAGGCTTTGGAGAGCTCTGCCAGACGAGCTGGTGAGTACATTCAGAGCCAATGTCACCTGTTAGGGCAAATATCTTCTTAAAGTGAGACAAATGTTAAAATTTGAGAGATGAAAAAAGAAAAAACAAGTAAAATGTTTTATTCATAACCTAAAAATACATGCTCAGTTCACTACACTGATTTTCCTCAGCTACAGCCTTGATTCTGCTATGACCACTAGATAACGTCGGCTAATGTCAGCAAATTCAGCTAGCAGATAAAGCTGCTGTGTAATTGACATTACTTCAGACTTTTGCTACTTTTACACTGATTTTATCACATAAACAATTAAAATACACCACTTGGCACCACCTATTCGATTATGTTTTTTTCTATATTTTTGCCTAATTTTCAGTAATTTTGCATATTGTAACTTTTTGTCAGGGAAAACTGAAAAAGTATAAGAACTAGTCCAAATCCGCCACCCAAAGCCATTTTTACCCTGCCACTCAAAATAAAGTAGACAGTTGAGTGGAAACGCTGGTCTTCACCCAGACTCAAACCAGATTTTGTGATTACATGGCCACCGTTAACAAGCTTTTATTCAGCCAGCTCTGACCTCAAGAAGTCTTCCAATTATCAATTAAAGTGAGGAAAAAATTTTTAAAAACTTCTGGGGAAAATTGCTCTTCCTTTTTCCTGTTTTATTCATTCTGTATTTTTGAGTCTTGAGTCCATTCTGTCATTTTATCTCCAAAGATTTAATAGAGAAGTTCCCCTGAAGCCACGAGCTTCTAGTGCCATACATAACCACATTAAAGTGTGCTGAGCCTATACCACAAAGTCTAAAATTCATCTATTTTTTCATGTGCTTTTTGGCTTTTTATCATTTAATTTACAGAAAAGAAATGACAGAAAACAAGGGGAGAGAGAAAAGGGAAACATCATGACGCAAAAATCCCAAACAGGCCTTCACAGTCAGTTTAAACCATTATGTCACAAGTACAACCTGTTGTTTGGGTGCTTCCATTGTACCAGCACAAAACCTCGGTGTAGTTGTTTAATTATGGAAGTAGATATATATGTGTTAATGCAATTTCATCTTTGCAACTCCTGGCTTCTCCAATTGAAGTTTAATTCCACAAATACATTAATTTCTGCCCCCAAACGCATACATGCTTTACATCTTTAAAAAAAAAAAAAAAAAAAAAGCACAGTCAACTAATTGTTGAAACAGTTAGTTTACCCTGTTAAACGGTGCCAAAAAATTTAGAAACACCCTATTTGGGACTCATCCTCAGTCTATCATACAGAGCTTTCCTCTTTTAGAACAGGGATTTTCCCTTCAGCCTACAAAGACTAAACAGTCTGGATTTATTTGATTAGAAGTTTTCGTCCCTTGGCTCTTGAGACGAGCCTTTCCCTCTCACAATCCCACCTTTAACCCACACCCTGGTTTAGGCTGGTTTCTAGGAAAGGGAATCCTTTGATTGTAAGGAGAGGGGGATTAAAATGGAGGAGCAGAAGGGGATGGGGAGAGAAAGAGAGAGAGAGAGAGAGAGAGAGAGAGAGAGAGACAGAGAGAGAGGCAGTTAAAGTAGCGATGTTAGGCGGTCTAAGGAGGATTTGGCAAACATGCAAAGCAGACAGACTTCATGCAGGGAATGGAAGATTGGTGGTTACCAAAACGCAGCTAAGTATTATCAAAGCTCTTTGGCCCGACATTTAGGAATCTATTCTCAGAAAAGCAAATTTTAATCTAAATACCCTGATGGTCGTCATGGTTCCAGTGTGGATACTCGTCAAGCAGCAGATGGAGGCCAGATCAAGAGTCAGCTGGAAGATACTAGAAAGTCACATGAGTCACATGAGTCACATGACCACTTCTGAGTAAACTGAAAGAGCAAATATGGACGTGTTTCTGTTGAAAAATATGCATTAATTGGCCACTTGGGGGCAGCACAGCAAGCTGCAAACACAACATTGACATATCATCATTGTAAAAATATAAAGTTGTTGTGTCTAACTTGTTGGTTTTAGAGAGCTTTGAAGCCCAAACCATCACATTACATCTTTTACATACTTTTTTTCTGAAAGGTTACTTATCAGAAAAATGTAAAGATAGGTCATTTTAACGACTTTATCCGTATAAAACCTGTCAGACTACAATAAGTCAGTCAGGACAGTTTGAATTTGAGACTTCATCATAGGTTACCTGTCCTCATAATCCTATTACTGCTACTACAAACTCTGTCTGCAGGGGAATACCCTGCTCACGAGAAGATCTTTGAATGGTGGGTGGAGGGGGTTTACATACCGAGGCTCACAGAGCTGTGGAGCTCACTAACACCACCAACATCTTCATAACTGCCATCTTGTCAATAACCTGACAGAGGTGAGTTCAGGCAACATCTGATTCTGGTAAAAATTGTGGCAAATAATTCTCAAACTGTTGTCCAGATTTAATCCAGTTGGTTTACCACATTGTTGCGGCTTAATGTCAGGGTTACCCAAGTAAAGTCTGGAAAGTTGTCTAAAGCAATAGGGAAAGTCGGGGAATAAGGAGATATAAAGCAATAAAATAAATAAATAAATAATAATATATAAAAATTAAAAGAAAAATAAATTTACAGAAAAAATCATTTATATGCAAAAATTAAAAAACAATAAAGCCTATCTTAAAAACGTGAATAGATTAAAAAAAATAAATGAACAAAAATGTGAAAATAAATGAAAATGCTTAGAATTATTCTTTTATATTTGGTTATTTGTCTTTATATTTCCAAATTTCTTCTCTTAATTCTTTTACAGTTCTTTTTTCTTTTTTTTTTATGGCCCTTCTATGACTCCATTATGTCAGAACAAGGAAAACAGGATTACAAATCGGAGACCAGAAGGATTCAGCTGCCACTTATTTGTCAGGCATCAAAGAAGGTCTGAAATCAGATTTTAGACTTGGTAATCAGATTAGCTGATGGAGGGAGAATCTGCCCCCAGGTCAGTTCCCTTAATACGCTCTTCTTTCTTCTTTGCTTTTTATGAATGTCGTTTTTTGTTTTTTTTGTTGCTTGTGAGTTCAGGAGGAGTTCATTAATCAGCCTGTGCCACAAAACAAAAAACAAAAAAAAAGAAATCTGACAGATTTTTTTGTAATCCAATTTAAAGGAGCTGGCTGCCAACATTCACTTTGCACTTAGTCTACTCTGCTTTAAGCATGATGGGGCATAGAGCTTGTTTGGTAATTTGTGTTGCATGATATTTTAGCTACAAAAAGCCTCATTCTCGAGTAAAATATATGTGAGTGATATATGATCATGTATCTGCTAAAAATCTTTGATTACAGATAAAAAGATATACCACTGATGTTGCTGTAATTCTCATTTGTCACCAGTAGAGGTCAGTACTGGTTATAGATTTTTTTAAATGAAAAGAAGTAAATACAACCTTGCATAAAACAGACATTAAAATGAGCCTCTCTACAAATGTTAATGCACAGTTACCCTTTAACTTCATGAAATTAAAAACAGAAAAAAATAATTAAACAGTAATTGAGGCATGTACAAACATTAGTTACTGACCTCTGCACATGGCACAATTATTATTTTCTCCTAATTTTTAAATTGAGTAAACAAAAAGTAACAGTGCATTAATGTTTTAAGAAATGCTCATTTTAATTTGCTACAGAGCAAAGACATATTAATTATTACTTAAAGCAATGGTATAGTCTCCTGATATTCTTGAGTAATGTACAGGATATAATAAATATGTGTGTTAATATAGGTATTTAATATGAATATGATATATAATGCACCTATATCACAGGTGTGAAATAAATGTTAAAGAATTAAATAAGAAACATATAATACATTAAAACAGTAAAGGATTAGAGCATATAGTAATATATGAATCAATATACAGTATATCATGTAACATAAATATGCTACATCTAGTGATACACTATATAATCTACTTGTGTTGCTGTCTATATTTGTAGTATTGTATCTGTGATGACTTGATGCTATATCAATATAATAATTCTCATTCTTTTTCTTCATTTTTAATAAAAATGTATTAAAGCTTAAACTTGTGAAGAGAGAGATGATCTTATATTGTTGATAAAGCAGACATGTCTGATGTATAAAATGGCTTTTATTGAAATCCATAAAGAGTCCACTGCTGTTTTCAATGAGTCACATTCAAATGCTACAAGAATAAAAAACATAACTCATGAAACTAATGAAACAGTAACATTATGATTTTGTAACACAACAACACTTCTACAGTTGAAATGTTTCTGACATGCTTGTAACACTAAAGTTTTTAGTAGCACACAGTTTGATTCATTGTCTGTTTCTCATATTAATACTGACAAACACAGGTACCTATAACCAGACTTTTAAAGTGAAACGTATCCACAACTTCCTCTCTCAGTGGTAGCTCTTGTAGCTGCGGATCTTGCGGCTGAGGTTGCGAGCGAGTCGATCGACGGCGCTGCCGATGTGTCCCAGCTCCTTCTTGGCTGTCAGGCCCTCGATGTTGCCGCTGTACCACAACACCCATCCGGCCAGAGACATCAGCACGAACAGGGCTCCTGAACAGAGGTCACATCAGACACCACCTTTTATTTTCTTTACCAATTAGTATACAGATAATTTTTTTTATTAATCAGTTAGCTGTTTTGTCTGAAATAATGAAAAATGCCTGTCATTGTTTCTCAGAGGCCGAGGTAACATCTGCAAATGTCATGTTTTGTACATCCAATGATCCAAAACATTTAGTTTACTGTCATGTACGACAAAGAAAAGCATTAAATCTGCACATGTAAGAAGCTGTTTGGCATTTACATGATTTTAAACAATTAATTGATTTACAAAATAGTTGCAGATTAAATTTGGATGAACCCTGTCAGCTCTATTCATTACGTCTTATAAATTCAAGTACATACAGAAAATTTGTTGGCATGAAAACATAAAAAATAGCATTATGTTTTACAGCTGCTTCAGCACATTTAGTGAAACTTACCACTCTGTACTTGTCTCATGAAGTTGTAGTTTCATTAGAATTAGAAAGCTAATGTTCAGAAAAAATACTATACCTATAAAGATTTATGTAATGTGTTATTTTCATTATTTTATTAACATGTATATGCTTTTCTTTTATTTGTATTTGTTTTCTCATTTGTGTTGCTTCCGTCTTTTTCATTATCGATTAATCTGCAGATTATTCTCTCACTTCATTTTTTTAATCTTAGAAAATGTCACAAAAATGCCTCTCACAATTTCCTAAAGCCCAAGGCAACGTCTTCAAAATGCTTGTTTTGTCTGACCAGCAGTCCAAAACCGAAAGATATTCAGTTTATTATCACATCAAACAAAGAAAATCCGAAAGTCATCAGAGTTGAGAAGCTGTATTAATATTTAATAGTAATGTTTGATATTTGTGCTCAAAAATGAGCTGGTGAAAAGTATTCACCAGCTTTCTGTTGATTGACCACTTCATTTATCAACAAATCATTGCATCTATTACTTTTTCATTTTTGGCGAATTTAACACAGATGCAGTTTTATAAAGTAGTAGGGAGTGAGACCCACTTTTAGTTCTGATTCCAAGTTAAAACCAACACAAACATACCAGTATAGACCAGTAAGTCTCCATAGTCCTGTCCTTTGATTTCCAGACGGGCGAAGACTCCCACCAGCAGAGCGGCTCCACCCAGTAAATCCATCAACACGGCGAAGGCCAGAGCCAGTTTACAGTGGGACAGGCCGTTACACAGGCCCATCGTGAGAGGAACTGCAGGTAAAACAGAAACACATGAAAACTACAGCTGCTCGGCATCACTAAAAGTCCCATTAAAATACTGATTTGCTGCAATATCAGACCGATACTGGCTTATTGAAACATAGAAATATGCTCATTTGATGCTGTCAGTATGATGTTAGTTATTTTATATGACTGTATAACCTGACTTACCATGACGTGAAGTCCCTATTATATATGTTTACTCTGATGTTGGTGCAAATTCTGAGAGGAACACAGTTTCCAGTTATTTCTGGCATGAAAATGTAAAATAGTACAAAATATGCGCTGGGATTCACCGTTATGAATATTTAATAGTTAGCCTTTACTGATAGCTTTTTTAATGTCTGACATATTTCACACGTCCAATAAGTGATACATTCCTGGACCAGGAAAAAACAACCGCTTGTACCAAAATATGAGCAGGAAAAACCACAAAGTGAATGCATTATAAAGCTGATCTGACCTGTTATCTTTCTCTTCAAGAACAGGTTCACAATGTCAAGCATGACATTAGGAGATAAGATAAAGATAATTTAAGATAAGACAAGACAAGACAAGACAAGATAAGATAATTTAAGATAAGATAAATGAGATGTACCTTTATTGATCCGCCATAGACGAAATTCAAATTTGACACAGCAGCTCAAAAGAAATAAAATAAGAATAGAAACAGGAGATAAATTAGGAATAGTATATGGTGAGGAGTGAGGAAGGAAGGGAAGATTTGTGGAGGAAGAGTATTTTTGTGGTATAAAACAGAGGAATGAAAGACTTAGAAATGAGGAAAAGGAAGGAGAATTGAAGAAAACAAGGAAAGGGTGAAAAATGAATTGCCTTGAACTATGAGAATGTAAGTTCTACAGGTCACTTTCCAAAGATGGATTATAAAATCAGTGACATTAGCACCAGGGGCGCAGTATTGAATAGAATAGTGGAACTGAGCAGAAAGCTTGTAGTTACAAGTTTGTTTTAATCTGCAGTTTTACATTTTCATATCATTTGCATTAATGGCTATCACTGTTGGTTGACAAACTATTTATTGTATCTAAAACAATATCATTTCCCCCTCTGAAAGATGCGTATGATTTAGTCAGCTCCTGCAGTGGAGTGTCTCTCAACGTGTTAGCTAATGCGCTAACAAACAACAACAACAGAAAAGCGAAAGACAGCAGTAGAGTAACATACAGTAACATTTTAAATACGAAATACTGTTAGTGAAAGCTTTGCAAAGTGATTATGGTATGTTGAGAAAATTAAAGATGCATGTTTACTTGTTAATTCAGTTATTTGTACAGCTGTGACAATGGAGAGATTAAGATAGGAGAGATTAGCATTGATTAGCATTAAACCAATTCAAACTAATGAGGGATGGTTTAATGAAAAATAAAGACAAAAGTAATTTGAATAACTGCACAAAACTATTTATATTTATATTGAAACAGCTGATGCATTAGCCCAGACATAAACAGGCTTCTGTCATTATATGTTTAGGATGTTTTTAAGATCTTCAGGTAGCCAATTTGTTCATGTTTCCACTTCCACACATAGTTTCTTTTAATTTACAGCCTTGTTTATGGTTTTCTGATTCACGTTTACTTCTTTATATCTACTGTGTTTCTGTGTTTATCTGTTTATCTTAAAAAAAACAAAAAAAAAACATTATAATATAAATTTAAGTAAGTTTGATTTCACGGTGCAGTTTTTCAAAGAAACAGAAGTTGTTTCTCATTTCTGTCCATGAAGAAGACGAAATCACTGCTGAGCCAGCGTTAGTGAACCAGACCCAGAGCAGGTGAAGCTATCTTCTTCAAATAATCCTGTAGTTCACTTAAACCAAACATTTCATTTCACCCCGTTAACTCTTCCGCTTTCACTCACTTGTTATTGTTGTTCGTTCGGCAGCATATAAACCTCCAGTTTTACGTTTTCCTGAAGTTTTCACCGCGGAGCTTATTTGTGCTTCCGCGTTTACCTTCCTCAGTGTCTTCACCTACCTGCGCCCCGCCCTCACGTGACAAACTTCCGGTCAGAGCTTCTTCTTCTTCTTCTTTTCTTTCCTACATGATTTTACATATTTAGACAAAAGTCTCTGAAATTCCATAAAAACAAAGAGAGTGTGTCGTTGTGCTTTCTGTTGTTTATTATAAACTCTTTGAAATATCATAAAAAGAAAAAGAGCACATGCACGATTGAATATTACAATTACATTGTTGGAAATACAAAATTTTATTTATTCATTCATTCATTCATTTGTTTACTTTATTTAATAGTTTTTCTCTATTGTTGCTGTCTATTTTTGTAATGTTTTAAAAGACTGATTGTCCTTAATGTTGAGCACTTCGGTTGTGAAGAAATGTAAATCGTTTTTACATGAATAAAGTCTTTGGAGGAAAATTCAACAAAGTGTTTTTGGTGATCTTATTTTGTAGGATAGATAAAACTGTACTCAGAAAAGCTTTCAGTTAAAGGCTGATTTTATAACGATCACACATATCTGTTGTTGATTTCATGAACAAAAGTTTTGACTAGTTTGTTTTCTTTTCTTGTGGCCTGTTTGTTTGGCAACTCTGGGCTGATGCTTGGTTATCCCTTAAAATCACAGATATCCTGTTTGTGAATGCTCTGACATCATTTTCTGCAACAATAAATTACAGCTGAGTGTCTCAGAGGTCATCTAATAGTAATAGATAATGGAAAGAAAGAGTTTAAACTATTTTTGGACTCCCTGACAAAGTGGCTGCAAAGTTAAACAAAAAGCCTCATATTATTATATAATATATAATGAATATATTATTTTGAGGTTAAAGTTAAACGTGTGTCCTTCTTTTTTCATTCTACCTGTATTAAGACTTAACAGATTAAATCTGTTAATACTGTGTATTTGTGAATAAAGTTGAAAAGAAAAAAAAAATCAAGTTAGCTTGAAGCGATGTTTGGTCAAAGGTGAGGGGACACCTCCGTTCTGCGCATGTGTGAACCAAACAAACCAGAGCGCGGTGCACCTGTTGACGCCACTTATAATCAGGTAATTGCAGCGGAGAGTGTCTTTCCTCGGCTGTGGAGCAGCAGCTGTGGGTCGTTTCAGGCCGTATTACAGAAGTATAACTGAACACAGAGCTACCGAATAATACAAATAATAACGAGTCCATCTCAAACATCTGAGTCATGAATCCTCCAACCAGCAGAGACGATACTAACCCGCCAGGTAACAGCTACGTTTACGTGTCGCATACACCTTGTGCATCAAACCTACTGAATGACTCAGTGCATTCAAATAGCCCAACATTTCACGTGCAGTAATCAGCAAATGCGATGTTTGTCTATATGTGTGTTTTTATATTGACAATATGTGTAATTCATTATGACAACGGAGTGTGAGGTTGTGGAGGTCAGGATCAGAAATAAGGTTCAAATTATTTTTAGACTCCTCCATCTTCAGTCTTCTTTATTGATGGGCCAATCAGTTGTAGGCTTTGATTTTATGCTCTAATATGTCATTTAGTTTTAAACGCTTGTTTTCTATGTTATGACTATTTTACTGATGTTCTGTTTTGTTGATTTATTTCCATGTATTTTAAGTATTTATTTTAAGCACCATAAGTATTTATGGTTGATCCCAATGAGTCATTGCTTTATTAACTTTATTATTATCTGTTATTAGAGGTGAAACAATCACTGAGTCAACAGTAATTAATTAATCTACAGCTCCAATGAGTTTGATTCATTCTCTAAAATATTGATTTGCAAAGAAAACATATCAGTTTTTTTTATCCAACTTTCTCAAATGTGAAGTTTTTCTACTTTACTCTGTTTTTATCTCACTGGGAATTTAATGTCTCTGGCTTCTAGACTGTGAGAAGGACAAAACAAAACACCTGAAGACGTCATATCTCCCACTGTTTTTTGGACATTTCACAGGGTGCAGAGGTGGAACACATCTTGTTCCATGATCACTTTAATTCAGTGCTGCAGCTAACCATTGCTTTGATTATTGATTAATGTTCCTTCCAGAACCCAAAGCGACTTCCTCACGGTACTTGTTTGGACCAAAACTAAAAACATATTTCATTTATATGATGGAGACGAGCAGCAAATCCTCATGAGAATGAGAACCAGGAAGCAGAAAAAATTAGACATTTTTGCATTAAAATGACTGAAAGTTGCTGATTCATTTTCCCTCTGTCGACTAATGGTTGCAGCTCTAATTTAATAAGTTGATTATTAATACGTTTTTTTTTGATGATTGTGGAGGCGAATTGACCCACATCTGCTATAAAACACTGAGTCATAGACTTTATTTTACATTAGCTAACAAAAAAAAGAATCATCAGACAACTCGATGGTGAAAATAATATTTAATTGTATTAGACGTAGTTGCTTTGCAGAGTCTAATTCTCTGTTGCTTTGTTTGTCAGAGGACTACATGCCCCAGTCGTCATCTTCATCTGCAGGAGGAGGAGGTTTGTATCTGGACGCCTATGAGGTCTCTTTTCCCCTGGAGGAGAGTATAGAGAGACCACCTGCCTATCACCTGAACCAGGGCCAGCACATGATGGACGGTACGCCACATCTACTACACATGACCGTATTTATTATGTATCAGTAACAAAATGGGATGATTTCTTCTTCTGTAATTTAGTTGTTTTTTTTTTTGTTTTTTTTTTACATTTTCTGTTTTTCATCTCACTTTCTATTCTCTCTTTCATGTCTCTGAATACTTCTTCCTCCTCCTCCTCCTCCTCCTCCTCCTCCTGCAGAGCCCATGGTGCCGGAGCTTCCTCACTCTCAGTACAGCCCTTTCATCCTGGTCTCTAACCTGCGGGCTCACCTGTACGTGGCCCTGGAGAAGAACGCCTGGCTGCAGAAGCGCATCGAGGAGCTGGAGGAGGAACGCAACTTCCTGCGCTGTCAGCTGGACCGCTTCATCGTCAGCATGAGGACTCCAGAGGGTGAGGTGTCGAGTCATGTGATTCATCAGGAGAATGGAATATGAAGGGAAAACGCATAAAACCCTTCGGCGTCCTCAAAAGCAGCGCGATGCGTGATGATATAGAAATATCAATCTGGATCTCGCACTATTTTCTTTTTTTTCAGCTTTTTCTTTTTATTCACACAGGCAAATAATCACTTTTTAATTGTATTCTGATTATTATCAGAGTGGTGTGGAGACACCCAGCGGAGCGTGAAGGTCCAGCCTTCTAGCTCTCCCTCGCCCCCCTCCCCCATGACCACCAGATCTGGAATGACCCTCAAACGCCTGCAGGGACCAGGACCTCGGTCTCGCCGCAGCACCGCCATCCCTGGTGAGGAATGACATTAACTGTCTTTTCCCACATCATTATGTCACAGAAATATTTAACTCTGCATGACTTTTCCACGGCTGTAGTCAAGCAGGAGTTTCATCTGGAAGAAGACAATTACTACACTGAGGACGAGTACGTGGAGGAAGAGGAGGAGGAGGAGGAAGAAGATGACTCGTCTGTAGAGAAGGGGTCAAAGAAGAAGGGGCGAGGACGAGCCAGCGGAGAGCCGAGGATGAAGATGAGGAGGATCTTTAGGATCACCCATGGGAGGGAGAGACAGAGAGGTGAGTGCTGAAGTGTTAGTGCTGAACCGATAGATACTGTATTATGTGGTGATGTAGTAATCCGTGCCGACAGTGTCCATCTTCCTTTGTTGAAATTTCACCAAAGCTCAATTAAATTCCCCCGTGACTCTCGGTCGGTCCACCCCCGGTCTGAAACTTCCCCCTCCGCTCTTCCTCATCTCCCCCCAGTTAAAGACCCAGACGGCGTTTTGATTCGTTATAAGAAGATCCTGTCCACCTACCAGAGGGTGAGGAGCATGTCCCGAGCCTTCCAGATCCACGGAGTCGACCGGAACACCATGGCCTCCACCTCCCCCATCGCAGAGCTGCTGCTGGTGGCTCCAGAGAAGGTCTGAACTCTTCTTATAAAACCTCCTTTATATCCTGTTCTCATATTCCCAAACATGTATTACTTTTTTGACACATGCATGTGTTATGTATAACAATACACACTGAGATGCACACTTTCTTTTCTGTTGGGGAGCAGATCTGGTAGTGGTGTGTTAACACAGTTGAAAACAGATGGAGACAATTTTGAAACTTTTCCCGTGTTGTAGGCATTTAGTTTATCCAGCACTACAAAATTAATTCAAAGTATAAAATGAATGTATGTTTGCTTTGCTCCATGCATCTTCAACCTTACCTGTGGCTTGGTTTGTGCCTAATTTGTACATTGCTTTTGACAAAAGCAATGAACAAAATTCAATACTATTCAGTTCAGGTAGACACAGTTCAACTCTGTTGAACAGTTCAGTTGAGAAAATGAAAATGTCCATGTTTGATTATAGATCAGGTCTAGGTTCTATATCAATACTGTGAAAGTATCAAAGCCTCAGTCCACAGAGAAATGCACACAGCCTGTATTCAGAAACTGAGCCTTAAAACCAGCTGTCAGGACTTCTGTAACTTTGTGATGTCACAACAAAGCAGTCACCGCCCTCAGCTTTCCCCCCATGGCCCACCTGGACCCACCATCCAACCTTGCACGATTTGGTTTCTCTGAGTGTTCACCTGAAATCAGGATCACTCAGAAAACAGAGAGGCTCAGAGCCTCCTCTCTTCTGATTGTCTTAGCGACCTGTTGTTACTAAAGCTCCAGAGAGAAGCCTGAGAGAGGAGATATAAAACTGCACTGAGATGGTTTTTGGTTCTTAAAACCACAAATATATCTTCTTATGGATCGATACTTCAAATAAAACAAAGAAACTGTTAAATATGGAGCTATGGACAGTGTTTTTTTTGTTCTCACAAAATCTGGTGCCAAATCTGTCTCCATAGACTGTACTGTAATTTACAGTGTGCTGCACAAAAAAAAGCAAATGATCACAATGTGGTTATTTGTTGTCATATGTTGTTATGTGGATTTTGTTGACCACCAAGTGGCAGCAGAGACATGGAACTGTTCAGAAATATCTTTTAGGTTGGATGCTCTCAATCACAGGGTTATAGCAAACTGACTGAACTTTCCACATTGATGAAGTGTGCTGATGTTCGTGTAGGTGACAGAAGTCGGAGAGTTCGAGGCATCAAAGGAGAAGCTGTTGGATTACGCCCGGCGGTGCTACAAGACCATGGACGAGCAGACGCATGCGAAGGTCCAGGCCATGAAGAAGACTCACAAACTGCTTCCCATCTCCTACAGGTTCAGAAACTGACGGGGACGCCAGGTTTCTACACTAAACATGCAGAATGTTTATTTAATAATCATTTGCTTTAAGTGAGGAGATTAGATGCTAAATTGCAGGATTGACTTAGTTTGAATACAGTGTACAGAATCATCGCCAACAAGCTGCTTGACTTATATAAATATCTTTCATTTTTATTTTTATTTTTTGTGCAGCTGTTTAGGTTGGTAAGGAGGTTTTTTCTTTTTTCTTTTTTTTCTGGAAGTCTAAAGTTACTGGGCGACACATAATGTTAACAGAAGATGACTGATTTTCACACCTGCTGACATTTTACAGAGCAGGTGTCAAAGTGCTAAATGAGTAAATTTGTTTATTTTGGACAAAAACTGTTTAAGATGTGAAATAATATTTTTGTTCTGTTCTGTATGAGTATTTACAGATCCCTGACATGACTGGCCCTCTTTTTTTTTTCTTTTTGTTTTTCTATTAGATGAGAGAGGAATATTTATTATTTATGTATGATTATGTATTTTGACACAGTATTTTGTAGTTTATAAATGACTATTTTGTGAAACATTAATATGCATCATTGAAAGAGATATTTGTTTGTTCATACATCTTGTGCCTAAGTTATTTATTTAATTTAAGTTGGACAGAATGATGCTGTAGTGTTTTCAATTGTATGATATCAAAAAGTTTAAAATGTCATATAATGAGACAAAGTAAATGACTTTAAATGTACGATTTTTTTGGTGGTTTTGTGCAGCCAGGACTTGATTCATGAAATGACCAAAGAGTGAAGAGTGAAAATGAAAGAATGAATATGGCCTTTTGAGTCCAGCATTCAAATGAGAACATGAGAAATAACGGCACTGACTTCTCTAATCTGACCTCTGTTTCACATTTCAAGCATCTAGCTTATGCTCCCATTGAGAAACTCTTGAAAGAAGTTAAGTGCAACAGTATGACTGTATTCCTCAACATACAGGGATTTAAACAGTTGATTCATTCAAACAATTTACATGTTGAAGTAATTGTTTATGACCTGAGATCATAAAAAAGCAATGAGACTAACAGACTTTTGCTGAAAAGGTCTCATTTATTATACAGGTACGGCTGTGTTCAATGATATCATTAATAGCAGTTTCCGGACTGCAGCGCCCTCCAGTGGAAGAAAGGAGGAATGCAACATGTCAGTTAAGACAAACTGCAGCGATAGAGGATCAGAGAGCCCTGATTGATGGTTTCTGAAATTATAATTTGGAACCAAAACACTATGAATCTTGGGATGTGCTATATTTTTATGTATTCATTTATTTTAAAGAGATTTTCAACTTTTTGTTTTTATTATTTATTAAGATGGGCCTTTATCCAAATATATAAAACACAGTAACATAGTAAAATTACCATGTGATCATTCATGACTGATCACATAGAAAAGCTGTTTTTGTTGTTTTTTTTTGTACCTCTGTGGGTACATAGTTCCACATATTGAACCCCTGGACAGATGAAGTATTTGTAGTACTTGTTGAACAGACATTTTAACGCAGAATGAGTCTCTGTCTGGCTTGAAACTGCAGGAAAGCTTTTCAAGAAATATATTTATACATGTAAACACATATTTATATGCATATATAAAAACACATTTTCAAGTGGATACATTCTAGGGCCAAGCCTATGTGGACATCCCTGTCCAAATACAATTGATTTGGGTTGTTTTTTCCCTTTTGGTCTAGGTCAGTTTGTTCCTGTGAAGAAATCTCAATAGTATTTGCTTCATCTTATATTTTAGACAGATGTGTTCTTCCAACTTTGTGGCAGCAGTTTGTGTTTGTCCCTTCATTGTCTGAACCTGACCATGCCCCCGCGAACAAGGCCAGGTCCATAAAGAAATGGTTTTCCCAGTTTGTTGTGGGAAGAACTCATGGTCTGCAGAGACCTCTGACCTTCACCCCATCTAACAGCACTGACTGTGACCCAGGACTTATCACCTAACATCAGTGCTGGACCTCACTAATGCTCATGTGGCTGAATGGGAGTAAATCCCTGCTGCCAGGATCCAATCAGAAGAGTGGAGGCTGTTGTGGCAGCAGATTAATGCCGATGGCTTTGTAATGAAATGTTCAACAGTCACATATGAGTGTAATCTTCAGGTGTCCTCATACTTTTGGCCATATGGTGAGAATAATATTGTTGAAATAAGACTTGCATTGCATTTGGAATCTATTGATATGCTAATTTCATTTAAATGTATTCAAACAGATGCCATCTGTATTTTGTATGCATTAAGAAATACAGTGATACTGGGTCAGCACGTGATCCTATGACCTATGGGGGGTCAGTGGAGCATCTGTCAGCACAGTGAAGCCTTTAAAATCTGATCTGAATATAACTGGCTGTTTTCATCAATCACAGTGACATAAATAGGTGATTTTCATGAATCATAATGAGGGTCAGTGACTGCAGGTTCAAAACCAAACAGCCAATTATGAAACTTATATTTTCTTCAGTCACCTCATTATGACTCCACATGGGAATGACATCGGTCTTTCCTAGGAGGATGAGAGGACGTTGGAAACATCACAGTGTTGCTGACAGTGTGTTTTTACAGGCATCAGGACTGGAGGTCACAGTCACAGGTCACTGGACGACTTGTTCATTCATCCATTCAGTACTAGTTCAGGGAAGTCCGGTTGAAGGTAAGTAAAAAGTAAAAATACATACATTTAATACAGAATATTTAGAAATGAAGTAACCTAAATACATGTTTATTTTACAGTGTAACATTTTTGTTGTTGGAAAAAAATTGTGATAAATGAAACCTCCAAACAATTAATTTAAATAAAAAAAGAAAAACAGATAACAGTGGATTGTTTTATTCTAAAGCCAAGTAGGGTTACAGACCTATCTATGATTTATGAAATTAATGTAACCATGAAAAAGAGCAGCAGCAGCTTCATCCCATGTGCAATAAAACTGCTGACCGCAAATACAACATGCACACACACACAAGCACATAGACCTATATAGACCTGGATCACTCCAAACCACTCACTCACTGCATTGCACATCTGTATTACATCATCTGGCACAGGTCACTTTTATTTACTGTTAAATTCTGTGCTACCTCTTCTGGAACAAGGCACTTCGTTTTTCACAGTAAACTCGGTCCTTGTATTTCTATTATGTCATAATGTGTCATATTTATTGTAGTGTATTTGTTGTTTTCCTGTTTCTAATTTGTGTAGTAAGTGTATTTATCGTTTTATTGTCTTTTCATTCTGCCATACGTGTGATAATGTATGGTTGAAATGACAATAAAGCTTGATTTGACTTGATGTGAAAACAAACAGTCAAGTAATTAATTGAGAATTTTAATTATTAGCAGGACATTCTGCCATGTAAGTAAAAACAGAAAAGCGATAACCTTGTCAGATAAGCACATCATTATGACGTAAAATCATGCAGGGATAAACTCAACTTCCCAGAGCACAACGCGGCAGCAGAAGGGGGGGTCTGGGGGGCTTTCACCTTTGCCATCTGTCCAATCCTAGTGCGAGTTGTACGGGAAGTAGTAAAACCAGCCTCTCTTGACGGACAGTAGGCTTCATCAAATAGAAGTGCAGGAGCGGCCGCAGTGGGCCAATCACAAGCGAGGTGGGCGGGACTCGTGTCCAACAGGGCATCGGAGGAGGAGGAGGTGTTCCTGGTAGCCATCTTGGATGTGCGGAGTGATTGTTTAGCGAGAAGAATTGTGAAAATTTTTAGAAAATAAGCCTTTATACTGAATCGCTGAAGATTTACCAGAGTGGGGCGACTGAGGAAAGGAATCGTAACTCGGAAACATCCAGGTAAGTGGGCTGCAGAGCCAAAGGTGATGGATTTCTGTGCCGTCCCCCCCTTTCTCTCCGCCTCTCTCTTCTTTCCAAATTGTGTCTCCCACATCAAACAGCGCAGCCGGTGGGAAACTGCAGCTCTCCACGCTGCTGGAGTCCGTGTTTTTGCTCTTAAAACGAGGAAACACAACTTCTTGTGCAGAGCCGCGGTGTGTAAGCTGAGTACGGAGTTTGTTTTTGAAGTGTATCCGCTCGGAGGTTTTTGCCCGCGGGCTGCAGTTGGCACCAATGATACCCGCGTTGTTTATAAACATCCCCGGATAACGAATGTGTGACCCTCGGTCCAAAAACACTGCTCGGTTGTTTATGTGTAGTTTTTCGATTTGACTGTAAAATACCGTAGGAACAGGCTGTGAAAGTGTCCTCAGTTAATACAGATCTGAGCACCTGTTTGGAAAAGATATGATAAAGCCAATATAGACAAGTTTTTGTTTATATTAAAGTCGTGTTAATCAATATATAGTGTAATTACCAAAATATAACATGTATATAAACTGTGTGCCAGAGTTTGATGTCTTAGTTTCAAGTTTATTTCTCAGTTTATGTGTGAAATAGCACAGTCAAACTGGCAAAACAAATAATCAACTCATAAACATAAAATATAAATATAAACATATGTTTGTTGACACAATCAAAAAGTAGTTTAGGTTTTACTTTGGAGTAGAATAAATAATTGCTATATTTCTTTATGGTTTATTGCAATGTTATCTAGCACATTATTGATACCAGTATCACAAAAATCAGGGTGATATGAACACAATTTTTTTCATATCTTTATGTATTTTTGACATTTTTAGCCTTATTTGACAGCAACAGGAAAGAGGTGAAAGCAAAGTGAGAAAGGAGAGATAACACAACATAAACCAGGGATGTTGCAATCACATGGGCAACATCTCACACCCTGAGCCTAGCAGGGCATCTCCATATGACAAAATTAAAGAATAGGTTTGGCAATATTCTATATTTTTCTTGCCAACAAAAGCCACAGAAAGACCAATATCAATAGTCAGAATTGGTGTGTGTACTCAGTTGCTTGTAACTAGCTAAAACCTGGCAATGTATCCCAACTTTATGAAAGTTATAAAGTTCTTTTTTGTTTGTTTAAAATGTTTTTGATTTCAGTTTCACAGTTTGTGGTGCTGTAGCTAAAACTGCAGCCCTGCAGTAAACCCTACCCTTGTGTTGTACCCTTCCTAATATTTAGTCTACACTCACTGACATGTGTGGGGTGGATACAATTTTAAAAACATATCTTAATGCAACACAAAAAAACACCTTTGTATAAGACTGCATTTTAGCAGGGTGTATTTAAGTAAAGTAAATTTAAGTGTTTCCTCTCAAGTAATCGCAGACAGATTTGAGTAAAATGAAATACAAGACATGATATCCTAATATGAAAAAATGGGAGTAGTAAGTAGAAATATATAGTATCATGTTGTGGGTTTTCCTCTGATTGACACAGATATTTAAATAACATCAGTATTCATGAAGTCAGATTCAGTGGTGCAGGTTCCCCTTCACAATATCCCTGCTGATATCTGCACATAAGGTCTGAAATGTATTGTTACACAAAAGACACAGACAGTAATGTGAAACCTTCATGAGATGCAGTTGGTGTTTTTATTTCACGGTTATGTGTCCTTCAGTTGAGTGTTTTGATATCAGGTCCATGTATAAAGCCACTTAAACTTACTGTTGCATCCACATATTGTTATCTCAGTGCTGTTACCCAAGGCAGGAAACAATGACAGATAATAAACTAGCAAGTTACACTTTTAAAAACACAGGAAATTAAGAAAATCTTAAAGCATAATGTTAAAAATGACTCTGTGTGAGTCCAAACTAGGTGTAGTAAGTAGTAAAGAATCAATTTTAAAATTACTGGTATTTTCTTTTGAGCGTTCCTGATCATATTCAAATTAGACAGTCAGCTGCTCCTTGATAAACATATATAAAATGCATCACAGGATTTCTGTTGGTGTATATAATTATAGAAGTGTTAAGTTATACAATAAATGGATAATAGATAAAGCTACAGCCAAAATAGTCATCCGGCAAGGACCCCTGATGGACCCAAGGGCACCAGTTGGGAATCAAAGATAACAATGATAACACCTTTAGCTGAACTGAGGCGTTTTATTTGTTCTTCTGTAACCAGTAGTTTTCCTCAGGGTATGTGTCAGGACAGCGTTATAGACTCTAGATTTCTGCAGCTGCAGCATGGTCAGAAATGCCTTTGTTTAATGGCCTGTGTCCCAATATGATAACTGGCCCCACTGTTGACCTGCTGCCAGTTTGTGCCTTAAAGCTGAGATGGCATATTGTCCCTCACCTCAGACTGCTCGTTTAAAATGTCTTCTCAGCGTGTGCTCCTCTTCTCATCAACAAACATACTCTGCGTGACTTTGAATGCAACGTAGTTGCTTTTTGGGTCTAGAGGATCCAAGCCGAACTTATGCCTGTGAAATTCCAATTTTAAGTGTTGCTCGGTGGATCAGATGCACTAGAGAAGGAAAGGTCGAGCAGAACTTCTTTACTTCATTAGTAAAGGTCTATATTTACATTTTTGCAGTGGAGAAAGGAAACATTAAACACCCCATTTGAGACCTGCCGTTCTCTGTTGTAGGCCCTACAATAAGACACGTTAAGGTCATGAATCACATACAAAAGATAACTCTGGAGATAATATCAGTTTTTATCTGCTCAGCTTTGCAGTAGATGTTCTTGAGTTAGTATGAAATATGATATGTAGTTCAACAATTAAGTAAGCTGTTCTGCCGGCCCGTCTCATCACTTTCTGATAGCAACTCACTTTAGCCTCCAATCTGCCCTGAAGATGCAGCACCGCTCAGAGGATGTATTATAACCTCTTGTCTTGTAAACGCAACAATGGCCGAAGCTCTTGTTGAGCTCCCAGCACGAGGCCACATTACAAAAAGCCCCTTTTAAATGTTTTTATTTTACTCAGTAACGTATCTAAACCACAGATATTACTTTGTTTAACGTCTGTAAGGCTTTCACATCATATTTTGTCACTGCTCTGTGACGCTCATTAACCCTGTCCTGACTCATGTTTCCTTTTGCTTCGAGGGAAAACATCATTTTCTCCTCACTTGGAGGCTGTGCTCCAGACGCAGTAGCCATAGACATTAAAGTAAAAACAAAACAGTTGAAATAATATTAATTCTGCTTCAGCAGTCAGCAGATTTTCTGCCTGCACATTGCACTCAACATTCATTGTGGTACTGCTACAGGTCACAGAATCTGATGGGTCACAAAATACAGTGTAACACCAGCAGCACAGGCCGAGGCTCGAGCACTCAAGTTATCAAAAATGAAAACAGATCTCATTTTAACATGATGGGCAGTAGATCAATATTAAAGCAGGGGAATGAAAGATTCAATAAGAGATTTGTTAGCCATGATGCTCAGGCAATCCTGTTATTTTACCAACTTGGAGTCAGCCCTTCAGTAAATTCAAAAATTCCATGATTTACATCAGTGTCAGTGTCCCACATCAGCTGATAGGGTGCAGTTTAAATTCATATCATCAGAACCCAGCATGGCTACACGCATGAAATGGCGTCACATGCAGCAAGTTCAGACTTGTTCTCTGAAAGTTGTTGAAAAACAAAAAATTATTAGCTGACGTAGAAGCTGAGCAGGCAGGTTTAAGCGAAGTAGGTCCACCAAATCAGTTGCCTGAAATTACACCTGAAATAAATGTAACAACACAGACACATGAAAGAAGAATCGTCAGGATGTTTAATTTAGTTGCAGCTTCAGATTCCTGTAGAGACATTGGGGAGGATAAAGGTCAAACTTAACTGCTGAGCTCTGGAGTTGACAGGGGTTCATGTGTTGCTCAAAGACACTACAACAGGCCAGCTACCTGCTAATAAAGAGGAAAATGGCCTCCACATTTCTCTCTGTATGTCCCACATCCTTCCTCTTCACCACCTTTCCATCACTCTCTTCATCTTATTTGTTCACTTTTTTTTTTATTGCGATTTGACAGTTTCTTTTTATCTTTGCATGTTTTTTTATGTTAAATTCTTTGTCTCATTTTGTAAAATATACAGCAGTGTTAATGAATGTGCATTGTCCCTGTCTAAATACACGATAAATACACAAATAAACATTTGTTTGTCTCTTTTTTTCTGCAGTGAAAGAAGGCATGAAGACAACATCCTAGTCATCAGTCATGGCCGATAAAAGGAAACTTCAAGGTGAGCTTTCTGACTGAGTGTATGTGTGTGTTTGTGTGCGTCTTCAAACAGCTGAGCTGATGCTTATATGCACAAGGATTTGTTGTGGTCGGATCAGGTGCCAGGTGGGTGAGGTTTACCACAAATTATAATAGAGGAAATGCCAAGATCACAGAGGAGCTTTTCACAGTTGCTGTAATTTCTATTGCTGTGATTGGAAAGTCCCATCGTAGCAACTCCACCTATGTGTCACTCTAAATAAGTTCAAAAATGTTTGCAGCGTAAGTGTGATCACACCTTCTGCTGCCTGGTTATTGTGTCTTTTGCTTCGCAACCTGACGTGGACAAATATCCTTTGGTGCATTTCCGCATTTAGTTTCACGCTGCTTGGGTTAAAAGAGAGCTGTGGCTTGTAAACAAAAGTCACATGCGCTCACAAGTAGCTTGTTTACTGAGTTGTGTAAGCTGTCATCCTGCCAGGTTAGAGGTTTTTGGCTCCAGAGGGAGTCTGAATTAAATCTGATTTTGCTTCCTGTAGCTTCAGGTACAACATGATGCACTTGCACAAGAGCTTTTGTGCCACGTTCTACCTCCTCCGGTGTTCGACGTAAATGAAAACACATGATGAAAAGACTGAAAGGAGCAACGGTGCAGATTGTCCTCAGATGAATTTGTTAGTCGCTGATTTTCAGTGTCTCTTTCTGCGTCCATATCAGGCTGCGTCTCTGCTCTAAAAGCACTGCATTTTATATCCTATCCCGCAACAAAATGCACCATGATTAGCTTAAAAGAAACTTGCATTTTCAAGGGTTCATCAACTGGCTCAACAGAATTAAAGGAGAAAAATCTCCAGTTTAAATCAGGGAACCTTTAAAGGACGATGTCATTTTCTTTACATTTTTAAGCTCTTTTACTACAAATCACAAATTTTGTTGTACTTACACAACTTTTAAGTTCAGGAGCTACTGGTGTGGTGCTTTATAGAGCTGAAACACGCTTTCAATTGGAGCCATACTGATACCACAGATGTGATTTAATTTAAAAACGGATGAAATGTCGCAAATTTCCTGGAAGGCAGTCGTAGCGTTTCACTCAGTCGGTCACATGAAAAGTGACAGAAATACTTGTGTAAAGAATGAAAGAAGACGAGAGAGAGAGAGGCTGCTTTCTCACCCCTGCACAGCGGTGTGACGTGTGTGTGAATGTTGGGTCCTCGTTGGATGCACAACTTTTACTGGGGTCTCAACTCTTATATATATCATATAGAAATATATATCATTTCTGGACTCAGTGTGATACTTACTTAATGGCCTTGATACATGTTGATACTGTTATTGACCATAAGCTTACTATGAAACCTCACAAGGTTTACATTAAAAAAAAAGCTGTCCAAAAGTGTCACAGTGCTGAACAAAGTAAAACAGATGTTGGACACCAGGACACTTCATGTATTTTACCTTTAGTTCCTGTGTAGAGGTGTGGGACAACCAGGTTGGTGGTATAACCGTTTCATCAGCGTCACGTTCAGACACAACATGGATTTTGCAGCACCATCATTATCATGATAAACACACACACACACAAGGGAGATCTACTTCCCACGACACCTGATGACCTTTCACACCCACAGGTAACGTACACACTATAGGCTTAGTTGACTTAATGCAACAACTATCAAGCACAATTTAAGTTAATGTACAGATCAAAGATCAAGCACAGATCAAGATTGAACAACAATAGAATGAATAAATAAAGAACCATAACTACACAACACTATGTGCTGAATAATGTACTTTAAAATAGTAAGAATATACTATGGTACACTGTACATTAGTGCAAGAATATAATGTCAGACATGAACGTAACTGCGGGCGGCTGTGGCTCTGGGGGTAGAGCGGGTCGTCCACTAATCAGAAGGTTTGTGGTTCGATCCCCGGCACGTTAAATTGTCCTTGGGCAAGATACTTAACCCCAAATTGCCTCTGATAGTTGCCATTAGTGTATGACTGTGTGTGTGAATGATAGAAGCACTCTGTGTGTAGAAGTAAGCACTGTATGACTGTGTGTGTGAATGGGTGAATGTGGCTTCCATTGTAAAGCGCTTTGAGTGGTCGATAAGACTAGAAAAGCTCTATGTAAGTGCAGTCCATTTAACATCCAACCGTAGCTCACAGTCAAGCAAACATGCAAATGTAGTTACAGTCCTGTGTTTCAACAAGAGACATGGAAGTGAAGATTAAACATTCAAACATTTCAAGTTTTATTTTATGAAGGTAGATTGTTGTTATACTCTTGATACTGTGTCAGAGCAGCTCATGATACCTCTGGTCGGGATGCCTCGATTGATCCGACACCGTTCATCAGTGGCTGATTTTCATTAAAAATATGTGATTGGTGGATCGACATTAATGCTCCTAGTCACCGATCACCTGTGGTTAATACTCTGGTGTCTGCGGCTGAGAGAAGCACTCTGCTGTGTGGTGTAGTCCCGCCTCCCACCTTGTTCACTGTGCAGGACGCGCCACAGGCCACCAAAACAACTCAACATGTCGGCTGTGTGGAACTTTTACAGTGTGTGTGACTGATATAACATATGCCATCTGCAATGCATGACAAAGGTGATCGGTATCGGCTGTGGATCAGCCGATCTCACACACGGATGATCGGTATCATTATCAGCAGCAAAAAAATTAGATTTCGGCATCTCTAAACATAGTAGAATGAAAAAAGATAAAACCACATTACACTTTACAATAATAGGAATGTACTATAATATACTGTATATTAGTGCAAGAATATAATGTCAAAAATACTCATGGGCTCTGGTGAATGTAACTAGCTCACAGACAAGCAAACATGTACTTATAGTCTTGTGTTTCAACCAAGGTGATTAATATTCATTGAACTGAATATTAAAGATTCAAACATTAAGTTTCTGACAAGTTTTATGTCATGAAGGTAGATTTTGTTACACTCTTGATACTGTGTCAGAGAAGCTCCTAATATCTCTGTGTGAATCAGGACATTTAGGCCAGTGCAAACCAGTGAGCAGGACTGCTTTGTGGATTGTAATATTGTGATGCGGACAGGTGGAACAGTGAAGAAGAGACGCTCCTGTCAAATGTTTATGTCAATGAGCAGTTCATCTGTTGATAATATATATATATATATATGTATATTTATATTAGTATTAATGTATTAAATGAGTAATTTCACAACACCACACCTCTGTTTGAAGGTGTGTGTTTGTTTTCTTTTGCTGTTTTGCTTTAACACTTCCTCTTTGTGCTTAGCGTGACATTGAGTCCATGTGTGTCGGCAGACATCTGTACTAAAGTAGTTCATGATGCTGGCACACTTTCACAGACAGACACACTTTGTTTTTATTGAGAAGAGTCAGGATCTGACTCCTCTGCCTCTCTCTCTCTCTCTCTCTCTCTCGCTGCTTTTTATTTTAAAACTTTAAACAGTGTGACGCTGACGTTGACTGATGTGTCCAACGGTTCACAGTACTCTGATGACACCCAGCATCTGAACACTCACCACAACAAGCCTCATAACCCGACCCAGAGCTTTGTGTATAGACAGAAAACCTCGAGGCTCCGCTCTGTCCCGCAGAACATTTTCCTCACTGTTCTTTACTTTGATGTTATTTTCAACTGACATTTGTCACCGCAGGCTGAAAACACACTTTTTGACAGGATTCATCCTCGATGATTCTCCTGTCAGCGTCACTCATTTCCTCAAATGGCGCTCCTGTGACTTCCCCCACTGAACGGCTGTCATATTAAAAACAATACACACACGTATCTCCCCTTAAATCTCCTCATTCAGAAGAAAAGATGGAGCGCAGGCGCCAGCTCAGCTCTGTCAAATTGTAATGTATTATTACAGAGGAGGTGGACTTTCATCTAAAAATAACACAATTGCAGAAGTATCTTAACATCAAGGCTGTTTAAGGTCAGACAACTTGGGTCGTTCTCGTCGGTGCTGGTTGTTGCATCTTTCCCCATCACTCCTCGTTTCTTTGTCAGTAACCGCACAGTTGATTGAATATCAATCAGAACGATGTAGAGATGATGTTTGAGACAGGAGCTGAAGTTGGAAGAGGTTGTCATTGTTTTTAAAGCGCTGGAAGGGTTTTTCAGTCTTGTGAATAGGACCTCTGCTGCTCTGCAGAATCTCAAAATGTCATTTTGTCATTTAGCTGCATGTAAAAAAAAAAAAAAAAAAGACTTTGAACTCTTAAATGAGCTGTTTGTTAGTTTTGCTATTGCTACATAGCTAACGGTAGCATTGGCAGTGTACTCACCAGTCGAGAAACGTTGAAGTTCAGCATCAGTCTTCATTCCTTCACTCACCAACAGCTGTTTCCAGGGGCGGAAAGCAACAGCGTTGCATGCTAAACAGCTAGCCACGGCCCGTCTCGTCCCTTTCCGATAGCGACTCACTGTAGCCTCCAATCTGCCATGAGCTCTTAGCACCGCTCAGAGGGCATATTATAACTTCTTGTCTTGTAAATGCAACAATGGCCAAAGCTCTTGTCAAGCGACAATCACCCTAACCCGCTCCAGACAAGAAACCATGTTACAAATAGCTCCTTTAACACCGACGTGTCCAGTTTTAAATTAGGTTTAAAACTGTCCTAATTAGTCTGACCAGTTCTAAATTTCTGTGTTGATATCAAGAGTGAAAGAAGAATAATAATATTTATATATTTACAGGCAGCGATAGTCAATATTGTAATATTTAAAAGTCAGTCTAACTGGTAATTAATTATTTAAAGTGAAAACTACAAATAAAATCCAAACAAATAAATTAAACATGAATTCAGATGAATGCATCTGGGTCTTATATTGGTGATAAGATGTATCAGTTGGGTGCGTCTGTCTCCTCTCAGCAGCTGTTGTTTTGAACTTTCTACCTTTTCATACACAGAAACAAACTGATGATTGTGTCGACGTAACAAATTCACATTATGCTACTTTCACTCTCGAAAATATCAGGATTACAAGCTCAGAGAAATGTATAATACAGCAAATTGGGATTTTTTCTTTTGTGATCTGCAGATTGCAGATGTGTGATGTTTATATGCAGATGTTGTTGTTACGATCCTTCCACATTTATGACAGATTGTCTCTGTTCATAAAAAAACAAACAGTTTCCGCTTTTACTGCTCAGACTGCAGTCACATAGTAAAGAATCAGATTTGATCAGATGTAGGAGTTAGAGCTACAACTAACAATTACTGTTGTTATTTATTAATCTGACAATTATTTTTTTAATTAATCATTTAGTTTATTTAATGTCAGAATATAGTGAAGAATATCTGTCTGAGTTGCTCAGTGCGCAGGACGACGTCTTCAGGTGTCTTGTTTTGTCCGGGATTCAGTCAAACTGTAAAGATTTTCAGTGTAATATGATATAAAACAGGAAATCTCACTTTAACAATTAATCAGTTATCCAAATATGATTAGTTTTCTGTCCCTTGACTAATTTTTGATGCTCTAACATAAGAGTATATCAGAATTCAGAAATCAAATGATGATTTCCATTTTTTTTTTCTCGATTCACTCTTCACTAAAACCATCTATTCTGTTGAGTCTCAGTGATCCAGGTCAGACGTGATAAAATAGCATAAAAACAACCTTTTTCCTGTTTACGTTTAATAGCAAACGACTAATCTGTGCCACATGATGCGAGGAAAACATCAATCTGGGACGTGGTGGTGATAACAAAGCTTGTCTCTTCCTGTCAGTCCCTCATCTGTTTACGACTGCTCTGCCATCCACCAATCATGGAGCGGCAGATATAAGATTTCAGGAGTGTGTGTGTGTGTGTCTGTGTGTGTCTCTGTGTGTGTCTGTGTGTGTGTGACCTCTCACTTACAAGTTTAATGCACCTTTTGATGATTTGCATATTTCATGAGATGTCAGCCACAATTTGCTAAAGCCCCGCTGCTCTATGGTGTGTTTGTTTTCCTGTGTGTCTGATCTAAAATGCAGCTTCACTGTGGTACCAAGATTATTTTTACTCTCAAATCTGAACCATGGAACAATTTAAAAAGATGTTTCCTGTTTTTTACTCCAGATTATCAGTTGATCTGCTTCTGTAAACTCACCCTGGATGTTACGATATGTTCATATTCACTCATTTCACTGAAGCCTTTTGTTATTCTGCTGCTTTTCTCGTCTTCCAGGTGAAATAGATCGATGTCTGAAAAAAGTAGCGGAGGGAGTAGAACAGTTTGAAGACATCTGGCAAAAGGTAAGAAAGGGTTGTGCGAATAACGGTTATCCTCAGTACCGATTAATCTGCTGATTATTTTCTCAATTATTTTGTCATCAGAAAACAGTTAAAAAAAAAAAATGTCAGCGAGCACAGTGTGATGTCATTAAATTAGTTTGTTTTGTGTGACCATTAGTCCAAACCACAAAAATGCTCAATATACTGTTAAATTAAATTAAGAATAGCACCAGATTTTCACATTTCAGAACCTTGAACCATCAAAATTTTGACATCTTTACCAGAAAACCAACTTAACCGCTCTTTCCAACAACTAATCGATTAATCTGGTAACTGACTGATTGTTGCAGCTCTGCGAATGATTATTTTCACTATTGTTTCATAGATGATTGTTTTGATAAGATGACAGTATACACAATAATAATATAGTCAATAATGCTCACTGCCCACCCTTTTTCTGATCTGACAACAGTTGTCAAGAATTATTTTTAACAATTTTTTTCTTAAAATATGAGGTAAAACGATTCATCGATCATTAAATTATTGCCATATAATTTCCTGTCAGTCAGGGAGTACACACTGACAACATGCTCGTAATTTGGACTGTGAATGGGACATTTGTCAAGTAACCAACATTTAGACCGTTAACAGGAGTGTGTATATGTTTTTGTGTTAATCCTACCACTTTGTTCAGTTCGTACAATTTACTTTGCCGCTATAAATGAATCATTTTCCTGCCCTAAGGTTCATTTTTCCAGTGTCTTTAGCTGGGACTAATGCCTCTGCAGTCATAATAGTTAAATAAACGCTGCCATTACCACAGCAGGATGTTCAGTCCTCATGATACTTATAATAAACTGAGTGAATACAGCTGTTATTAAAACCTGAGCTCACAGCAGCCCGGAGGCCCACAGTGTAGATCTGTTAATAAAGAGGCAGAAAGTCATTAGTGGTTCAGTTACCAAAGATCCCAGTCGCCCTGTTTCCTTCATTACATCCTGTATTTATTATGTTGCTGCAGTTACACCTGTCATCAGAGTGCGAGAGGATGAAATCCACTGACTCTCTGGAGGCTTGAATCACTCAGAAATGTTCATGTTCTATTTGTTACTTTTAGCATTTCTGGTCTATTTTGTGACTTATTAACTTCTTTTTTTTTCTCCACAATTTAATCATGTGACCTTTGCTACTAGAGCAAACTTCTTTATAAACACTTGTGTACCTCTCGTGTGTTTGTTATTTTTTCCTAATTCCATACAGTGTGATATATTTTTAACTCAGACATTAATAATTGTCTTAATAATAATAGCTTAATAATAGCTTTTTCTCCCAGTTCAGATTGATAGTGTTTTGGACCAGAACTTGTCACCTGTTTGATCTTTCCTCTGTTTCATCCACTCTGCAGCTTCACAACGCAGCCAATGCCAACCAGAAGGAGAAATATGAAGCAGACCTCAAGAAAGAGATTAAAAAGCTACAGGTAAAAAGAGAGACGATAGAAATCTGAGAATTAAAGTCTCGCACGTCCTGGGAGAAAAGTTTTCCCACTGAACAGTTGTTGCTCTGTGTAAATCCTGTCAGGGGTTCCGCAGAACTAAATCCGTTATTAAGCTTGTCGACACATCAGCATTTATGTGTTGAAGATAAGAGTTAAATCAGACCAGGTTGAAATTATTCAAAGAAGCACAGTTCTTCAAGTTAAAGAGAAAATAAACTGTGATTGTCGTAAAACCACAATCTCTGCAAACATCTGCCCTGCTGATCAGTTTTTGATGAGTTCACTGTGATGTACAACAAAGAAAAGCACCAGAGCGTCACACGTGTGAGGCAGATGCTTCACGTTTTCACTCAGAAAATGGCTGAAATGATGCATCAATTATCAAAAGTGAAGTGAAGTGATTAATCGACTGATCGTTGCAGCTTTAATGTGTGAATTCAAACAAAGATATCCAGTTACAGATACTTTTTAATTGAAGGTGTGAACGGAGTCATATTTGTAGCCACATCAGCAGGTGAGACAGAAACTTACCCACTTGACCCGAGGTGTCATGTCATCACATTCTGGGCCTTGAAAATGGATGAAAAGACGGAGTTTGTTTGCTGATGTGAAATCATTTAACCTGCCCACAGAGGTGTGTGTGTGTGTGTGTGTGTGTGTGTGGAGTATTAAATATCATCACTGTCAGCCAGAAGCAGTGTGTGTGCTTCATCTTGATGTTACCATGAGGACCAGACTCCAAGCCAAGTCTGTTTGCTGTATGAAGTTCACCATCCATGACTGTTGAAAACGAGTCTCTGCACGTATCACATAGTTCACTCATGTATCTCTCTCTCTCTCTCTCTCTCTCTCTCTCTCTCGCTCTCTCTCTCTCACTGCCTCTCCCAACCATTCTCTCCCTCCCCCGCTCCGTTTCTCTCCCTCTTCTTCTTCTGGTCCCTCAGCGTCTTCGAGACCAGATCAAGACGTGGGTGGCATCCAACGAGATCAAAGACAAAAGGCAGCTAGTGGAGAACCGCAAACTCATAGAAACGGTGAGTAGGAACTGAAGGGGGGAGAGAGGTAGGACACATCATGTTCATTATAGCACTCCCTCCAGGACCCGTGTTAACTCTGGAGGATTGTGTTTGTTTTGAACTCTGGAAAAGTCTGGAAATGTCTCAAAAATATATTTGACAAACTCCAGGTTTGATAAGTGACTGAAGCCTCTGAGAATGATCCTGGAATCATTTGGGAGAGAGAAAAAGTTTTTTGTTTATGATGTTTGGGTAATTACACAGCTCAGTCACTGACACATCAGGTTGCTTACGGTAAGTTTACCAACATGTATTGGACAATATTTGACTTCCAGTAATTAATGGATTTTCACCCACTGATAATACTCAATATACTGGTGTTTTCATTTTGTGTTTCATGGTCCTGGAAAACTTTTGAAGTTCAGCCTTGACTTTGGAAACAGCAAAAACATTATGTTTGTAGTATAAAGGTTATTACACTTTCTAACCAAGTAACTGCAGTTTCACCTGTGTAATTTTCAACTCCTTTTACAGAGAAGAAAAAAACATACATATGCAATTACTAAATACATACATAATAGTGTATGTCAACAGATATTTTATTAGCTTAATTGTCAGTGTGAGAAATTCACCACATAACTTTAAAAACGCCACAAGGCATGAGACAAAGAAGGAAACAACAACAGCTTTTAAAAGATAAGAATACAGTTTACAAAAAATAATAATTCTCTCATAATTTCCTGGTATCAGTTAGTGTGAGAGAGACAAACAGTCAGTTTAATCCTTGAATATTAAACAAACCCCTGTAAAGATCAAAAGTGGCATCAAGATGTTTTTAGTTTCAGTCGTAATGGACAAAAGTGGCTGGAGTCACATTAGATTAGATTATTTAGCAATGGCAGGTTTTCATAGCTAAAAAAAAAACACAGTTCTGGGAACATGTCAAAGAGCTTGTAGAATAATCCTCCCCTCTATGTTTCCTCTGCGTCCTCAGTCTGCACCGGACAGTTGTACTTTCACCATATTTCTACAAGTGCAGCAGCGCTCGCTCTTCTCAGAGCTCAAATAAAAAGTTGTGGAAGCTTCATTTTCATCCAGAATGTACATGAATCTTGCATATTATGTCTTTAAAATGGGACAATTGCAAAAGTATTGAACTGTAAAATATTGTGGTGCATCAAGCATAATGACAGCACAGGTGCCTGAAGCAGAGGTTAAACTTAAACTTTAAAATTCCTGCAGGTTTTGATCCAGAGCTTTCCTCTACTTCCTTCTTTCCTTTTTTAGGTTTGTTCTTTTTTTTAGTCGATTGCCTTAGAAATCTGTAATACTGTCATGTACGTAAAAGTCCACTTTGGTAACTTTCCATCACTTTAACATTCCTATTAATTAAACCCTTATTCAGTTCCTTAAAGCTTTTACATTTATGGTTTTAAACAGTCACACTCTCTGGGAGACATTTCCAGTTTTGTGAAGAATAAACGGAAGAAGAAGAAAAAGAAGAAGAACTGTGCAGGTGCCATGAGCAGTGACAGCCAATAAGACGAACATCTACAGAAACTCAGATTTCAGGAACAAGCAGTTGTTTTTATACAGAAAGTACAGAAGTTGTTTCCAGAATAATTCCTCAGATTAAGCCTTTAAATAAAGAACTGCACTCATCATCGGCGTTCTTCATAGAGAGCTGGGAATCATGGGAGCTGGTCCGATATCTAACACCTGTTCTTAAGCCACTTCCTGTCAGGCAGCTGAGCCACATGAGCCTTTGATGAGGGTTATTGAAATGGACTGAATGCGAGCCACCTGCCTGTACAATGAGGGACGAGAGCGACTCAGCAGGGCTCCCTCTGATCTCCACGAGCTGCTTCTCTACCCGAAGCTGCTCTCCGAGGTTTCCTGTGGTTTTGTCGGTTGACCTGAAATTACACGTTCGGTCGCAAGAGTCCTGCAGGAAGCGGACAGAGTTTTAGAAAGATCTTGTCCCGACAGAAACCACCACGGGAATCAGTCCTCTAAAATCTGTAGTAGAGTTTAGAGCTGCGTCCTCTGGGACTTTAAGGGCCTTGGACATGTCTGAATACAGGCTGGGTGTTAAAATCACTGCTGTGGTTTTCATACAGAGGCTGCAACAACCTTCAGTACCAGACAGTTTATGGTCTTATCCTAATTCTTGTGAACGTGATATCTCAGGAAGTCTTCCAATTTGGCACAAATGTCTTTGTAGAATAAAATGATTAAGTGATGACATTTTATATCTAAACGGTGACATCATAATGTTTCGCAAAAACATGTGTGGCCATTATACGCTGCTAAATCTCAGGAGCAGAGGGGGAGATTGTGACATTGTGAAATTCTGAAATCCAGATCTGCGACGACTGCCAGAAAAATAAGCAGACTTTTTCTTTTTCTCATAGAAAATAAAAATAACAACCCATTACTTGGTTTAATTGTAATGTGATTGTCTTTTTGTTTATGTCCGTCTGTGCAGCAAATGGAGCGGTTCAAGATCGTGGAAAGAGAAACCAAGACAAAAGCCTACTCGAAAGAAGGGCTGGGTCTGGCTCAGAAGGTGGACCCGGCCCAGAAGGAGAAGGAGGAGGTCGGGATGTGGCTGACGGTGAGTTTCATCATGAATTGATGTTGCACATGATGTCAGATAAAGATTTGTGACAGGAACAGTCATATTTTTCCATATGAACTAAACTCAGTTTATTTAGAGAGCATGTTTACAAAGAGCAAATGTTGAAAGTGCTTTACACAGAGAGATGATTGTTACAGTCTGGATACAGACACAAGTTAGTTACTGTTAGTTAGAAGTTAGTTCACCATACACAACAATGGTGAGAACAAGTGACGTTAAGTAAAACAGTACACTAAAAATAAAATATGATAAACTGAAATAAAGAAGCGCGAGATTGTAAACTATAAACTTTCATAAATGTAATCCTGTCTCAGAATTCAACTTGGAAAACTGATGAACTATGAAGAAACACATTAGGCCTTTATCTGAATCAGACACTGATTTCAGGCAGAGGACGACTTCATTGTTTAGAGGTCAAGTCCCTCAGATGGGAGTTTTCCTCTGGCAACATTTTTAAGGTTTTTCTTCTTTAACAAAACCAGGAACTGAAAATTTGACAAAAGCAGAACTGAAACCAAATTTAAGACAAAACGTGTGTCTCAACTGTCACAAAAACAAAAGGCTGAAAAGCTCATTAACCAGCAGCCGCTCACATTCATACATCACAGCTGCTTGGAGTCACCTTCAAAATTCATCCTGACAACACAGTCAGTAGTTATTGCTGAAACAATAAGATATTAAAAAGTTCACTGGCTTAAAATTCATTGGCAATATATTTATGTTTGATTAACCTTGTAAGTCATTTATCAAGCAGATGTTTACTATCATTATAAGTTGAATATCTTTGGTACATAGGACAACAAAAGCTATCTCAAAATGTCACTTTTGGCTCTGGATTATGCATTTTCCCTGTTTTATGTCATTTTATTGATTAAGTGATTAATCGATTCATCCAAAAATCAATAGACAAGTCCTAACCCTGACCCTCTCTTGATGTTAGTTGCAGCTCCAATATTGAGGTATTTGCTTAAAAGCTTCTTATTTTAATTTTGCTGAGGTCATCTTGTAACAGTAATGACCACCTGAACCATCTTTCAGAGCCTCGTCACATCGGCTGTGACATTAACTCTTCTTCTTCCTCTCCTCCCTCAGAATACGATAGACATGTTAAACATGCAGGTGGACCAGTTTGAGAGCGAAGTGGAGTCTCTGTCGGTCCAGACGAGAAAAAAGAAAGGAGACAAGGAGGTCAGTCTGTTCTCAGCTCTGATTCACTCGTTATTTTCTCCTCTGCTCTCCTGCGTAGTTTCCTCCTCCTGGTTATTTTCTCTCTGTTTGTAGCTGACACAGATCAGTCGGTCAGTCGGCCCTCAGTCCTCCTCCCTCCTCTTTTATCTCTCCTCTGGTGGAGAGGTCACACAGTGTGTCCTCCATTCATCTTCTGTCTCTGCCCTGATCAGGATAACCTTGCTGACCACTTCTCTTTCCTCTAAACTCCTCTCTGGGGGCCTCATTTATGGAAAAAGCTCTTTGACTTTATGGGGCAGTCACTTCACAGAACATGAGAACAAGCTGGTCCTGAAGATCTGCATATCTGCACTTTTCTGTTGTGTCCCGGGAAGTATTTGCAGCCGACTTCATTTGGCATCAAGACTTCTTTCTCTAATTGGTTCGTGTTTTGTTCCGAGCATGAAATCTGCGCAAAGGACCTTTTATAAATGAGACCCAGAGGGGTTTTTATTTTTGTCTGTAGCTGGCGCGGTTAGCTTAGTCAGCCAAGAGCGTAGGACAGAGTTTCTAAGTGGAGATCTGCGATGAAATGCAGCTCAGAAGTGCAGATATGAGTTTCTGGTCTCAGGTTTCATACAGGCTCCAAAATGACCAACTGTCGAGGCCCGAAAACCATTTGTGTTTGGTCACCTGCTCCACTGGCCAGTAATTTACTGAGATGTCAGTAGATCCAGTGACTGTGTTTCCTTTCGGTGTAGTGAGCGTGGATTTGTTGCCTGTTGATGAATATTGGTGCCGTAGGGAGGATAAACATGAAGATCTTTGCATGTAGGGTTTCTGACTGACTGTGCTGCACACTTACAAAACATTAACCACACCTCTAGTGTAGCTGTTGGCCGGTGCAACAGCAACAACCCACACAGAGATAAAACAAAAAGAGCAGAAATTACGAGACAAAAAGCAAAATGTGTCTGAAATCACTCCCTGTTAACTGTAAGATGTTCCATGTTTTCCCTCCATCATTTTATTTGTCAGTGGAGTCTGATTGTAAAATTTATGCACTACATTATGTCCTTAAAGGTTCCACGGCACATACACCACGTTCTGCTGACACTGCAATGTTCCACGTGTTATAGATGCATAAAAATGGAGTTGTGCAGCTGCAGATGTCAGTGACGCTGAAAAGTGACCATAATTAATGAATGTCCAAAATCTGAATTTATAGTTCACCACAGAGTAAACAGTTGAGTTTCTGTTATATAGGGAATAATGAAAGAGTGAATAAGAGTGAAAGAGTTTTCAGACAAAGCCGTAATATTATGTGGTCAACTTTTATTCTCTGGGGTTTCTTTAAGAGCTCCTTCTTGGATTGTTGTGTTCTCTGATTTGGTAAATACAGCGATGACAAGGAGCACACATGTCAGTGTTACTTTGCATTAAGTATTTTACAAACATTACAGTATATCTGCTCAGCAGAGACAAAAACACATTTCGGGTTTCCAGTGGTCAAAAAGAAAATTTCCATCATTATAACATTTCCTCCAAGTTCCACATACTAGCTTTTTCTAGAGCTTTCAGGCCACTTCTCACAGTCTTCACAAGGATTTGTGTTGTTTATGACAACAGAGCAAATTTCATGTACCGAGGAAGACGAGGAGATGCAGTTGAAAGCTGTAGAAAAGAGTAGTAAGTGATACTCGAGTTAAGATATATTTTTACTGCTGTTTTCAAGGTCAGGAATGAACCTTGACACTAAACTGAAACATTGCATGTTGCAATGATTCATTAGTTGTTGGACAGAAACATATTCACATATTTTAATAATTGATTTAGTTAATTGACTAAATTGAATACATCTGCTTGGTCTGCAGCAAATTAACCCGGTATTTGTCACTATTTTCTGACATTTTAACAATATCAGATAATCTAGAAAATAATTGGCAGATTAATCAATAATAAAAACTAATTCAGTCAGCATCTAAAACTGATGTGAGCTGAGACTTAACATGTCGCCTTTCTGTGATCAATATCTTATGTTTTATACCTTAAAACATAATAGGTTTGAGTCTAACATTAAGTTTAAATGAAGTCTGTGGAGCCGGTTTGCACAGAGACTCCCTCATGTTGCTGACATGTGCTGCTGCGGCATTAATATGTATTGAGATGAAACACGTTAATATGTTCCACCGCGCCGCCTCCACTGAAGCAGCCGACCAACATACGTCTAAAGTGTTTCTCTCTGCCTGTGTGTTTTAATAATCACATCACTTCAGTCAGTCATCCACAGAGATTCGAGTGCGCTGCCGTTCTTAAGCTTTCGTGCACAGGAAACATCCAGGGAGGTTCCATTTGGTCCTGATGAACACATATCAACCCTGAATACAGAAACAAGCAAAAAGAAAAAAAAAAAACTAAATCAATAGCATATGAAGTGCTCACGTCCTTCACAACATGTTTGAATTAAGTGTGAAGGAGTTAGAGAATTAAATATTGAAATCAGAAGTGGTGCTGTGCCTGTGCTACATGTGATGCATTAAGCCATGAAGTGCATATGTAGCAGCAGCAACTCCCGCTCCGTGCTGTTACGCCTCCTGTATGTTTTCTCACGTCTGTATGCGTTAAAATTTTAACATGCCTTCGCTTGTTTTTCATTCTAAATGCCATTTTGTTCCTTTGCTGTATCAATGAATAATTCATTTCAGTTTGTGTTTTGCATTGAAATGAAGGAATCTTTATTCCACAATAAAAAAAAAATAAAAAATAAAAAAAAGGGCCAGTGTCCAGACTTATGAGATTCTGTTGGCAGCTTTTTAATCTTCTTTAACCAAATTGAAAAGTTTGTGCAAAGAAAATACAATTTCATTGAACATCCTCACATATTCATCTGCCCCCTATTTTCCTCCCCCCGGCCGCCTCACCCACACTCTCTTTGTGTAGAAGCAGGACCGGATCGAGGAGCTGAAGAAGTTCATTGAGAAGCATCGATACCACATCCGGATGCTGGAGACGATACTGAGGATGCTGGACAACGACTCAGTGCAGGTGGAAGCCATCAGGAAGATCAAGGTGTGTTCATGTGTTCACATCTGTAGAGAAGTTAAAAGGTCTGGTTTTGTCGTGGCTTCACCATTTTTCTGAACGCACAGAAGCTTATTATGCTTTTGATCATTTTTTTGATTCTGATTAAGTTTGTTTTGTTGCAACTGCACACATTTTATATTTTTATTTGTAAGATTCCCAACCATTAAACTTCAGTGTAACATAGTAATAATTATTTTCATTCCTGAAAATATCATTTATAATGTTTCTTTTTCCAAAATGAATGCATCTATCATTATTATATTTTCCTTTATTTAATCTGTCTTCATGAAGGATGATGTGGAGTACTATCTAGACTCGTCGCAGGATCCAGACTTTGAGGAGAATGAGTTTCTGTACGATGACCTAGATCTGGAGGACATTCGTAAGTAGAGAAGGAGCTGGGTTTAACGCAGTCGTAGTTCACATTGTCTGGTTGTTTGTTTTGCAAAATACATATAAGAAATATGAAATGGAAAAATTTAGAGGTTAAAAGACAAGAAATGAATCATAAAGTAATACATGTGCAGGTAGATGCTCGTTTAGTTGCTCAAATGGGGAGAAAACATTAAAGTAGTACAGATGATGTCGTCCACACTATTCAGTCATCACTGCAAACCTGACACTGTAGTCCTCTTACAGACGTGAATTCCAAATAGAAAATTAAAAGATAAAAGTTAAAAAGCTTCAGAAAGGAGATGATCTTTTAAAATAATTGTTTTAACGCTGCATGAGACAGAGTGTCACCGCTGATCAGGAGACTGTTATATAGTTCGATTTTTGCTTTTCACACCAGTGAACCTGCAGCTCCGCAGAGACCTCTGTGACCTTTACATCTGAATTCAGTGCAGACCTTCAGATCACATTTACACATAGAAAGAAAAACACAAGATATATTGATTATTTTTATGCAGAAATTGACTTGATGAACTCTATGGACCTCCATGTAGACTGGGTCTCAGCTAACACGGTCTGAACTACGACACTGAGTGAGATAAACCCACCGAAACACCGTGAAGCTTGTAAAAACAGTTTTTCTATGACCATGACTGAACTCTCCTCCCTCTGTGTCTCTGCTCCCTCCAGCTCAGTCGCTGGTCGCCACCTCCCCACCGGGACACTCGCACTTGGAGGACGAGATCTTCCAGCACTCCAGCAGCACACCCACCTCCACCACCTCATCCTCACCCATCCCCCCCTCACCTGCCACTTGCACTACGGTATGAAAACTTCAGCTAAACACTTTTCCTCTCCGGAGTTTTATCTTGCCGTCGGCCTGCAATTTGACATCTTGCACTTTAGACATTCAGCATGTGTTAGAAAACATGTTTTTTTCCCCTGCGGTCATTTAATGTATGAAACATTTGGAAGTTTTGCAAAGATTTAGTGAGTATAAAAAAAACATACAGCTCCAATTTGGAGGTATTTGGAGGTACGAGAGGTCAGCATTTCTCACAAGTCTGTTCCTCATACTCATTTTTAAATCTTTTCCACATGTCATAATTTTTCTTTTCTCTTGTTCTTTTCACTCTTCACTGAGTGATCTCATGAGTGAAAAGGTCTTAAAATTAAAAAGCAAACTTGAAACTGTATTTGACCCTCTGCTTTCATCAAAAACAAACAGTCTGCCAGGTTATTATCTCCTCATTGACTTTTGAATTTGTAATATTGGTACTTTCTGAACATTAAGCCTTTTGTTTCATTCACTTTGAGTCAGGTCGGGCCTGTATATCTAAAATATAAACCTAATATAATTGCCTTTGTATCTGCTATTATAGCGCGCTGCCATCTGCTCTCATTGTTCTGCTGAATTACCATTATATCATCTGCTCTTCCTCTCTGCCCACATACATTTTGCACTGAGAGCAGTTATTATGTCTCTGATGTGCCTGAATAGAAGGCGTGGTGCTGTTAAAGGCTGCTGACAGGAAGCAATATGTTGGCATGAAAGGGAATGTAAAGGATGGGGTACACAGTGTGACGCAATGACTCCTGGGATCGCAAGTTCAGTCGGTGTAGTTTAACTTTTAATTATCCAGGAGAGGTTTCTGGAAACTGAGGCTACATCCACACAACTACGTTTTAGTTTCAAAACACATCTCTTTTTCTACATTTTCTCCTGGTGTCCACCAACTCTGGAGTATTCGAACGCCGAAAACGAGAACGCTGCTGGACCAGTTTTAGCTCGATAACTGTTCTGTTCTGCATTTTAATGCTACAACTGTCTTTGCTGTTCCTCGTTTGTAGTATTTTGTGCAACTAATGAACTGCAGAGTAGATGATCTGCTTCCTGTTTACGTGAATGGTCAGGTATGTGTGCATTTTCAGGTGTGTTAGTACGGACAGAGATTGTTTCTGATACGGAGCTAAAGCGCTCGTCTGGACGGAGATCGTTTCCGTCTTAAAACACTGTTTTAACGCAGTAGTGCGGACGTGGCCTGAAACTAAGAGCTGGTCAGCACACTGACAGCTTTCTGGTGATGGCAGCAGTTGAGTTTCACTTCCCAAAAATACAACTTTAGCAGCACAAGAATATTAAATAGATAAAACGTAAAAAGTAACAGATGTGATGACAAGGAAAAAAATGATCCAAAAAAAAAACATGCACATACAAAGGATTCTGCAGCACGAGTAAAAAGATTTTATGGCTCAGTTTTTTAGTTTAAAATGCTAATTACACTTGGAATAAAATACTTCTTTAAAATTCTTCTGGTTGCCAAAGACACCATGTCTCTCCTCCCGAAGTTCCGTCTCAAACTGAGGAAATTAAAGATGTCAGGATGCGAAAGGAAGTATAATCACCATCTCCTACATGTCGTTGTTGTTTATTCTCAGGAGAACTCGGAGGACGACAAGAAGAGAGGACGTTCAACAGACAGTGAAGTTAGTCAGGTGAGTCTAAAGCCTCTGAGAGTTGGTGTCTGTCTGCAGTCAGAGCTGCAGGTTTCTGACAGTTGAACATAACATTTAACTCCAAATCCAACAGCAGTTTACATCAAACTGGTTTTCATTTATCGCGCAACAATATGACCAGAACTTCCAGTAAGCACCTGTAGTTAATCTCCTCTCATTTCTTTTCCAGTCACCTGTGAAGAACGGAAACCCCTCCTCCTCGTTATCCTCTTCCTCCTCCTCCTCCTCCTCCTCTTCCTCCTCCTCCTCCTCCTCCTCCTCCTCTTCTTCCTCCGTCTCAGGACTGACCTCATCCTCACTGGTCTCTATGGCGACCATCGCTGGGGGAGGAAGCAGCGGCTCTGGGGGCAACAGTCATCATGGCAACTCTGGGGTTCTCCTCTCCAACACTTCCGCTGGCAGCTACAGCAACGCCACCCAGCAGCAGCCGCACCCGTCAGCACAACAACAACAGGCCAAAAACTCAGTGAGCTCCTCCTCCTCAGCTCCCATCACCAACCCCAGCACCTCCACCAACAGCCACCCCGCCTCCTCGGCCTCCTCTCCCCCCAACGCCAGCACACAGGGGCTTATGACTTCAAACCTCCAGCCCCTGACTCCATCGGGGCCCACGCCGACCTCCAACAGCTTCGGCCTCGGGCTGGGCCTCTCTCTGGGGAAAGGCGGCATGTCCGGCTCCATCACCACCAGCCCGATGTCCGGGGGCCTCGGTTTGTCAGGGATGCCGGCGTCCCTGAGCACCATGGCAGGCCTTCTGTCCAGCTCCACTCCGGCACCCTACGCTCAGGCAGCTGCCTCGGGCACGGTCGGCTCTGGCTTACCGGGCTCCTTGGGAGGCATCAGCACCACGTCGACCAACAGCGCAGTGGGCTCCATTGGCAGTGGAAGCATCACAGTCGGCGGGCCGACATCTACAACAGCAGGTCTGCTGGGCGCGGCGGTGGGGGTGACCGGCATCGGCTCGGGGATTCTGGGTTTGGGTTCGAGTCAGTCAGGAGTGCAGGGGTCCTCTCTGATGTCACCGAGCCCGGTAGGAGGCCTAGCCCCAGGAAGCGGAGTAGGAGTCATCGGGAGCAACGGAGGCAGCTCGGGCTCTGCGGGGAGCGGAGTGGTGGGAGGAAACTTGTCGCTCTCTGTCAGACCGCCAAGCCGACAGAAGCAGAATGGTAGCACTAGTGAGTATCTCTCTGCAGAGGTGATCCACATATACACACATAGAGCTTTTCCTTATCTCCAGACCTTTAAGAGAAAGAGGCAGTCATCACAGCTGTTAAAAGTTTTATCATCAAGTGATTACCTGAGCAGTAAAACCCGAGGATGCTCTTTAAGTACTGGTGCTGTCAGTACAGGTATCTCTTCACTGTAGCACCACTTTATATGTGTAAAGTTAAACCAGTTATCATCAGTTCAGTTCATTGGGAATGTTTTTTTAACAAGAATATTGTTGAGGTCTCTAAAATGTCTTAACATGTTTTTATTTACATTTAAATTGTAACTACACCCTCAAATTCTGCTAGAACCGTCCTAATATCACAAGGAAATGCTTCATTTTATCTGGTCGGTCTTATTTTTCATCATGTAGGTCTGTATCATTTTATACATGTGGATTTCTGAAGCCTCCAAACGGCCTCGCTGGTCCTGACTGTTTAATAGTGACAGTGTCAGCAGTTACACTCTGGATTGCATTTCCTTTGACATTTATTTTGGCTTTGTCTCCTTCCTGTTACAGGTTACAGTGCTGTGGTAGCAGACAGCACAACAGAGTCCGCCCTCAACAGTGCCAGCCAATCACAAAGCAGCCAACCCTCGTCTTTGACCTCCACAGCCAATCAGCCGTGAGTATGATGGAGCATGTTATCCCAGTCGTCTACAAGTATGGGAGCGTATTTGTCATATTCTTTGCTGCTCCCTCTCTGACCCGTTGACCCTCTCCCTCATGTTCCTCCTCTCTCCCCCTCCCCAGTAAGGACACTGGTCCCAGTTTACTGGGCTCTATGAGTTTGTCGTCCAGCTCTCCGTCGCCGGCCTCCTACAGCGAGGCCAAAACGCAGAGCAGCGGCAGCCTGCTGAACGGGCCACTGTCCTATTCACAGTCCTCCGAAAGCATTAAGGTAAGAATAGGAAGACGCACACATACACATACACACACACACACACACTCACACACACATACTCACTCACTCAGCCTGGTAATGGGTTTTGAATCTTTTTAAGATTTGGTATTTTTGTTGACAGGATGTGGTTTTTGCAGTCGCCTGTTTATAAAGAAAACAACTCCTAAATCTCCACAGATGATTAATTTACATGCACACACAGTAAAAACTCTAGTGTGAATTAATTAATTCTGCCAACAGTGAAATCCAGGGGGGGTGATTATGGTCTCATTGCTACTCTTTGCAAGTATTGCCGACCATTTTTAACAAACTGAAGAGAGTAGTGAAGGAAAGTCAATATTTAACTGTTTACAACACAAATAATTACACTTCAGAATAACTTAATGTGTGAATAACAATCTGAAACTGCTGACAAAATCCACAAGTGAGTTACAAATGTCTTCTGAATTATCCATGAATGTTTTAGTTGAGGAAGAACAGCTGTCTGAAGGTATTTACTGTGACTGCGCACACTTTATTGTGTTTATGTATTTAATTTAAATTCATCACATGCCTTTTTTAGCAGTTAATTCTACACACAGTAACCATGGTAACTGTGAATTGTTGGACCTATGTATACACAAGTTTGTGCCTTTATCAATCATGTCTAATCAACTGGATTGCTTGATTATAAACTATAAACTACTAAAACTATATATCTTTATGAAACTATACACTATATATATAATATATATATTATATATATATATATATATATATTGAGATGGTTTTTGGACCTTAAAACCAGAAACCAGAAATATATCTTCAGTGCCACACTGGAGAAATGTCAAAACCTTTAATAGAGCCTCTTATATTTATGCTCAAAACCTAACTACCACCACTCTCATGGCTTTAGTCTTGTATTTCAAAACATTTAAGCCATGGGATCTAATGTTCTCAGAGTTCATTTTGCAGTTGGCATGTTATACATTCAGGTAGGCTACATGGTCAAATGTATTTGGACACCCCGACATGTGAATATTGAAATGTTATTCCAAAACTGTGGGCATTAATCTGCTGCTGCATCAGCCTCCACTCTCCTGATATCAGTCTTTCCACCAGCACTAGGCTGCAGGGATTTGCGCCCACTCAGCCACAAGAGCATTACTGAGGTCCAACACGTCGGACCATGGTGGGCAATGAAGCTGATTTATGCTCGATGTAAGCTGTTAACGGGAGTCCCACCGTACATATCTACAGCGCAGGTCTTGAGTCATAGTTCAGAGTAGGATTTCACCACTGCAACCCTAAATGTGCTTTTCAGTCATGATCGATCTGTATCGTGCTCTAGTTATTTCCCCACAGTAATTGTGTTTACAGTGTTTAATTCACTTTATACTGGCAATGGTGGGAAAGTTCACCTTGTTTCATTGCTGAGTATTTTGTTTGCCCTGTGTCATTCAGTGTGATAGAGAGAGAGCAGGAATCAGGTGAGCAGAAGGTTCGCAGGGGAATCGTCTTTGTTAGATCTGAGGCCAGTTTCACAAAGATATTTTAGACTGGTCTGTAGTGTTAGGCCCGTCTTCATTTTGCTCATAGTATAGTTAAATTAATGATCTTAAAGGTCTTATAAAGACTGACTAATTTTAAGCCAAAAACATTAGACTCTTTATTCCCAGCCTAACTCAGGTCTAAGACCAATGTTACCATGGTAACATGGTGATCAGTGACACCTGCGCTAACCAGTACCACCCAACAATAGGAAAACATGGCTCATGATTGGTGGTTTGCTAATGCGAGAGGAATGAGTTTTTAAAGGCCGCAGTAATTTTTTTCCAAATCAAATTTTTCTTCTCATTGTTTCGCTCTTCGCTGAATCTCTCACGTAAAAACGTCCCTGTAACAATTGAATTCTTCCAAAAGACAAACATCTTCTACTGGGGTAAACAGACCTTAGTGGTTGGATGAGGTTCCTTTGTCGGCCATTTTTTTATTTTGAAAAAAGTATTAATTTACCCAGAATTTATTGTACCGCAGTCTGGCTTATGATAGTCAAGAACTAAACGGCTTTGTGCAACGAATGAACTTAGGCTCAGTCTATCTGAAGTCTGACTATTTGTTATATCTAAGCCACAGCCAAAGTCTGTCTTTGTGAAACCGTCCCCAGGAGATGTCTGAGCCCTTTTTTCCAACTTGCTGCAACTCAGTCTCTCCGAGTACTCGTAACCAGCTGGAGAAAACAGGAGGAGCCCACGTTGACCAATCACAGATGTTGCAGTCCTTGTGGTTGAATTAGGTCAGGTTAATTTATTTGCACCTGTAGGTAAATTTGTATTGCAGTAAAAAAGAGTCATCAATCTTTCACATACACATTTGACACACAGCACAGATAACACCATGTGCAATAAATAAATGAAACATTGCTTCTATGTAGTGTCACTACAACTTCTTCATATGAGTGATGGCTGCTGGAACAAAGCTCTCTTTGTACTGTTTTGTTCTGCACTTTGGGACCATGAACCTGAAAGTCACTGTTCTCCCTCCGCTGTAACTGTCTGGTGTACAATCAGCTGATGGGACCAATAAATAATTTTATTCAGAGAATTCCTGCTCTTTAAGGACGGATTTCCAAACTGTGACACCAGAGAAAAAGATAAAAATCGATTCAACAAAAGCACGGTATAATACGATGTCTCTATAGTCACTGTAGCTCTGACATATACTTACATCTTTGAGAAGTCACACGTCAGTCAGCCTTTGTGTGGAGCCACTGTAGGTACAGCATTAACCCCTTAGCTCTGAACTATAAGTCCAGCTTCCAGTCCATAATCTAGACCCACTATTAACCCACTAATGTCTAAAGTATCTCTTCACTGATTCTAACCATGAAAGAAAAAGGTGTCCACATACTTTTGGACACAGAGTGTGTTTTTTGAAATGACTCCTCAGCTCCCTGATGTTGCGTCACAAGCATTTTGGGGGGGTGGGGGGGGGCACAGGTGCAAACAAAAGAAAACAGCCCAAAAAGTGAAGCAGAAGTGATTTCCATGACAACATTATCACTGGTGTCGGACCCCGAGTTCCTGCGTACCGGCAGGTATGGTCACGTCCAGGAGAATCTGTTCTCCCATGAGTTTCTTTGTCTGTCCTCATCAGCCGCAGGAGCCTCTGAGCAGCCTGAAGTCCATGGCCGAGCGAGCAGCACTAGGCTCAGGGATGGAGGGAGACGTGCCTTCCCTGCACCTCACCCCAGGTAACACACACACACACACACACACACACACACATAAGGCTTAATAAAAGGAGATAGAGGGTTGCCACAGAGCAGAAATGGGAAGGCTGTAGTTTAATGGAACAAAATGTCATCTCACCTCCCACTCTCAGCCTCCTCTGAACAAAAACTGCTGATGATATTATCCTCCCTGACTCAACTTCTCTCTCTTTGTCTCTCGGACTTCATATCCTCAATCCCTCCCCCCTCTGCACCTCCCCTCTCCTTCACCTTCACCTTTTCTTATCTCTCCTTCTTTTTCTTCCCTTTCCTTCCACACTCTGACGTTAATTCTCTTCCTTCTATTTCTCCTCAGACATCTTCCCCAGCAGCACTACGGCCCCCTCGGGCCCCCCATCAGCACCTCAGCCCTCGCTGTCAGAGGTCAGCATCCCCCCGTCATTGGGGGTCTGCCCGCTGGGGCCCGTTCCCCTGTCCAAAGACCAGCTCTACCAACAGGCGATGGAGGAGGCGGCGTGGACGCACATGCCCCACCCGTCCGACTCCGAGAGGATCAGGTGCAGTGAAATTTTACACAGGATAAAACGTGTTCAGATCCTTTATTTAAGTAGAAGCAGTAATACCATGATGTGTAAGTACTTTTTTTACATGAGTACTGCATTCAGTACTTTACTTTAGGAGTCTTATCACAGTGTGAGAGGCTCATTATTTTCAATTTTATTTAAAAATGAATCTGTTTCTATTTTGACTTATTAAAAAAATGGATAAAAATCTAATTGACAAATAATAATTCTAAAATGTGGGTGAAAATCACTATGTAAAAATACAATTAGCTGTAGTTTAACCATTTGATATTTATTTTACTTTTTTTTGTGACTGTGGCTCATAATCAACAGTTATTATGTATTTTCTCTTCGTGTTTCTCCTTACATTGTGTAGCTCGAAGCATTTTCTGAGTTGTACTTATTATGTAAATGTCATGTAAACTGCATTGATATAGTTTATTCTTGCAGTAGAACGCAACAGAATTAAACTCTGGTGGGAAATTTTAAAAAGCCAAGTGTAAAATGGATAAAGATCGAACAGAAAAAGAAATCTTGATCACTGATGAGCGTAAACGAGCATCATTGGACAGACTTATGCCTTTGATAGTAAAACTTTAATTGTTTGCTAAAAATTTAAAACAACTTGATCAAGAATGATTTTTTCTTTACCACCATCAGCTGGAGCACAAAGTTCATTAACACCAGGGATAATGTGGCATTTAAGCAGGAGACATTATGAAAATAGTATCACTGTGTTTAATATGTATTTAGTATTTTCATACACCTAAACATTGTCAACATGTAAAAATTAAAAATTGGAGTGCAGTAAAAAGAACTATATTTCTCTTTGTACTGTGGAGTTGAGGTATAAAGTGGCATTAATAAGTACAAATACCTCAAAACTGGCGTAAAGGAACTTATTTTCTACCACTTCTGGACAGGATGAGTCACATTTATTATTTTAGGTTGTCAATTCCCTAAATTCCCATAATTCAGCTGGTTGTAGTTGATATTAAATTTAAGAAGATGTGTGAGATTCAGATAAAAAATATCATTATTTCCAAAATACAAAAATGTCAAAATCAGTGTATAAAAACACAACAATTAGCATCAGCACTGTCTTTAACAGTTCATTGTTTTAAACTTTGTTTTTTTCTGGAAATAATCAACAGCTTATTTTATTTTTTACCTGTTTGTTTCTTCCCTTTTTCTCACGGAGAGCTTGTTCATACCTGTGTCAGGATCTTGTTGATGTAAACTACAGTGATAGGTTTTATTTTGTTGCCAATAATAACAGAAACTGTTGATCTGTAAAGACCAGGAAAAATCAAACTGGACAAAAGAGCCTTGATTATTGATCAGATTGAACATCCTCCTTCTGAAAACCTTTACATTTGAGTGTTGAATTTCTGATGTTCACTAAATATTTTGCAGCTTTTCTTTGTCCAACTAAATCAAAGAGAATCAGCTGCTGCGGCTCTCAGTCGTTTCATACAAGGTTGAATGTCACATGTTAGCAGGAGACACAATGAAACTGTGTCACTGTATTTAACATATATATATATTTAGTATAACAGCTCAGTGTGCAGTCACACACACACACACACACACACACACACACAATTAGAGGGCAGATTATACTGGTACTGTACCTACAGTGCTGTCAGCCCACACAGGTACAATTGACATTTAAATACAAACACTCAAACCCTCTTGTCCCACAGTACCTGTTGTGTTTTACTGCCAGAGGAGGAGGGCAACACACACACACACACACACACACACACACACACAGAAATAAATGCATAGATTTCTTATTTTTCTGTGTTAAAAACAAGGTCCTCAGTGATCTGCACCTTGTTGTATTTTAATTAATCACCTTAGAAACCTGCATGTTGAGTCACTGGTACGTGGCCGTGCGAGTGTGTTGTGTGTGTTGTCTTTGTTCGACACCATTATCACTCGGCCTTGTGGAAACAGAGAGGACGATGTGGGTTTGTCACTGATCTAAAAATACATGGTTTGGATGGAAAAGTGCATCTACGCAGAGAGTGTGACCCTCTGCTGGATTTTCCTACTTTGTGTGGATCCATCTGTTTGTTCGTCTGATTACAGGGTTAATCGATTGTTCCCAATTGGTTTTAACTGAATTTTGTCACTCTGGTACATCAGGTCACTTCAGGTCATGTTTTTTAGTATGATAAGGTTCTTAATTGAGAATATTTGTGATCATCAAATGATCCTTAATCACTTGACTCTTGATCGTAAGTGTCGATTGTGGATTTTTAAAATATTGTCAACTGTGATTTAAAGGTAACACTATAAAACAGCATTTTTTTGGGATTTTTTTCCACTTGTATCATAGCTTTTCATTTTTCTTCCTCCCTCCAGTTACATCTCATTAACAGACTCCCTCTATCTCCTTACTACAGGCAGTACCTGATGAGGAACCCATGCCCCACCCTGCCTTTCCACCACCAGGTGCCACCGCCCCACTCTGACACTGTAGAGTTTTACCAGAGGCTTTCTACAGAAACCCTCTTCTTCATCTTTTACTACCTGGAGGTTTGTATGTTATTGTCAGATTTTATTATAAGAGAGAGCAGCTTCAGGATTGTATTGATGTGATTAAATTTTGATGGTCTAATCATTGATGCTTAGATGTCCAATATAGTATAAAGGTAGATGCCCATGTCTTTTTTGATTACAAAGCAGGTCTAGGTTCTATATTAATACTGTGAAAGTATCAAAGCGCTCAGTCCACAGCCTATATTCAGAAACTGAGCCTTAAAACGAGCCGTCAGGACTTCTGTAACTTTGTGATGTCACAGGCCCCAAGCCACCTGGACCGAGCATCCAACCTTGCAGGATTTGGTTTCTCTGAGTGTTTACCTGAAATCTGCTATATTTTTATTCAGTCACTCTGAAAACAGTCAGTCAATCAGAGGAGAGGCTCAGAGCCTCCTCTCTTCTGATTGGCTCACCGACCTGTTGTTACTAGAGCTCCAGAGAGAAGCCTGAGAGACGAGATGTAAAACTACACTCCGGTGGTTTTTGATTCCTAAAACCACAAATACATCTTCTTATGGATCAACACTTCAAATAAAAAACAGGAAAAGTCTAAAATATAGGACCTTTAAACAGGCAACTGGCTGTCTTTATTTTACAGCTAACACCCATTCATTTGGACCCAAACTCTGAAAGGATGCATAGGAAACCTATAGATACGTAAAATGAGTCGGAAAGAAGAAACTGCAAAAATGTCAGATGCAGCTGTTGGTCACAAAGTAACTAGTCGAATGTATATTTTTAATGTTACATTACAAACGAAATTAAGGACTTGTTTCTTTTAAACCGGCACCACAACTAAAACTGAAAATTTGTAAATTGTAAAGCTAATTAAAGTCCTCTCCTTGTCTCCTCCTCTCCTTGTCTCCTTGTCTCCTCTCCTCAGGGCACTAAGGCCCAGTATCTGGCAGCCAAAGCCCTGAAGAAGCAGTCGTGGAGGTTCCACACAAAATACATGATGTGGTTTCAGAGGCACGAAGAACCCAAGACCATCACTGATGAGTTTGAGCAGGTCAGCCTCACATCTTTCACTTCCTGTGGAAAAAGTTTATAAAATCATTGAAGGCCTGTTCCAGTGTTTATTGCAAGTCGTTCACACTTAAATTAAACTGCTTTATTCTAGAAACCTGTCATAATCATTCTCAGGCAGCTGTTTGACGTTTCACTGATCTTCATCTTTAATATTTTGTTTTATGTGTTTTAGGGAACGTACATTTACTTTGACTATGAGAAATGGGGCCAGCGGAAGAAGGAGGGTTTCACGTTTGAGTACCGGTACCTAGAAGACCGAGACCTCCAGTGACCTGCAGAGCGAGACGTGGACGGACGGACGGACGGACAGATGGCTGAGAAAGTTAGAGAGAGGGACGGGTGGACGGAGAAAAAAAAAAAACAAACGAATGAATTAACGAAGAAGGGCGGGTCCACCTGCTGACATTCCTGGATTGACCTCAGCTCGTCAAAGGGGAAAGGAGACGTTTGGGCCGGACGGGGGGGCAAGCGGGTTCTCAAAGACACCTTTGAAACCCCTCCCTCCCTCTGACCCTCCAAACCCGCCTCATCATCCTCAGTGATTAACTCCTCCCACCCTGTCCTCCCTCCTCCTCCTCCTCCTCCATCATCAGGCCTTTTTATTTCCATCTTTTCTTGAACTGGAACTTTTCTTTAAAACAACAAGAAGACTTTGGTTTGTTTTGGCAGATAAGACACAAAAACAAAAAAATCACACCTAATACCCAGACTATCATGTGCTTTTCCCTCTCTGTGTTCTCCTGTTATGTTAGCTTTAAAAGCTGTTGCTTCTTTTAGCCCCTGAAGAACCAAAGATCATTGGTTAAACACACAGTACAGGCTCTGTCCCCTTTCTAAACTAAACCTGAAGAGGGAGCTAACGTAGATGGTCCGGAACCACAACCCTAAATCTGTGCTGCACCATGTCACGAACGCTGGACGTGTAACGATGCAGCAACATGGCAGCAATCAGGCGAATAATGAGACTTTACACTTTTGTAAATCAGGTGAGGAGTGAAAATGGAGGAGGAGGTGGTGAGAGAGGGCGTGAACTGACTTGAGATCAGTCAGCCACAGGAACTTAATGACCCACAACCTGAGCTTGTAAGAGCGCATAGGTTTAACCAGCACAAATTGAATTTACACTTCTGCACATTAAATATTAGAATCAGAATATCCTTCTTTATCTGAACATGTCCTGTGCCATGTTTACCAAAACGTAGGTTCAGGAAGTCGGCCTCAATAAATGCAGAAGCCGTCATAAGCACATCTTAAGTTACGAATGGATAAGAGAAGTGTTTATAAAGAGTTTCATCTATAATTGGCCAAAAACTGAATGTGGTTTGGTGCGAGACGAGGTCACAACATGAAGCTCAGTAACGTCGTCCTCCTGCCCTGCTGCTGCCACAACAAGGGCTTGTTGAGCTTCATCTCTCCAACACTGATGAGCCTTACAGAAGCCGACCTTTCAACAAGTCGACCTGCCTCTCTGCCTTCACCTAGCCTGACTGCCGTTAGACCGAGCTCCAACCTTTACTGTCTGTTCCCCAGGGTGGAACACAGACGCACAACCACCAGCCACATGTAAGTAAATGTTGGTTGTGGGCGGCGGCACTACCACAGGCCTCTCGTTCACACTTAACTGTCTCTCAGAGGCCCTGATGCTGTTGTCGGTTGTATTCTTGTGAAGTGTTAAAGTGGCTGGTTGATTTTTGTGAATCTGCCGGCCGCTGTGCTCTAAAAATATCTGGCCCTGCCTCCTCCCATCGCGCCGCAGTGGAGGAGTGTGACAGCACAGCCAGCGAGGTGTTGGTAGTAACTGTCTTTTACCTGGTGGGCAGTGTTATGTCACAGTTTGGTTTTGAAACAGGATCATACTTGGAAGACTAGAATCTATTTCAGAACTTAAGTTAAAACTCGAGCAGCTCATGTCGTTAAAGGGTCAGTTCGTTCAGATCGCATTAAATAACGCTCTCATGTTTCTCTGACAGGATCCAGTCGTGCAGATAGTTTTTTTTCTCTTGAGCCACGTCTCGAGGTATTTCTGTGATTTCTGCCTCCGTTCCAACTCAATGGGGGTGAATGTAATTTTATTTGTGGCATTCACAGCGTTGAAAAGTTAAACAGCAACATCTATCAACAGAAGCAGTGCCCCCGTTACTCTGGAAGGAACCCACAGGCCTCCCTGTTTCACAGCCAATCGCAAAAATAGTCCCTGTGAAAAGCGTTTTGGATCTGTGGGAGATGTTGATATAGATTTCTTTTTTAAGTTATTTTTAAGGAGCACAAACTAAATTCTTCTTTTTTGAATTGAATTCAGGTGTAAGAGTTAAACAGCTGATTACTTGAAACTTCATGGACAGATACCTGAAACCATCAGATCAATCCACAGCCACTACAATGATCATTTGAGCAGCCCCCCCCCCCAACGTCATATGACATTTGACTCAGTTTAACAGGTTAGTGATTAAAATGGGACTAATTCGTACGGTGTCTTTATCTCACCCGTTTAATTCACGCTTTCCTTTCCCCGTCTCATAGCTGGGTCAATATGTCAATTAACAAACCTGAAAGATGACTGGTATCAGACCTCTCTTCTAACTCATCAGGAAAGCAAATGAAGGCATTTCTTAAAATGGTAAACTACATCTTTCAGGTTTGTTAATAAACATATTAAACCAGCTATAAGACGTCCCCCTTTTCCAACATCTGTTCTTGAGAAAAAGACATTTTTAGGACACTCGTCCTGTCGGGAAAGTTTCCCTGAGATATAGTTTATCCGAGGAGGAGAGTCGTCATCGCTGAAGCCTTTCCTCTTGTTTAAATAAAACAAGAAATACAGTAAAATGTAAAACCCACATTAGTGTAGCTTCTTTGTTAGTCTCTCTTTTTAAAACCTAATTTCCACAATCATCTTAATTGGTGACCTCCAGACAAACTTGTCTTTGTGCTGCAGAAGAAGAAGCTTTAGTTGCTGCTTCATGAACATCTCAACATCTGGACAAGTGAAACTAAATCTGCTCGACTCGGTTCCTCCAGAGGTTAAAGAAAAAAACATGAGGGTTTTTCGGTGTGAACTGATCCTTTAACCACTAAAGCTCCAGCAGTGATCAGTGTGAGCGTCGTGGGTGTTGGATGCTGCCAGCAGCTGGACGGACAGTTTGTTAGTCTCCCTGCTCCCTCCCTTCTTCCTCTTCCTCCTCCTCCTCCTCCTCCTCCTCCTCCTCCTCTCTGTGCTGAAGAGCACAAACAGAGCAACACCAGCACTGCTGCCCACATCTCCTCCTCTGTCCTCCAGCTCCCTGCTCCGTGTTTACCCTCTGCAGGGTTCGACTGAGCCGACCGGGTCCCACAGTAAACACACACCGCGCGGTTCCCTCCACCAACAAGTCGTGGGTCTATACCTTCTTTTTTTTTCTTTTTTTTGTTTTTCCCTCACCGTGCGTCTCTGCTGCCAACACACCGCAGCTTATTTTGCCTTTTGTTGTTTGGTTTTTTTGTTTACACTTGGATTTTGATTCAGTTTTCTCACCCTCCTCCTCCAGTCTCTATTTCTCGCTCTCTCTCTCTCGCTCTCTCTCTCTCTCACTGTCTCACTGTCTTTCTCTTTCTCTCAGCCGGCCAGCTCCCCCCTCCCTCCTCCCCCCTCCTCCTCTCTTCACGCCAGGTAGATATTTCCTTTGTTTCTCAGGAAGTATTTGATAGATCATTTTATGAGGAAATGTATCCGCCAGCAGCTCCTGTCGCCACAGCACAAATAAATAATCCCCCCCAAATTCTTTTTTTTTTAAATTTTTAGCTCTAATTTGGGCGTTACCCCCACCCCCACCTCTCTCTCTCTCTCTCTCTCTCTCTCTCTCTCTCTCTCTCTCTCTCTCTCTCTCTTTACTCGCCAGCAGCTCTTCTCATTTCACAAAAGGCTTTTTTAAATAAAATAAAAAAAAAACAACAAATATTATCCTCCAATGTTTGGAGCAGCACCTGGAAGAGAGACCATCTTTATATTTTGTATTTTTTGAATTAACTGTGGTAGTTTGTATCTCGTTTTTTGTTTGTTTTTTTTCCAGAGATGGGAAAAGCATTTTAAAAACCCAGAGGAGAACGAGGACCCCTGTTCTTTCTAAAGATCCTCTCTACAGGAGTGTGGTGTGTTTTTATAGCCAAACAGACACAGACAACTCTACACCTATTCACTTGACTGACAGTCCTGCTTTTAACCTTTTGTTTACCTTTTTTTTTTTTTTTTTTGACAAGTGGAAGGGATGAGAGGTCAATCTGAGAGCCGAAATGTGAATCTCTCTCTGCCCCTTGACAAAAGTGTTGTATAGACTCTCATTCTTCAAACCTCTCCTTTGTTTTGTTTTTTTTTTCTTTTCTTCTGTTCGTCGTTGTTGTCGTCAGACAGCATGGAATAATGACACTTGCAAAGTGGCGCTGAAAAAGTAAATAATGAAATAACCATGAATAAAGGATTGTAAAATATTAAAGAATTACTTTTCAGAAAACTGGGCTTGTGTTGTGGTTTGTATGACGTCAAAGACGTCCACATTAATGAGGTCAGTGTGCAGAGATTCAACATTTAAGATCATAGGTTGCTAATAGTAATAATATAAGTGGGATAAACGTTACCTGGAGAACATCAGATTTACTGGACAGTTAAAACAACTGCTGTTTAGAATAAATTGTACGATTATTAGTTATTATGATTTATTTCTTGAATGAATCTGTAAATAAATGAACTGAACTTTGACTAGTTTACAAATTAAATCTGCTCAAATTTAAAGTATAAGTGAGAGAAAGGTGACTTTCTTTTTTTTAAAGAATTTTTTGGGCTTTTTGTGCCTTTAATGGACAGGACAGTAGAGAGACAGGAAATGGGGAGGCAGAGAGAGGGGGAATGATATGCAGGAAAGGGCCGTCCGATGCGGGAGTCGAGCCGGGGGCCAGCTGCAGCGAGGACTGTAGCCTCTATATATGGGGCGCCTGCGTAACCCGCTGCGCGACGCCCTGAAAGGTGACTTTCTAAATTCAGCATTTACCATATTTTTATCATAAATTGAGAGTGAATTCCTCAGCAGCACAGAGTTAGTTACTGCAATATGGCCTCTTTATCAGCAGTGACACAGCTAATGGAGGCAGCAAAAGTACTTTACTTCCGCTGAGTCATAACTCAGTTAAATTTGTAAACACAGACATGATGCTCATGTTTTTAGATTCACTGGGACTCTCACTTTTATTTTTATCCCAGATATCAGTTGTGAATAAACCATAAATCCTTAGAAATCACAGATG